TATTTTTATATAGTTAATAAAAGTAATAAATTTAATCTTAATTATAATATTTTAGAGAATAGTAAATATTATTATTAAAATATTTTCTCTAATAAATAATTAATAAAACTACTTTTATTATAAAAAAAACTACTCTACTTAAAAAATATAGATTTATAAAATATATTTCTACTCTTTTAAAAATTTATTTTAGTTTTAATTTATAGATATTTTTCCCCTTTAATTTATACTATAGTAAGTATATAAATATATTAAAAATAGCTTATTATCTACTTATATCTATAATTCTTACTTTAAATAATTAAGAGTAGTACCTCTAAGTATTATAGAAATTCCCTTTTTTAAAAGGCTAGAGTTATTTATAATTTCTAATTACTTATTTAAAATTTTATTAACTTTAAAAGTATATAAGGGCTTCTATATTAATTCTATTTATTCTTTACTATTATAGTAAAAAAATATAGATTTAATTTATTATTTAATATATTTTTTTAATAGTATTTACTTTATAAAATAATAATAGAATTAATATATTAGTTAAAATATTTATTATAATTATAAAGAGTAATTTTATTTTTATAATTAATTTTCTAATTATTTATAATTAAAAGGAGGTCTAATTTATTATAAAAATAACTTATTAATTATTATAGTAGCTAATAAATATAGTTATATTTATTATTAATACTTATAAATTCTATATAATATTATAGAGTAATAACTATAGAATAAATAAAATACTTTTATTAATAGTATTTACTTTAAAAATAATAAAATTAGTAGAAAACTAATAAATAAAATAGATTAAATTTAATTTAATATATAAGATTAAAATTATTTAAATTATAAAAATAAATTAAATATATATATTAGTTTATATTACTTTAATTAAATTAAGAAATATATATTAATAAATAATTATAATATTCTCTCTAGTAAAATAAGTATTATAATTATAAGTTATTTATTTACTATATTAATTATAAAATATTAAAAAGTTTCTATTATAGTAAGAAAGTTATTAGAAAATTATTAAGTTAAATATTTATAGTATATTTTTAGAAAAAAACTAAAATTAATAAAGATACTCTAAGTACTATATATAGAGTACTTAAATATATTTAATAATTTTCTCTATTTAATATAATTTTTCTACTAATAATTTAATAGAAACTTTCTAATTTATAAATTTTAAATATTTAGTTTATACTACTCTCTTATTAAATAATAGAATAATTTAATATATTTTATTAAAATTTATAACTATTAGTAATATATATCTATTTATTAGAATATTATATAAATATATAAAATTAATTAGTTTAAACTCTTTATTTTAGAATTTAAACTCTAGCTAATTTAATTTTATTAGAAGATAAGTTTTATCTTTAATAATTAAAATTAAAAATAATAATTATATAGAGAAATATTATTCTATATTAGAAATAACTAATTAAATTAAATTTAAATTATTTTTATTTATATATTTTATAATATTTACTAAATCTTTTTATATATTATTAATATTTATAAAATTAAAAAAAATTTTTTATTTTTATTATTAATATTATATATTAGCTCTAAATTATATATTATTATTAATTTACTAGTAATTAAATTAAACTAATATATTATTTCTATTAATATTAATAATAGTAATAATATATTATAACTCTAATAAGCTACTAGAGTCTTTAATTTTATCTAATACTAATAGAATATTTTATTTTTATAGTAGAATATAGTACTTTAATAAGCTCTAATATAGAATCTCTAGTACTAAATTAAAATAGTACTATATTAATATATAGTATTATAGAGTATTAATATACTATAGTACTAATTTATATTAATTCTAAATAGTATTAATTTATTATAGTATTAAATATTTTAATACTAAAAAATTATCTATATATAAATTAGTAGAAATATATATATTTAATTAGAATATTTTAAAATATTTTTAGTATTTCTATAGTTCCTTAATAAATTAGTACTTTTTTAAATTATAGTTTTGGAATAATTTTTCTACCATTCTAAAAAACCCCCAGACGGCCCTATGGTACCTATGTCGGTTATCGGAATGGATTAACTAATTCCCGGGATTTTACAGATCACGTGGTCATGAAAATAGGTGACTTCCAAAGCCGAACACTATCGATCTCGCATATAGTTAATCCACCAATACTCAACACCTAATGATTTACACGCACAGCTCGGAGCGATTTGGAAGCAAAAGAGTCACTCTTATATACCTAAGCTAGCTACATGGACATTTGACAAAAGACAGAGCAAGCACTATAAAAAATATCCTTGACCCAGGATGTGTTTCATACATTTCCTCAGTTTCCTCCAGCAATTATATTAACAACCCCCCCTCCTCGACTGACAGTTGGACCTCTCTTATCACCAGGGCCGTCTTCCAGTCACATTATCTCGCTGGGTAGGATGGCAACAATTGACGTGATATTTGGTAGCTGTCTTATTCATTAACAATGGGAACGGTCAACTAGCATGGTGAAATAGGGAAACTGAGATTAACTGACCCCGTATTGATTAATTTCACTGTCTTAATTATGATAAATGCTCCACTGAGTATTTTGCCAGCCGGTTGTCACTATCTGGCAAGGCATCTCACCTGAGGCGCCGACTTTATCAAACCACTTGAACTTCTGGATGGACGTGTTGATAACGTCGATGATATCCTGATTCCCAACCTTGATAGCATGCCAGCCGGGGCCAGCATTTCTAACGCCGAGCGCGCAGGTTCCGAATTGGACAAGTTGATGCCACCCACCAACTTGAACGGTCCAGGTTCCACCGGCGGCGATGTTGGAGGCGATTTTCAAGCAGTCAGCAGCTAGAGGGGAGGCTGGTGAACTTCCGTTGGTAAAAGTTGAGTCTCCACAGTCATTTGCTGGGCTGAGCGCAAAAACGATATCAGGGTCATTGGGCTTCTCATTTGGAGTCTGAGGCGCAGGTGTGGTCGTGGCAGTCGGTGCAGCCGAGGCACAGGCAATAAGGGAGACAAGGACAGCAGCTGCGTTGAACTTCATTTTGAAGAGTTCCACGGTGCTTGAAAAGAGAGAAGAGTAGCTAATGAGGTCAATGTTGTTGATGCTGATAATACTATGCTTGACTTGTAGGAAACCACCCAGAGGTTTATATACTATTTCTTTCTGCTTACAATGTTAGAAATGGTTCCTTGTCCATCAGCATAACGTTGAATTCGCTTCCACCTAACATTAGCAAGCCAACAGCGAACCATCCTGATTCCTTTCCCAACCACATGCATAACAAGAGATTTATTCCCATGTCAAGGGTGTGGCCAACATTAATGAGAGCTTCTAAGTGATGCACGAATGTCATTGCATCAAATCCCTTGATAAGATATTCCCGACTAGAGGTGAGAGGGCAATCGGAATGCTTCCCCCGACCTTGTGCATAGCATTTCACTGACACCGATATCGAGGGATAAAATACCAACATTAATAAGGCCAGTCAATGGCCTCCCAGTGGCGCCCTCTGATTATATACATGCTGTTGGCGCATTAATCCCCACGTCAGGTTATTCATACCAACAACAATAAAATCACTTGAATGGCTTCCCATACACCATGCCAGCTAGTGTGTTGATAATTGCTATATCAAAATGTGGAATGCCAACATTAACTGGAGTTTCTGAATGGCTTTCCCGATACTAGTCATAGCTTTAAGTGCTCTGGTTTTCATGTAAGGATTCTAGATTGTAATAGAAACGTTTACATAGCTTTTTCGACCACTTGTGTAGCATCGCACTGAAGTAGAGTAATCAATGCTACAGTATGAATACCGGACACGGGTATATGCTGCCTTGTCTCCAGGTATGTCAAGATATATGTAAAATGTTGGCTGCAAGCTGAGACATGTGAATAGATTCTCCACCTTGAAACATATGGACTACTGACTAGAACAGCAAGGCATCAAAAATGGGTATCCTACCCTCTATCTATGTACATGAGATGCCTTAACTCCGGGATCAAATTAGAGAAGGTTCTAATTAACGACAGTGCCCTTACTTTTTATATGGATCAGATTAACACATCTAGAACCTCCGGAGAATAGGCATTGATATTACAAATAGTTTCTCGGTGATAGAATAACTAATTACTTTGGCAGCCGTATTGGTTCATATACATAGCTTGCCATACGAAGTGAAAGAGATAGTCTGCTGCACCATGATTGGAGGTACATGTGTCAGGTTGGCTCGTGGACTGGGGCAGTATTTTGATGGTCCTGCCGAGAAAAGTTGACTAACTAGTTAGTTAGTTAACTAGTTAGTTAAGGGCAACAAGCCAATGGGGGAAGGCCAAAAGTTAACTTAGTTGCCAAGGCTGAACCAAACTCTCGGGCCGTGCCGGATCTGCGAAAGTTAAAAGGTTAATTAATACAATAACACAGCATCATGCAGTTCACGAAGCCTGCATATCACCGTGCTATCTGGGGTAATTCCAATCTAAGGCATTTTATCAAGAATTTATAGAAGAAGCTGCTGGAAAAACCCAATTATACAAAGTGGCCTTTAGCAGTAATTGCTCTTAGCACTGCACTGTCTGTTAGTTAACTAGTAGTTGTTGGATATTCAGCAACGAAGCAGAACACGCTTTAAAGTGGATGAATCCTTCCAAAATGAACATTCAATAGTTGAGTTGGCTTCAAGCTTCATGGATTGTATTCTCCATCAGGTGGTAAAATCCCAATGAAAATATTAACCCCCCACCCCACCCCTCCCCCCCACCAACCCCCTGTTATCCGTACTCTATACCACGGCCACGAGAGTTGGAAAGTAATGGTAGGCATGGTTGGTAATGAAGCAATGACCGAAACCCAACCCGTTTTCCTCCGGGAGGGGCAGAGTACTCTGTATGCGGGCAGGGCAGGAGTGGGCCACGATCCTGGATGTTCAGTGGAGAAGAATGGATAATGACTCAAGACCATTTAATGAATGGGTCACTTAAATTTGGCCTATGGAAACATCATGCGGTTCCTGCAAACGTCGACAATGGCGCCAACATGTTAGCGTTGGTGTATACTTTTCATGCTGGACCCATATGTTTCACGCATTCACAAGGATTGGGCCAGGCGTTGGCGTGATCATGGATACACAGAGCAAGTTCAGACGGTGAACAAAAATGGCGATAACTCTTCATTCGCAGAGGTCGATTTCTGCCGTCGTTGCCGCCCAGCGCTCTCATTTGATAGTTACAGTTATATAAGCGGAGCACTCCGTACATAGTTTTATCTAACTAGACAATGGGAAAACCTTAACTATAATAGCTAATAATGGATATCAAGAAAATATGGGTGACGAATTTTCTTCCGCCGCCGCTCCCGGGGCTATTGCAGTCTTGGGGGGATCCCCTAGACAATGAGGGGGTTACGATATGGCCATCAGTAGTTATATAACATGGAGGGAGCTTGCTGTTGTGACTGCCTATCAAACAAGATGACACGAATACTCTGCCCGTCGAAACGTGTCCAGTCCACCTTTGTGGCCGGTATCTTACTGGTGCTTGGCTATTCCCTATACTACTGGCAGTTCATAAAATCGGTCCAAACACCGATCGGTACTGCTTCTCTCCTATGCGGATTTTGCTGGTATGAAGAATCTAATAGTGTGATATCTAGAGTCAGAACCTTTATATTTTTTCGATTTCCCCCGTAACGCAAGTCATGTTCACAAAGGGCTGATACTGGCGAAAACAAGAAAGGAAGACGTCCAATGGCTCCAAGAGTTCTGCGCGGAATTGTAAGAAGGAAATTGACGAAACTATTGGAATTTTTGCTTACCAACTACATGAGCTACAGTCAGGATTATACGCCTTTTATATACACTACTGAATCACTGCCAGAAAAGGGCTTCCTAGTACCGTACTCTGCGCCCGGCCGTGAAATTCAGGGTCGTGAGGCCGTCGCCTACCTAACTTTCATTGTCGATTACTACGAGAGTCTACCGGACTATCTAGTATTCATCCATGCCAACGAGAACCAATGGCACAACGACTTATTTGGCGGCAAAACTAGCAAAACCCTGAAGAACTTCCGTTATCAAGGTGCTGATTCCCAAGGTTATGTTAATCTACGCTGCTCTACCGATCCTGGCTGCCCTACCAGTGTGAATCCACGAGATCCCACCCTACAAGATACACGCCACAAGGATGTACGATTATATCTAGCGGATATCTATATGTACCTGTTTCAAGTTCCTTACGAAAGTGTTCCAGAGCATATTGGCGGAGTGTGCTGTGCGCAGTTTGTAGTAACGCGGGAACAGGTCTTGAAAAGGCCCAAAACAGACTATGAGAGGATGCTGAGCTGGGTATCTGGTACAAGAATTACCGACAGCTTTGGGGTAGGGTGGGTGATGGAGAAAGTCTGGCATGTTGTTTTCAAGATGGAGCCCATCTAGTAAGTAGAGTTCTGTTCCCTGAGCTCCCTCGGTTAGTTACTGAGTGCTTTTTTGCTCTTTTCCTTTTCCTTTTAATGGGTTGGCCAACTCTGCTTACAATATAAACAGCTGTCCATCATACGAGAAATGCCGCTGTGACAATTATGGCTGGTGCGAGACATAGAGACGGGAAATTTCGACTCTTGGATTTAACTTCTGTGATATATCTATTTATAACTAGTTTCCAAATGAAGAACTTCCAGAGAAACCCATTAAAAGGAAGGAGAGGCTCTTCGATCTCGCCTTCCGGAAGTTCAGGGGTGGATCCCTCAGAGGGAAATCGCGGCTGGAGGGCGAGTCAAATGCTCCTTCCTGGGAAGCTCCGGGTATCCCTCCTGCTCCTGCTTATCTAGCTGTTTGTTGGATACCTCGGTTCAAGGGGGAAATATCGTGCTTTTATTTACTTCCATACTATGAACGAATCCATTCTGGACAAAGATGGCCAGCTCCGATGATCTAATATTTTCTTCTATTCTGCGTTCTCCCTATTGTCGTTCAGAGGGACACCGTTGAATAAATTAGCCCATGCAGTTATCTACTTATTACCAATTCAACACGGACAGCGTACTACTACTGGGCTTTTGTCTCCTCTCTTGACCTTCTACTGCCGAGTAGCCCTTATATATTGTCAAATACGGCATCTTCACAAGAGAAAAGGATATTATTCTCTGAGTTTGCCAGTATATTATTCTACGAGAATGGACTAGCTTACGAGTATGTAGAGAGAAATGTTGATTAGGGCATGCTAATCGACGACAGGCATTATAAAACAGCAGAGTAAGGATCGAATGAAGGGTAAATATTAGAAATTACACAACCCACTTCAAAGGACAGGACAAAGCAAATGCTTTCCCCCATAATTACCAAGACGCCACTATACCAAGGTTTAGCTCGGTAGAGTCGACGGCAAGCAAAGATGGGGTAGTGTGTATATATAGACGCCTGAAAATCCTGCTATACCCGAAATTTTTCCATTCAAATCCCCTTCCAGTCCAAGTAATAAGCCGAAGCCAAAGATAATCTTTTACACCGGACGGATATAACTTGGATGGAAAGCCATTGTAATTGTAGCTTTGTGCGGCGGCAATCCTTATACCTGAGACATTGTTGGCGGCTGTCCACGGCTGGGTGACGTACGTTGGCGGTCTCCACCCCCAGAGAAGCGCTGCTTGACGCGCCAGAGGGAATATAGGGTTGACAGCAAAAAGGCAAACCACAAGAACCACAAGAAAGCAGTGGCCGCCTGTCCTTCACGGCATGTTTTCTCCCCAGACTTCGATCCGCTGCTGACTGTGTTTGTGGATGTGTAGTCCTGTTTTAATGTTAGAAGCCATTATCAAAGGGACTTGGCGCGAATTGGAGTGTTATCATTTCACATACCTTATTGGAACAGCTATGCACATGCTGTCTGGCCGGAAGGGCAATAGCTCCACAGAAGGCAAAGATACAGCAGAGAGCATCGATAAAGAACATAAGAATGGGATGGAGCATGATTTTGTCGCTGAGCGAAGCCGGGATAAGATAGAGCAAGGACAACAAGATGAATGCCGGTACGAATAGATTATAGTTGACCACCGACGAGCTGCCATGTATGGCGTCATCAATCATGTTTCCTATCAGGGCCATAACAATGACCGCAAGGGCAAGCTATAGATATGAAGGTCAGTTTCGATTTCTTGTTGGCAACAACAGACTTGAGGGTGGTATACCTGAATGAACCGAAGGGCAGCGCTGCCCCATTTCGCTACATCAGGCATCGTGAAGATTCTTTGGGCTGGCCTCCTACTTAGGGTATTCAATCTGGACCTAGTGAATATATCAGGAGATCGAGCGGAACAATTTCCAGCGTTTCAAGCGTCAAGCAAAGATTGGAGTGATAATATTCGATCGATTATTGCTATTAATCGCCAGTTGTAAGAAGCCAAAGAGGAAAAATTTCAAATCCATTTCTTGAACAGAGAGAAAAGAAGCCGGTCACGTTAAACAGACGTCATATGGCTCCATATAGAACAGGGCTTTTGTTTGTTTTGCGGGCAGTAAAAAGTTCTTCTATAAGCAACTCCGCTCATCTAGACCACGTCTGATATCCACAGTTTCGCTTGCGGGCGAGTCGCGATGCAGATTAGTAATAAAGTTGGCCACTTCGCCTCCGGAAAATCATCTATCCATGAGTTTAAATCGACGTCATCAGAAGATCAAACTGATGTCATGTGCATGCAGGCTGTTTGCAAAATTTATGTTCATTTTATAAAGATACAATATTGCTTGAAGGGGTTGGAGATGCTGGGAAAGAAAGCACACGCTGATATAGAGGGTATAGATCAACTAACAACGGCCAATTGTGCAACAAGATCTGATGCAACGTCCAAGAAGGGATAAGGACTCGTCACCTCTTTTTCCTTATTGCGTATTCGTTTGCTTATTGGTCGCCATTCTGTGGTGGTGTTATTTTCATGAGCAACTTGGATGACATTTTGATAGCCATCACATTTAAAGTCGACCATGTAGTTCTTCGACTCGATCTGATATAACTGAATGTCTATGAAAACCCACACACCGTAGGAGAGGAGGGCAGGGTGGGACGAGTGGGCTGACGATATTGCGGTGCCACCTGCAGCTGCCGCTGCCGATGTTGCCGTCTTATCCTCTGGGTGTAATATACCGCCTATCAGGCTAACGCGGCGACGGAACTCTTCTAGATCGCTGCGACTAGAGTGAGCGCTGCTTGATGGACCAGGGGCGAGAACGCCTTGCTTTAATAGCCGCGCACGGATAAACCATAAATCCTTGGGGATATAATAGTCCGGTGGCAAGTCAGGGTACTTGTGTTGCAATGCCTGTGGGAGTTCAGTTGTCATCTGTGGAGTTCTGCCACTATCGGAGTCATGTACTTCTAAAAGGAGATTAGCAATTGTGCGTTGGCAGATACTCCAATCTGGGAAAAAAAAAAAAAAAAAAAAAAAAAAGAACACCTACCAGGCTCGGCCGGCTGGATTTCCCAAACGCCCCCTTCCGCCCGAATAGCTTTGTAAAGACACAGCATTGCTTCATATGGTTGATTCCTAGAACGTATTCCAAACTGCCATTTTCGAGAACGTTTTGGCGGAGGGGCTGTAGCAGGTGTGGTGCTTGGTTTTTGGTATTGTAGCTTGTCCAAATCAACTTTGCTGCGTGAATGGGGCCGAAGAGACCGAGCAGTTGCCGCCTGTTCTTCGGGAGAACGCTCTTTGTTGATATCATTCTCAGATTCCTTGCCATCAGGCTGCAATGATCTACCTCGGCTTTCCGCTGATAATTCCTCTTCTTCATCTTCACCAAGCAGGCTCTTCTCGGCTCGTTGCTCCATTATCTGGTCGTGTACGTATGGCAAACTGGTGGGTAGAATGCGGACATGGCTTAATCGTTGAGTGTCTTCTCCGCCCCCTGCTGAAGGAGTTTGGGATGGTGTGCTTGATGAAGTGCGTGGCTGGTATGGCGTCAATGGAGCAAGCGGTGAGCTCTGAGCACTGGAGTCAGGGTTAGGACTTTGGCCTGGACGGTAAGATGGTGATGGGCCGCCCCCTAATTGCGCAGCCGATGGTTGGCCAGGCTCATTCTCAGTCGGGGCTGGATTAACGTTAGCAAAGCAAAGACTAGTAAAAACATGTGAATAATACCATATGCAGGGGATTGATTCTCACAATTCATCTGCATCATCTCATTCTCGACGACAATAAAGAAGGCATCCTTGATTGCACTAGGCTCAGGCTTCCTCAGAGCGTCCTGAATGTCATCCTTGCCATAGCCCATTCTTCGTTCAAGTTTGTTAACTGCATTCTCATGGATACGTTCCTGTATAGCAGCAGATCTTCCGGGTGCGATCTTCCGTGGATCAATTGCTTTATTTGGATCTGCACCAGTGCCAACAAAATCCTCGACGGGTGGTTGCAGGTACTTCGGGAGACCCTTTAAAAACCAAGGATCCTGCCGTATTTCGGGTATGGAAATTCGATGTACGGGATGAACTTGAAGCATGTGCCTGATGAGGTTGGCAGCACCCGTCGAGATATATGATGGCATATGAAAATTTCCAGCGGATATCTTTTTGAAGAGAGATGGAATGTAGTCGTCGTCAAAGGGTAGCTTCCCTACCAGAAGTACGTAAAGAATGACTCCGCAGCTCCATACATCAACCTCTGGGCCAGCATAAAGCTTGCCAGAGATAACCTCTGGAGCCGCATAGTTGGGACTACCGCAGCTCGTTTTCAAGAAGTTCCCATCAGTCATGATGTTACTCAGACCGAAGTCAGCAATCTTTACGTTCTTGTCCTTGTCGATAAGGAGATTCTCGGGTTTAAGATCTCTGTGAACAATTTTATGTCGATGGCAGTACTCCACTGCGCATATAATTTGCTGGAAGAAGATGCGGGCTTCGTCATCGTTGCACCTCCCTCTCTTTACGAGATAGTCGAATAGCTCCCGTTCAGCATACTCCAGAACCATGACAATATCCGTCTTCGTAGCGATTACAGTATACCTGTTAGGAAATAAAAAAAGGAGGCAGCCATTAGCATTTACTGTACTGTCACACTGCTGACGGATACTCCAACTTACAGTTTGATAATATGAGGGTGCCTTAAGAGTTGGAGATACTGGATCTCGCGCTCAACCCTCCCAACCATGTCTCTTGACTGTAGCTTCCGCCTCGGTATAATCTTGAGTGCTACCGGCCGCCCGCTAGCTCTGTGAGTGGCAAGCTTCACCTTTCCAAAGGTTCCTTCACCCAGATTTCTCACCGCAGTATATTGATCGAGGCGTTGCATGTCTCGAGCGGTGGCAGGAGACTGGTCAAGCCGTTCGTTTCCATGCCGTGGAGCTTGCTGCGGTATACTCGGGTGCCCATGAGGATTCCTATTCCTGTTCTGTTCGTACGAAGGAAGGGAGATCGAGAGATCTTCGTCGTCGAAGGCGGCCGACATGGTGACGGAGAGTATATATGACCGGATGTCTTCGGATAAGGGGAAATGGCGTTGTCTATCAAACTGGTGCCGCTACACCGAGGACATAGCAGATTCCATGGACTGGAACTCGATAAGCGGTGGGGGTGATGCGCGTAGTAAGCTGTTGAACTGATCGCTCAACGACTTTCCATTATGGCTAGGCGGGGGCGAACAGGCAGTGCGCAGTCTCTCGGATCTTGTTCAGTGTGACTATTCCCCAGTCAACCTGCAGGCTAGCATATGCTTGCTCTTCCAGCGATTGCGGTTGATGTCTGCTGGTCGTTGCAGAGGTTTCGCCTTCACGATGTTGTTAATCGCAGATGCCGACGGAGTCTCAAGGTTCGCAAGGGGCCAGGGACCTCGCTATATTTTGCAGCTAACGACGTCTTACCTTCCTCTTTAGAGTCAATCTTGCTTCTTAGTCATAGAGTTAAGCGCTTCTTGCCGATTGACGTTTTTGAGTTTTGACATGTCACATGACCATAGCCCCGCGCTTATCATTTGCCGCGACGTCAATAAAGTTGGACGCCGAGGAAGCTGAAGTTGGTCCCATCTTCGGAGATTTTACACAGCTAGTTAAGTCGGGTCATATATACGCTGAGGAGAAGGCGTGATCTGGACATTCTTTGTTTTACTTAGTTGTGTGACTTCTATTAGTAACTGGTATGTGTCGTGTTTATGGTAGTTAGCCTTATCTATGGTTCTTATCCGCTTCCGCTTTACCAGCCATTACTGTCGATATAACAGTTCCTATGGAAAGCCGATAAGCCGGTAACGGAACGGCTGCAGCCCAGGGACTTATCTTTTGCAAGCTCAGACAATGGGAGTATAGCTAATAATGATCAAACGGGTTTAGATTTTTGTGGTATAAAATCCTGACTAGAGTCGGGTGCTACTATATAGCCCATCGTCCTTCCATCCATCTTCCCCCGAGGTCCGCAGAAGAATTACTTCAAGCCACCCTTCACATAACACGCGCTAACAACGTATTGAGCGCTTCGATGATGTCTGACAAGTCCGCGGGAACGCCTCGTGTATATATATGCCGTCATGGTATTTATGTCCCCTCCCGACGCTCACTCTCTCAGTCTCTCTCAATTATGAGAACCGATATTAAACCAGATGTCTAGGAGAGACTGAGTGGAGCAAGAATGGTCAGCACACGGGGAAAACAGATATCGAGCTCACGGAGCGAGGAATGCAGCAAATCCAGGCATCAGGAAGCATCCTCATCGGGCCCAACAAGCTGATAGACCTCTCCAAGGTCGCGCACGTCTACGTGAGCCCGCGCAAAAGGGCATACCAGACTTTTGAGCTCGCCATCTCAGAAGCCGATAGGAAGTTATTGGTTGAGGAAGGCCGAGTTTCGAGAACCGACAGGTTGGCAGAGTGGGATTATGGTGACTATGAGGGCTTAGTTTCGGCTGATATACAAAGAATGAGAAAGGAGCGAGGATTAGATAAGGAGAGAAATTGGAATATTTGGCAGGATGGATGTGAAGGAGGAGAGTCGCCTGAGCAGGTATCCGAGCGGGTCGACAGCTTGATCGAAGAAATTCGTCGAATTCAGGGTCCGAATATCAACGGAGAGAAAGCGTGTGATGTAGTCTTGTTTGCGCACGGTCATCTTCTGCGTGCCTTTGTTAAGAGATGGGTGAATATTCCGCTTGAGTTTCCGCTGGCTATGATGCTTGAACCTGGTGGCGTTGGCGTCCTCAGGTAAGTTTTTGAATGCCGTATAGCCCTTCATTCGATTGTACAGTTCTGACTCTTGGTTGTCAGCTATGATCATCATGATATCAACCAGCCTGCCATTCTTGTTGGAATTGGCCTTCCATCCCCTCCAGTTTAAGTACCGGTAGAGTCGGATCTTTATAGAAACGTCAATTAGAGACTTAGAAAGGCCATTGATGTATATCAGCGCGTAAATAACGTTATCAGCTTAATTTTGTGCTTGAATCTCACTCATAATAAAACAGGTTTGGTACATTTGAGTACCGACGCCGTAGTCGTCCGAATAAAGGCTATTGTACATGAAAATATTGCCTATCAGAAACTCAACTTTTTCGTTTTGTTTTTGCGTGGCTGAATTTCGTCAAAAGAAAAGCATGAAAGCGCCGATATAACACCAGAAGTCAATAATCGAAGGGTGTGAAAGAGGTTTTTTCGCATAGAAGGATCAAATGAAATATGGCTGTGAGAAGAGTCGGGAGATTGTCCGTGGAAAGTAAACACCGAATAACACCATGCTAAGCCAAAAAATAATGGGGGAAATAATACAGTAGAAGGGTCCACGAGAGGTGGAAAGTGGAGGTCCAAAAAGAGACATCCAGGTATCGACGTAGCAGATGTCAGAGAGCGCCATGAAGCAATCACTCCTCATCATAATGCCCTTCCTTTTGGGTGCCGTTTAGCCAGACTTGCTTCCATGGGCCCCCGTGGGCTGGGATGCCCTCTCGATCCTGTCTCATGCCTTCCACGACACCAACTATGCCGCCGTTCCGAAGCCTCTCGAGGACAACATTCATGCCCTGTTTGCTGCGAAGAACAGCATCTCGCGTCCGTTTCACTCCAATGAGCTCAATTGTCCGTTGAATGCCGGCAGTGGACCAGGAAGCAAAGAACCCTTTCTTGGGAGCCTCGTCGTCAACGGTGGTATCCTTTTTCGATCGACCAAGCATATTCTGGCCCAGGCGAGACTTGAATGTGACCGTGGTTTTCACCGACGTACATTCGCCTTTCAGGTTATCGTCAATGCCTAGGCCGCCTGATAACGCAGACAGAGAAGGAGAGACAGATGAATCTGTATTTTCAGCACGACAGCGATGGTATTCCTGCCTTTCAACCACGCTGAGAACCCCCGTCCACTCCATATTGCGAGACTCTGTCCGCATCCATCCTTCGTTGACGTCAATGACACTGGTCTCGAGAATCACACTCTGGCCCGAGTTGTCCGCGCCACCAATTCCCTTGGGCAGGAGCTTCAGCATGGCCGAGGGGACTTTGGACTTCTTCAGATGCAGCCTCGTCGTGTGCAGTCGTTTCGTGACCGGGTCGACATACCGGTCGATCACGTCTGAGGCTAGGACATGGCGAGAGTAAGGGTTGGGATACCGGAGGAAGTATGCAAGCGTAACGGCCGGAAAGGAGTAGTCGTAGTTGAAAGTGTTCTCGAAGAACTTCATCGTTTCAATGCATCAGCATCCTTTGGAAGGGGCAATCAGCGAGATGTCGGGTCTCCTAACCGACGTCCTTTGCTTAGTGGCCGTTGGTCGTTGTTTGATCGTGGATAGTGCTTCTTCTTCTCCTCGTCGTCGCTTCGTCGTCGTCGTCGTCTTGTCGTCTGCTTCATCTCGTGCTTTTCTTCCTCTTTTTTTTCTTCTTCCTTCCGGCATTGCGCTAAGCCGCATCAGGCGATGAGCGGGGATGTTGACTAAGCCATCACGTGATAGGACATTTGGGGCTTTTTTTCTCGACGTCGCGACGTCAAGAAACGTTCAACTTCGACATCGACATCGACATCAATACGACGGGTCTTGACATGTTTCTACTATAAAAATAATACTTTTCCATTACAGTGTGCAGCTAAGGAAGCTTCAAAGGATTGATAATTATTATCCATGATGATGGCTTTCAGTCTAGTGATATCAGTACATTTGTTCTGATCTCCTGCAGAAACATAGTTAATCAGCATGTTACAGGAGATGCTCAAGGCAAGGAGGTCGTGTTAAAAAGCCGGTTTCCGGTGTCGGTAGAGCCTCTGCCTGTATACTTGTTCTGTGATACCCGGAGAGCAACGACAGTCACTTTTGCTCCGTAGCGAAGCTTTTGCGTGAGCGCTCGTCTGGAGATGCATTCTGCCTGAAAGACACCAGCAACCACCACAATGCGGACGGTAGAGTGTAAGATTTGGATCCGTCCTAGAAACTCGGCTACTGTCTTGCCGCTATTGATCACCGAGTCAACTATGATGATGGTGACTTTCCCCTGTACATGGTGAGGCTTAATATCCTCTGGAGATTTCACATGAGGAAAAGATGCCTTGGGAAAGCTCTCCCAAACTCCACGAGCCATAGGTTCTCCTGCGCGCATCACCGCCACAATCAGCGTCTGACTTTCGTGGTATAGCTGATGACCATTTGTCTCATGGCCCAGAACATGTGGAATGGAATACTCGTCAACGCCAATAGCCTCAGACAAAAATTCAATTGCCAGATACTTTCCCACGGACATATGAGCTTCGCAGAGATTTGGACCAGCAACGTTTGCATTTTGCATTTGGGTCATTAGCAATTTAGCTGCATTCTTTTCCGTCGCATGAGTTAGCTGAATGGAGGGCGGCGAAGGAAATGGAACAAAGTCCATGAAGTCCGCGCCGGTAATATCCAATGAAGGAAGTCTCTTGAAATCAAGCGGCATTGGTGTGGTGGGAGGTAAAACAACTTGCTTCAGGCGGATACCACCACGCTCGATAGCCTCAACCAAGACGCATCCATGGACTTACTTCTGGTTGCCTCTGGCCCAACCACAACGATGCCTCTGTCTGCAAGCTTCAGCATTTCCAGGTCTAATGGGCTGTCACCAAACGCCCAGATCTTCATATGGTACTTGTTTTGCAAATAGCTGACCAATTCCCCTTTCACACGCCCGTAATGACCGGGCCTTCGGTAATCCGGCCACTTCCAATTATTTTCACAATGCCAGACAGCCGTTCTTTCTCCAAAACCATTTCCCACACGCGTTTTATGCCGCATGTAATGACAACAGCTTGAACATGCTCTTGTTCCGCTACACGGTGGAGTAGACAGACAAATTCAGGATACATGGATACCCCTGCAGCCACCTCGCTGCAAGACCTATCAAACTCTTGGTCATCGCCTGACTCTTCATAGAGCATTGCAGCCTGGCAGAAAGCAGCGTATGAATACCCTAATTTACTGCTGAAAATATCCTCCAATGAGGCGCCTTTGGCCTTCGATGAGCCAACTTTTTCCCAGAACAATGCCCCGGTATCCTTTTCAGATAAAGTCTTGTCTGCATCCAAGACAAGCATCATCAACGGCGGTTTGTCACCAATAATGATGTCTAGACATGCTTTGGCACGCTCCAGATTGAAGCTGTTGCTATTTAGTTGGAACTCATGTAACAAGTTCGCTACTCTGCTCTGCATATCCGGTCCAGGTGCAACACACATGAACAAAATACCATGCTCGAGGCAAAGTGGACGAAGCTGTGATATTTCCATCTCCTGTCACATATGTAGCTCCTCTGTGCTGATATAAGGGCGATCCCGAGTCGAGTCGAAAGCACGGCGCTCAAATAATACCTCAGTCGGAACATTCAAGTAAAGGATGTGTGTGTATGTGTCGAGGTCATCTCTAGTAATCACCGGGGGCCCAACTTTGCCTTCATTTTCTTCGAAGAAGCTGAAATGGCCAGAGACAATAGCTGCCTTTCCACTTTGGATGCACGTCATCCGGATCGAGTCAATTGCCGCTTTCCGTGATGTCATCTGTCGTTCTCTGCTCCAAGCTTTGAACTGGGCGAGGCCTCCAGGGGTTACTTCATCGATAACCTGTGAGCCTTCATAAAACAGGAAATCATCCTTGAGGGTCCTCCTCAGTTGATTCAGCAGGGTAGTCTTCCCAGAGCCAGAAACTCCGTATAATCCTATGACCACAGGCCTCTCTCGAGCCGAAGATTGGATTGTTTGTGCCAGTGCCATCGCCATCAGGATGGGATCCCTACCTGGTCAGCCCGTATTGTTAACCAAAAAAGTCTGGAGAGGAGAGGGATGCAATCTCGCTTCTGTTTGAGCTAGGCAGATTCATCAACAATGATGTTGAGGTAGAGGACACTATCACATAGTGCTGCTTCCTAGCGGTGCTTTATATGTCACCTGAGATCTTTAGAGCCAGTTTCTATTGCTACTCTGCATCAAAAAGCTGCAATAGTCTTTGACACAGGATACACTAGAGGTACACGTTCTGCAAGATGCCTAGGGATAATGAAGTAGTAGGCGGAAAGAAAGAATAATCAACCACTTATATTATATCTCTGCAGGCAGGCGATTACCTGGTCCTTGCATAAAAGCCGGGAAGTACTCCCCCCCCTTCCAGAAAAGCAAACTACATGAAGAGGTTGTTCAACTGCCATTATCATCTCTCAGCCTCTTGGACCGGCTAAACAGCGAGTCTGTAGCCACCCGCTGCCCACCCTAGACTCTTTCTCCTGGGAGGAGCATAGTTACTTAACTACTTTGTCTACAGTACTGCACTCTCAAAAGGACTTTGACTCAGAATAATAGTAAATGCAAGGTAAATACCAGTAGCGCTAACTACCTCCTGCAGTTAACGAGCAACTTGACAAGCTCAAACCGCCTTTGCAGCTGCGACAAGCGAAAAATTGGCTCTTTTCTTCGTTAAAGCATCTGTATAAGCATCATACGGATCGAAGTAATCCCTAATGTCTGCGAACTCTGCTAACTGTGGGCAGGACAGATTCATAACTAACTAGTCAACTCGTTACGGAGCAAGCCCCTGGCCTCATTGCCAATCCGATTTCTAGTTAAGCCTAGGGATTGGCAAGCATATATATAAGTACGGAGTAAAGAGTTTCAAGTCCAGCCACCCTCTTCTTCTACGTCCATCTTTTCTTCGAATAATACTGCTTGAATCGAGTGGCTTCAGAGATGGGCCTAAATTCACGGGAGCCATGGCTTTTCAAGCTACAGTCTTCAGAACCATTTATCATCTTCGTGATCAATGTTGCCATGTTTACTGTACGGGAACCGAATGATTCTGGGGATACGATAACTGACTGCTTATAGGACACCCTGCTTTATTCCTTGATAGGTTTTGGGTCGTCGGTAGCAACCTAGATTTTTATCTGACGATTCCAGATTATACCCGTTATCCCAAAGGCCCTGGTTTCACGTGCGGGAGTAGTGCAGGACGATGGTATGGACTCTCCAATCCCTTTTTGAGGCTCAGAGATTAGATGCCAAAGCTGCTACGGTCCAGTTTTGGGTATCGATACTTTTAGCTGCATACGGTGCTACGCTTCTATTGGGGTCTTGTACGTTCCTTTGGAGTATACAACATCGACGACGTCATGGACTCTAACCTAGCAATAGCTCTCTTTGGGTACCGCTCCGACCACTTCGGATCGCGGAAGCTTCCATTTACCCTGGGACTTGTATCACTATGCTCGTCGACAATTCTATTTGCAGTTGCACGCACACCTGCAGTACTGGTTATTTCCAGGGCCTTTCAAGGTCTCTCTTGTGCGGCGGTTTGGGTGGTTGGGCTAGTGCTACTTGTCGACAACATTCCTCAGCAAGGCATTGGACAAGCTATGGGTTATACAACCGTTAGTATGACAATGGGTGGCCTTCTTGGACCGATGCTCGGGGAGTATCGTATGGCCTTTTGGGGTACTATGGTGTCTTTATTTTCCCCACGCTGCTGATTATTTTAGATATCATACTGCGATTTGCTTTGATTGAGCAGTCTGGTATATCCTCCCTTCTCCTCCCTTCTCCCTCTTTCTGCCTACCGTCTACTGATAGTCTTAGTTACTAAACAATCGCTTGAGTGTGAGTCGTCTGGGGCAGAGGATGCAGCACGAAACGCCCAGGGCACATCAGCAGACGCCAATCCCAATCCAAACAACCAAAGGAAAAAAGATGAAGAGGCGCCTCTCCTATTGGCTCAGCACCCTGGGGCCAACGATGGCCCGAAGTCGAGTGTGCTCCTCCTCATGCGCTCTTCTCGTTTACTCGTTGCTCTGCTTTCTGCGGCGATGCTTTTTTGGTTCTGTCGAGTTTGGAGACAGTATCCCATAATAATAACGCAGAATTTCGTGCTAATTTTTCAATAGACCGTCCCACTTTTTGTCATGGACAGATTCCACTGGACTCCGAGCGGCGCTGGGTTGATTTTTTTTTCTTCCCGTCTCTCTCACAGAGATGGTGATTTGATCCATTATGGAAGTCTAGTGGACCGATTTGGAGCACGACGCCCTGGATCTCTCGCTTTTGCAGTGACAGGAGTGGCTTTATTTTCCCCGAGATTTATTCTGCATAATAACATTCCCGAGAAAGTTCTCATGGGCGGTCTGTTGGCAATTGTCGGCCTCGGCATAACGGTAGTCCAGATCATTTCCATGACTGAAGTTTCTCAAGTGGTCATTGATTACGAGGCACAATCTCCGGGTATCTTGGGTGGAAAACCCCCTATGGCTCAGGCTTACGCACTTTTCAACATGGCCTACGCAAGTGGGCAAATGTTGGGACCAGTTGTCGCAGGGTCTCTGCAGATTCGGACAGGGTGGAGCGGGATGACGCTCTTTTTTGGGGTTGCCAGTGCATTGTGCGCGTTACATATGGGCCTTTGAAGCGGTACGCTGTCGAAGGTAGAGGAAGGTGACGAGAATAACGGACCCGATCGTCAGGCCTGATTAATTTGCTGTCGCTTTAACTTGCCGCGGAGCGTATGTATGTATAACTCCCATGTTCAAATGTAAAGTATATAAGTTCAAATAACTGCCGTATTCTGGTCCACTCTCTGATAATGACGGCCATTCTTCACACGTATGGAGAAAGTACGAGGTAGTTATCTTATATCAGTATTATTATAGTACAGCGATTCTCTTAACGACACCTCAGGAGCTTTTATGGAGAAGGTTAGTTTTTTGACATGTGCAAAGTTAATGTGAGGACCAATTTTTGAGAAACTTTATTCAGCACTGGCACAGGGTTTTAGTGAAACAGCGAATGTTACGGTAACTATTCGTCGTTGGTATTTAAGTCCACTTGTTGACTCTGCACTCTTGCAAGGGGGTGGTAATGGCGGCTGGGTGCTGCATTCCGTTTGCATTCCGTTTCTGCATATGGAGTATGTATTATATACTCCATATATATAATGCGTTGAATTCTCGTCTCTCCATCAAACTAACGTGTTTCCGAACTCCATTCTCACCATGTCTATCCAACCGGACATCTATACAACACCAGCCCCTGCTGCAACCATGGCCCAAGAGGGATCGAGCTACTATGACTCACCATACATGGTAGAGTTCTACAATCTCAAGTGGGGCAAACCCAGCATGCCAGACATGGGTATATACTGGAAAATTTTCACCGATGCAGTCACCCAACACAGAGAAGCGGCACCAGACAAGCCCTTCTCAGTTCTCGACGTCGGAACTGGTGCCGGTCGTGTGCCAATCGGTCTGTTACAGCGTGCCGCAGCCGCCTCGTTCGATACTCGTAACATTCGAATGATCGGACTAGACAACGCGCAGCACATGCTGGATTTAGCGGCTAAGCTAGAATAAAAGACAAACAACAATACGGAGTACTCCCCCTGTTACCTGGATTTTAGGCAACGCTCTCGCACTCGACGAGCTTCCCACCCTCTTGCCGCTATCAGACAAGCATATAACTATCGATCTCCTTGTCTTTGCCTTTAATAGCGTGTGCCATATGGAGCGGGATGGGGAGCTCGCGCAGTTTTTCCTGCAGGTCAGTAAAGTGCTCACACCAGGCACGGGACGGGCCTGCGTAGGCCTTGCCGATTGGTTCCTCCTCAATCCAGGGGAGGATATGAAGGTTCGAGCTGAGAGCGAGGAATTACCACCGCTAGAGGACGTCCAGAGTGTCGACTTTCCTGGAATTTAGTACCATACTACCATGAACCGGATGGATTGCCAGGGCAAACTGTGCGTCTGTGGGGAAGATGTACAGGTCTTCCAGCAGCTGGATGATGGCAGAGACAAGGAAATTGAGGTCCATCGGGTCAGACACTCACTGCGCTGGTTTACAAAGCCCGAATTCTCGACTGCAATTGAAGCGGCAGGGTTACGGATCGTGGAAGTGAGCAAAGTGGATGAAAGTGAAGAAACTGCCGGTTACGATGATAACGTTTACATCTTGCAGCGTGCGTAAATTACAATACATAGAAGACCCACTTAATACAGAGTTTACTCAATTAGAGTTAAACGAAGTTAAGGTTTACATAAACTCTATCTTTTCTCCTGAAGTTTAACTTACAAGTGGGGAACTAACCTACTTTTGGGACGGAGTATGACGCGAGTAAATAACTGGCTATACTTATGTTCAAGGCTCTGCCGTTGCGTGGTGTATAATGAAGAGAGCCTACACTCTGTACGGAGTACGAGTACAAAACCACAAGATATTGTAAGAATCGGAGCAAAAACAGAATGGACGAACTTTCCAAATCAGTTGCCTTGAACGCAAGCATCCTTTCTGCGGAGCTTCGGGATAAGGGCCTACCTTCTCTCGACGATGAATCGTTCCCCGTTTCCTTTCCCCTCCTCAGCCCCGAGGGCTCTCGCGCTCGGTTTGAGCTCATATCCGCTGCACTAGATATTGTGCGGCTGGCTAGTGGCCCATCGGAATTTCTAGCAAATCTAAGCTTGCAGGTAACTAGCTACATTCTACGATGGAGTGAACCAGCGAGAGACACATAAAGAGAATGAGCTGACGGTGCTGGTCAGGGCTTCGAACTCAACACCATTGGAGCTATGATAAAACTCGGGGTTCCCCAGCAAATCCCTCTTGATGGATCTGTTTCACTCAGCTCTCTAGCCCAGTATGCCCAAGTTGAAGAGCAGCTGTTTACTCGTCTCGTGCGATATTCTATCGCCGTCGGTTTTCTATCCGAAAAGACGCCCGGCCAAATCAGCCACAACTCGGCTTCATCTGTTTGCGTACGTGATCAAAACACTACTGATAGCATTCTATCAAACCTCAATGTTGCAAACCCGGCGTCTGTGAAGATGGTAGAAGCTCTCAAGCTCAACCCTGCAGGGACTGATACATCAAGGACACCCCTCAGCGTTGCTTTCGCCCAATCTTTGGATGGTGCAGAGAAGTTAGGTACCATGTGGGATTTCCTCCGCGATCACCCGGAAGAGGAGGTTCGGTTCCATAATTCCATGGCTGCCACACATTCCACTTCAATTTACTCGTGTGAACATGTAGCCCGAGGTTTCGACTGGAATCAGGTCAAGTCAATTGTTGATGTGAGTGTCTCGAAAAGTTATTATCAGAAGCCCACACTCTAATTGGTATTAATGTTAGGTTGGTGGCTCCGAAGGACATGTAAGCATGGCAATAGTCAACTCTTACCCTCACATTAAATCAACCGTTCAGGATATAGGGGAGGTGATCGCCACCTCCCGTCAGCAGCTTCCTGCACAGTATAGCCAGGCCATTGAGTTCATCGAGCACGATTTCTTCCAGCCCCAACCTGTGCAGGCGGATGCGTATATTCTGCGCTTCATCTTACACAACTGGTCTGATGAGGAGGCCAAACGCATAATTGGTGGTTTGCTGCCAGTACTGAAGCCCGGTGTTCGGGTGCTGATTATCGAGCATGTCGTTCCTGAAAAGGGAACTGTGCCACTCTACGTGGAACGCATTGTGCGCAATATGGACGTAACCATGTTTGGATTACTGGCTGGAAGAGAGAGGACGGCTCAGGATTACGCAGGTATTTTGGGCAGCGTGGATGGGAGATTGAAATTGAAAGGAAGTACATGTCCAGACGGAAGTGTGGTCACTATCCTAGAATTTATTGTCGAATAAGTAGTTAACTAGCTCATTAACAAACAATAGCTACGACTACAGTAGAGGGCAAGGGGCTGTTAAATCGCAAAATGAGACATTTTGAAATTAGAATAGTAATTCGTTTGTTGGCTAGATTACAGCTTTATTTGAAGCCCTTATACGGGGACTAACCAGAGCCTTTTTCAGCTGCAGTACGATGCTAAATAGAGTACGTATTCCCATTTTTGTAGAAACATAAAGTTGAAAATCTATATCAAGCGTCGTAAGACATCTACCAAAAATATACAACAAATCCTTTTACATGAATTCCTCCAACATCCCTTGAATCACATCAAAGATTCAACTCCATGTGATGTCCAAATTTAACGATATCACTTTCTTGTGCCCTCATTCACTCATTGCTCCATTTTCACTTGGAGATGATTCAAATATCTCTTCATCAGGTCCCTGTCTAGAATCGGAAACTCGAGACCACCGGGGAAATTGGCAAGGGCTTCCATGGTGTTGGTTGTCTCGTAAACGGGCATGTTTTCGTAAAGTTCCCATCGGGTCAAGCCGTTCTTCACCCTCTCTGCAAGCATAGGCTCCAGTGGTTGCAGACGTTTAGGTGGATTTGCGGATAGTCGCTTAACCCACTCCGTGTACGAAACGCCCAGCATTGGACCACTGCCGCACTCACCAACCATGTCCATTGAATCATCCATATCAATGGAGGTTTCCCTACTAGGGGGGACAATGTGATAGGCATGGCCTAGAGATGACCGTGATGAGGCAATATGTAAGATTACAGAGTTGACATAATCAACGGGGACGAATTCCTTGCGTTGGTTCGGCAACTGTGGGTAGCAATTCATCTCCTGACATGCATGAATCAACCGGCTAAAGAAATCATCCGGATTGCAGGCACCCGTTCGACTATGACCAGTAATGAATCCTGGTCGATAAACGGCAATAGGAAATCCACGATCGATGAGTCGGCGTAAGAGCTGTTCTGCGACCCATTGGCTTTGAGCATAACCATGGTCATAGGGGAGGGCTTCGAGGTGTGGCAGTAGGGATTCATCTTCCCGTACTCTTTTCACGCCGGTCACAAAGCCAGTTGGTCCGAAGCAGGAGATGCTTGATACATAGTGTACCGCTTTTGTCCGCCCTTTGAATGCCAGTTTCAAAACATTCAAGGTACCCAACGTGTTGGCAGGGCGGTGCAGAGAGTATGGCTGAGTATAATTGACGCGAGCTCCTAGATGGAATACTACGCTGGCCCAATTGGCAATCTCCTCAAACCGGTCTGGTCCCATGCCTAAGAAGTCATCCTCCAGTGTACCAGGCAGAGCTAACAACTTTTCAGAGAACTTGTCCTCCCAGAGATCATACTTGGCCATTGCGGTGCGCAGACGCTGTAGACCAACTGTTGCGTCTTTTGCACGTACCAAACACCCGATCTGACGGACATGGGGCATGCGTAGCAAATCTGCCAACATGAATGATCCCACAAACCCGGTGGCTCCAGTTAAGAAGATACGACCTTCAGTGTCACGAGTCCAGTCGATTGCCAGCCCTGCTGTGCAAGAGAGGCCATCCGCAATCTTTGTATCGGCTACCCACAAGTCACTCTCGTTACGAACTGTCTCGAATTGGCCGTTCTGGCGCTCTTGGATAATTGATGTCAGGGCTTCCAGGGTTGGGTTATCATAGAGAGTCAGCAGAGACACTTCGGAGCCAAATGTGCGACGGATCTGGCTGATCAACAGTGACGCTTGAAGAGATGTTCCTCCATGGCTGAAGAAATTATCGTCGTCCTGGAATGAATCGGCAGGGGATGCAAGAATGCAAGCCCAAAGGTCAGCGAGTATCGAACGGGTGTCTTTGGGCCCATCTTTCGGCTTTGATAGTGAATCCACCTTCCATCGCTTGCAGTACAGCTCCGTTAACCCTTTTCTGTCCACTTTGGCGTGGCTATTGAGAGGCATACTGGCGATCAATTGCAGCTGAGGAATCATATAATCCGGATGAATCGTGCGAAGGACTGCCAATGCCTCCTCAACCCCCACAGGCTTAGAGCTGTCCACAGGTACAGCATACGCGACTAGTATTGAACCGGCCCCATCCTGGGGTGGTTCAATTCTCATCGCCACGGCATCGGAGAAAAAGCCAGTTTTCAGGAGCCCGGCTTCGACCGAGCCCAATTCAACTCGGAATCCTCGGATCTTGACCTGATGATCAGAGCGCCCAACGTAATCAATCTGTCCATCTGGCCGACGTCGGACGATATCACCTGTTCGGTACAACCTGATGGGATCACCTGATGCTGTCACTAAATCTTCAACCGTTGTGAAGGAAGCAGCATTCTTCTCGGGTTGGTTGACATATCCCGGGGAAACACCAGCGCCGCCAATCCAGAGCTCGCCTTCATCAGTTGGGTTATCATTATCGTCAGCTACATATGCAATCGTGTGACCAATCGGTTTGCCGATGCTGACGGAGCCAGCTTTGATGTCCTCGGGAACGATCTGGTGAGTCAAGCAGAAGATGCAACACTCGGTTGGTCCATAGGCATTTATCAGCATCTCTGGAGGGCCCTCGTCGAAGATCGTTTTGATGGCGGCGACATTTGCAGCTTCACCTCCAATAAAGCAGATACGTAGCTTGGAGAAGGCACGCGGATAGGTAGAAGCAGCGAGATTCAACAAGGCAGTTGTGGTGGCCATCACGGTAATTCCAAGCCGATCGATATGCTCTGCCATAACTGGAAGATCCAGCAGAGCCGTTTTGCTTAGAACCGCAATAGAAGCACCACGAAGTAAAGGAGCCCACACATCAAAAAGAGAGACATCGAAACTGCTATTATTGACGTGTGCAACGACATCATTTTCCCTCACTGGCTCAAAAGGAGCATGGAAGACAACCTGTAAAATTGACCGAGCTGCGATCTGTACTGCCTTCGGCTCGCTGGTTGTCCCAGAAGTATGAATCAAATGTGTGCGATGTTCTAGGTCTGTTGAAACTGGATATTTGTCCTTGGCCACAGCCACGAGACCTTCGAGAGCAAATTTGCGGAAGGGAAGATCTCGATCTTTATTGCTTTGGTCAACCAGCAGAAATTGGGCGTTCAGTCGTTGCAACCGGCCCTGTATTTGTTGGTCTGGAAGCGTTGGATCCATTGGGACACAGCTCCCGCCAGCATAGATAATAGCTAACTGGGCAATGATATCGTTGACGCCATGCTGAACGACTATTCCCACTGGCTCTTCGAAAGCGAACGATTCTTGTAGCAGTTGATGAGCAATATACGAGGCTTGTAAATGCAATTGGTCATATGTGAGAGAGATTCCCACGTCAACAACTGCAGTTGCAGTAGCATTTCGTCGCACCTGGCCATAGAAGAGCTGACCCAGGCCTTGATTCCGGCTAACGGCGAAATCGTATTCCTCGGAAGGGGATGAAGCGATGGAAGGCATTCTATCTAATGATACCTGCCCAGGGATAATGACAATGTTGAATTGGAAAGGGCACGGTGTGTTGGAGAAAACTCAGTAATAAAGAATCAAAGTAGATAAAAGGGAGTTTCAATCAGGCACTAAATAGTTTGTAGGTAAAGGGGTGTGTAGATCGGGCCAATGCAAAATATAAAACGACAGTGTTTCATACTGGAATTGAGAGACCACGGGTTGGCCAAAGCCGGAATTACACGTTGATGTCATGGCAAAGCAAAGCGGTTTACTCTGTGCCGTACCTTTGTCCACTTTCAACATGCGTGATACTGTGAGTGGGCAGGATTCAGTCTCCACGTAATTTACACGCTGAGGCAATAGCTGATCTTGGGCCGGGTATTAAAAATACGGGAAGGGCTCCGTCAAACTTAAATGTACTCAAAAATTCGACCTCGTTTATGAAGAGGAACTCCATAGCTCGGCTCTTGTTTATAGTAACTAGAGTGTTGTTGACACGGAGCACTTACCAAGAGGAGTCTCGGTCTGACCGTTCGGTAAGAGCCATATGGAATCTTACAAGGGGAAAACCTTAAGGACCCACTTCCCGCGTTGGCGGCTAAACCTTAATTAGTTCTAAGTTAGAGTTTAAATGTTACGCATCCCCTTGCAGTATTTTTACGAGGTGGCGGCCCGAATGGATCTCCGTGAGAAAATACAGGGATCTGGACACCGGAAATTTGTTGACTCGTGAAGTGGGGCGCTTAAGTTTGAGATAATCTAATCTGTGAAAGAATCGGCTATCATATCGGATCAAATTAGTTTTATAGAGTAAGCATTCACGTTCGACACGTTGAAACAACTTGCTCTTCCTCTTGAGAAACAGCAATCTATGCCAGCTAATTTATACAATTAAAGCCACAACTACCTGAGAATGTCGCGCATTATTGCTATCGTTGGTGCCACTGGCAACCAAGGAGGTTCTGTCGCTCGCTCTCTACTTCAGAATCAGTCTTTCAAAGTCCGCGCCATCACGCGGAATCCCTCTTCAAAGGCCAGCCAAACCTTAGCATCAGCAGGAGCAGAAGTGGTTCAAGCAAATGGCTTCAACAATGAGGAGATGCTTCGGGCATTTGATGGCACCTGGGGGTTTTATGTTAATCTAAACTCGGACGATAAGATATGGAGCAACCCCGATGGCCCTACCGAGTTTGATTTAGGTAAATCAATTGTTGATGCAGCGGCCCAGGCTGGTGTGAAGCATTTTGTGTTCAGTTCGGGCCCTCCGTGCACGGAGATGACAGAGGGGAGGGTGAGAATGAAGGCTATGGATAGTAAGTATAACCCCCTTATTGGTTGTTTTAGTGTTAATAGGCATCAATTGCAGTGAAATACAAAATCGAGCAGTATGCAAAGCAGCTGGGAAAATTCCTAACCATTACCCCTATCAATGCCGCATGGTACCTGGAAAATTTTCTTGTGAAGGAGGTTGCCCCAGTGTTTGGCGGATTTCCCCATTTTCCAGATGACGAAGGCTACCTCACGTATCGTGTGCCCAACTGGGGAGGAGATAACAAGGTGCCGTTCTTGAGTATTACCGATGACTACGGGGACATTGTTCAGGGTATCTTTTTGGATCCAGTCCGATGGAATGGTCATGTTGTTCAAGCTATGAGTGAGATGCTTGGCTTCGACGAGCTGGTGGCCAACTTTGCAGACTGTGAGTGAAATTACTATTGATAATATGTGTGATATACATGTTAACCGTTTAACAGTAACTGGTAAAAAGACTCGATTCCAGCCAATTCTCCCTTCCTGGGAAGCCTTTGAAACCCATGGAGTCCACGAGCTAGAGGATGTCAAGCTCATGTTCGGGTTTACGCAAATCACAGGTGGTCGCTATTTTGGCCCGGAGCCCTCAAATAGGGATACAGCCTCAGAATTGAAACGTGCAACAGCTACAGCATTGGGTAGACCAAAGAACCAGCAGGAATTGACGACTGCAAAGGACTGGTTCAAATCGCATTTTATATAAGGCAAAGATGTTTTTAGTTGTTATCTCATTTCCGGGAATACACTAGATAACAGTTGGTCACATTGATTATTCTGTTCGTTTGCGAAGTATAAAAATAATAGACCTATGTAACGAGGTACATTAGGCACATATTTACCCTAGCAGATAATGGAATACATTATTGCCGTCTCTTTATGATACTGGATTCAGGGGGTTCTTAATCTAGCAGCCAATAGGCAATTAGAAGGGGATTTAGAACACCTGCGTTGGAGGAGAGACTAATTAGTTATGCACTTCAAACAAGGAAGATTTATTCTTATAAATAGTTAGTTATTCGTCCTCTGCACTCTTCTTTTTACCACTTCATCCACTGCACAACTCATCAAAATGTCTCCTTTTGAGCTCCTTGGTCTAACAGCTGCACTGGTTAGAGCCCCTCATACCACTTTCGAGAGTTCCTCAAGCTAACTGCTCGTCCAGTGGATCGTGTGTCATATCCTTCTCGCAATCTACAATGTCTTCCTTCATCCTCTACGCAAGTACCCCGGGCCCATCCTCGATGCTGCTACCCAGCTCCCTTACGTTTACCATATGATTAAGGGCGAAAATTCCAAATATATCGCCAAGCTACACGAAAAATACGGTGAGATCGTGCGGGTTGGCCCTCGCGAGATTTCCTACACCAGTGCATCAGCCAACCGAACCATCTTTGGCGGTCGGCCAACGGAGGAGACCGTTTTCGAGAAGAACCCAGTCGTCTGGTTACAGGGCTCTGGAGAGGCACATAACATCTTCTTCGCTCGCCATCGTGAACATGCACGGTATCGCAAGATGATAGCGCCAGCTTTCTCAGAAGCTGCTATTCGAGAACAGGAGCCAGTCATTCAGGAGTACGTAACGAAATTCATTGATGGGATGCGCGAGCGGTCCGGCAAGGCTTGTTATCCAGATGCGAACGGGGTTGTCAACATCCAAGCATGGTACAATTTCTTCGTCTTTGACATCCTCAGCCGATTATCCTTTGGTACAACTGTGGGTTCTCTGGATCAAGGGGATTATCATCCCTGGGTGACAGTTATTTTTGGAGCAATAAAACATTCACAATATGTCCAAGCGGCTCATCGGCTGCGGCCATACCATCGACTACTCGAACTCTTTATCCCAAAGGCGATCAGCGAACCCTACGATACGCACATGGAGTTTGCTGGAAAGACACTCCTAGAGCGGCAGAAGGGCGACTCCATCGGCCGGGCAGACTTTGCCTCTTTCGTTCTGAAGGGGATGTCGGAAGCCGAACTACTTGATAATGTGAATATTCTGGTTGCCGCAGGGGGGGACACGACTGCGGCAACAATGACCTCGATGACATATTACTTGACGCATAACCCAGAAAGCTACCGAAAGCTAGTTGAAGAGGTCCGGGGCACTTTTCAGGCTGAAGAGGAAATCACTGTTTCATCGGTTGCAAATCTCAAGTATCTTCGAGCGGTAATTCAAGAAACCATGCGAATCCACCCGCCAGTCCCCGTGGGCCTACACCGAGTTGTTCCGCGGAGCGGTGCCGCGATTGATGGCCGGTGGCTACCAGGCGAGGTACGTATCCATGCCAATCTGCTTCTAGCTAACTAAGGCATTGGCAATCTCATTTGTTATGCTGTGATAACGCTGACTCGCGTGTAAGACTTGGGTATCCGTGGCACCCATGGCAGCGTATCGCAGCCCTCGATATTGGCGAGAACCAGAGAAGTTCATCCCCGAGAGATGGCTGGGAGAGCCTGCATTCGAGTCAGATCAGCGCGACGTCTGTACGCCATTTTCAATCGGGCAGCGGAGCTGCATTGGTATCAAGTGAGTGCATATATTTCCGTAACTACGTGGCACTCAGCCCAGCCTAGTTACTCTGCAGCTAACTTAAACAGCCTGGCCAAGGTAAATCTTCGACTGGTCATGGCCCGCCTGCTGTGGAACTTTGATCTGGAAGCTCAGCCAGATAATGTCGATCCTCACGATCATCTCGAGTACGGTGTGTGGCAGGGAGAGCCCCTCCGGGTCCATGTGAAAGAGCGGGAGAGCCCGCAAGGGGTGGGTATGACTGTAAAATGAACTGATCCCCAAAATGCGAGCACACCGATCATGATTGCCGTGGAGTGTTGAAGAATGAAGACGGGACGTTGGTTGATCGGCCGCCGAGCTTATTTAAGTGGCAAGCACGTGCAGGCCGCCCGTTTGTTAGTAAGCAACCTAATTAAGTGGACCGTGCGATAGTTAAAGTATAAAGATAAGGTTACTCTTATTAAGCGAGCTTGAAGGACCAATCATGCTCGGAGGTGAGATTCGGAGATATCGGATGGTAACGGCAGCTATATACTTTGCGCCTGCAATTGTCTTTCGCTTTCGTATACATTCTCGTACTTAGTTACAGTGTCCGCCAATCAGATCCACCATTTCCCACATGGAACACCGCAAATGCTAATCGTTTCTCACCATCTCCATCCCAGAATCGAGGCTGTATACAGAGTAAAAGCGGAGCATTTGCTTCCAAGGTAGTTATTTCCATTTCAATAACTATGTTTTGCCATTACATTATGGTAACTATGTAACTATCAAAAATGTACTCCGTCTGTAGCCAGTTACTCCGTAACACTCCATCCTTCATCGTCCTTCGTAACTACGGAGTATAGACCCACTACTACAGGGACTCTTGTATACTTAGATAGTTAACTATGTGTATGTGAGTTGTCATATAACTAATGGTAGTCGGAGACAGACGAATTTTGTTATCCTTGTTCTCTTCCATCAGCTGTCAGAGCAAGCAGTCTTCTCCGGAAAAGGTCAAGCCACGTCATTCCATAAGACGCGTCATCCGATCCTGGAAATGTTCTCTAAGTGTTTCCCCAAAGGAATGCAAACTGCGCTCTACTACTGGAAATCTGGCGGAGTATGATAGCCAATCCATGGCTTCGATCGATCTCGTGCATCATGGGATTAAATGCTTGATTAATTCAAAATTCCCGAATAAACAAAAATAATAATAGTAATAATAAATGATAGCTTTGAATAACTATCTGCCTCACTGGAATTCCACAATTCAATTTTTATATACACCAGATATCGCTCGAGGATCCCGAGCAAGCTCCCGGATGTAAAAAAGCTAGGGTGTCCATCATGGTATCGGCAGACTGTTGATCTATATACGCATTGGTCGCGCAGATCTGTAAGGTATGCGTTTGATCATAGACAGTGGACGTAACAACAAAGTCACGAAGCTCCTTGGCCAGCCGCGGCGCATAGTATTCGTCCAAATTAGCATGCACACTGCCAATCTTCAGTGTGCAAATGGGCCCGTCAGCCTGATGCAAAAGTTGTGTGCCAAAAACAGTATTCTTGGGCCAATTGGTGGATTTTTTGATGATATCTTTGAATTGGACTTGATCGTATGCTATCGAGGCTACATTCTGTCTCTGAATGCTGTATAATAAATCTTCCCCGTGTTTAATAGAGCTCAAGTCCATACGAACTGGGATCAAGTTGAGGCATGGTCCAACCACTGCTTCCTCACCCGGAAAGCCATGGGCTCGACCATGGACGACTTGGCCAAATACCACGTCGCTCTTCTGACAGTGTTTAGACAGAGTCAGGGACCAGGCTGCCTTAACCAATGAGGCTAGAGTGATTCCTTTGGGAGGTTCCAGGACTGAAAGGCTGCGTGTAGTTTCAACGAATGTCTCTTTCCCTGCTTCCATATTGGCAAATGTGTCACCTACATAGGTCATTGATGATCCTTCAAGTAGAGTCTTCCAGAATTCATAGGTTTTGGGTGTTGCCGACATCAAAAACTTATAAGCCCACGGCGAGAACGGAATCGGCGTGGAAAGCGGCTGTTCATCGTAGATATTTTCAATATCCTTAAGAACGATTGGTAATGATTGGGCATTGTATACAGCGTAGTTTAATCGAATAATGAGCGTGTATCGCTGTGAATTTTGAGACAGGAGAAAGAAACAGACAGAAGGCACATTCCATAGCATGAACTGATCGGAATCTTCCTTGAGCAGGCGAGATTGAAACTCCCTGAGATCACCAGGACATTCATAGTGCTTAAATGTGGTGGTCACTCTCCGAAGGACTGTCTGGAATATGGAATTGCAGTAATCAACGAACACGTTACGAAGAATCTCATGTCGGTGAACCAGGCTTTTGCATGCACTTTCCAGTCTACTAGCATGACCGGGCAGGGAATACGGATAATCTCATACTGTGGAGAAAACGCAAGCATGATAAGCTGCTGTTCGGTTGCAGGAAGGATATCAAGAATATCAGCCTCCGTAACAGCCAGCTTTGATGCTATTTCAGCCGATGTACCGGGAAACATAGTAAATGACGGGGTTGCTTCTGGTCTACTGTCCGAGGAGCCATTTGTAAAATAGACCGCACGTTCCGTCATAGCAGTAAGGACTGGGTGTTGGATGATGTCTACCACGGATAAAGAATTTTGATTCTGTCGAAGGAGAGCTGCCAACTTCATTGCTGTGATGGAGTCGCCTCCGAGCTGTATGAAATCGTCCTCCATACCGATAAGCTGTGGCTGAAAACTAAGGATCTCAGCGACTGTTGTCTGGATGGAGCGTCCCATATCCGAGTCAGGTTGCTGCTTAACGCGTCCTGTTACCCCTGATCCGGTGCTATACGACTCAAAGTCAGCCATTGGAAATTTCTCTACAATCGCTCGCAACTGACGACGGTCTGTCTTCCCCGTCGGAGTTAATGGCATGCGAGAAATTGGCAAAGCCAAGGTAGGGACCATATATGAAGGGAGTGAGGCCTGCATTGCAGGACGCACTCGATCCAACCAGTCAGAAATAAAAAGAGCACAGGGGGGAGTAACAACGAGGAGTTTCCCGGGATTCCATTCTCATCATGACTTTTCGATTGAATGCTCTCGGATTATACGGTATGGCCAGGGGCCCATGGTTGGCAACCCCCACGGCACATTCAGCCGGTCCATAGACATTAAACACCTTGAGAGATGGTATCCATTGGTCTAGAAGCGCCTTGACTGGGGTCTCACCCCCTATCAGAGCAATCTCTAGTCCCGGCATGTCTGCGGGCGAAAGCGTCTGCAGGACAGACGGCGTTGTGAAAAGAACATTGGCCCCAAGTTCCGCAAAAGCTCCAGCAATATCATCGCGTCGGCTTGCTTCTGAGGGAACACAAACGCATCCTCCATACATCAACGCAGCCAGGGCGTCAAAAGTAGCAACATCAAAGGCATATGCGGAGAACTGAAAGACTCTCGATCGAGAGTCTAGAAAAATACCCCAAGACGCTGCTACCGTACTAACCATTCTATGCTCAATGATAGCTCCTTTGGGGTTGCCGGTCGACCCGGAAAGTGAAGTAGACGTAGGATATATTGTGCGGTTGTACGATGACGGGCTTCAGTTCTATATCAGTAGTGGTAATATCTGGGCCAACCTCGAGGATAGGCAGGTTTAAAGTGTGTGAGATATGAGCATCTCGTGGGGAAGATATAACCAGCCTAGCACCAACATCATGGCATATGGTTTGCAGCCAGCTTGGGGTTTGAGACGGGTCGAGCAGGACGAAGGCACCACCCGCCTTCAGTACGGCCAGGACGGCTACATTCGCCCATCAAGATTTCGTAAAACAGAGAGGAACGCATGTCTCAGCCTCTACTCCCTGGGCCTGGAGACGGGCAGCGTATTGTGTGCTAAGCCGTTCAAGTTCGTTGTAGGTAAAGGAGCCATCCCAGGCACACACGGCTATCCCCTCCCCATGAGACTCGCTCTGCCGCCTGATTTGCTCATGTATACATATATCATGGCGGGCGAGCTCGTTGCTGTTCCATCTCTGGACCCGACGTAGGTCTTCAGAATGAATGCCGGATGTGATTGCGGTTACAGGGGTGTCGTTAGACCCCTGTTTGATCAAGGCCACGAGATGTCTCATCTGGCTGACCATCTGTGTGCATGTCCACGCATCTTCAGCCCATTATTGAATAGCAAGCCCATCCTCTGAGGTCAGGTCGCCAAGCACGACAGCCTGCTTAAATCTCCTAGATCGACTGCTGAGATGGGCTGGCTGTGGCCCCTGGTGATGAATCGCTAGTAGTGTTTGCTGGCCATCGCTCTTGGTATCTGCAGTTGAACGAATGATTTGGTCGGCAGTTTCGAGGGCCGCCCTGATTGTCCCGTTATATGGCAACTGGAGCTGTATCGACTTGCTAGCCGAGTAGTCTTCTGAGCTTGTCAGGTCAAAGGTGACGTCGTCAGATCCGGTGAAAAGGGCAAGTGTTGCTGCCCAGGCCAAAGCCAGGATAGTAGGGGATGTAGCAGCCATGGGTATGTATAGCAAAAATTCTCGATACGGGGGAGAGGAACATAACTAATGGGCACATTCCTCTTTATACATTAGCCAATGCATAAATGGTATTCCCCAGTTATATTACGCAGATCGGCGTGTGTGGGGAATTGATAGAGTGGGTATTTTGTAAGGAAGTATGGATAATAATTAGACCCTGCATCCGCCTCCACCTAGTTAAGCCGTTAGTTGGTTACGGTAGTTAACCAGTTGAGTAGTTAACTTACACCATGATAAAAAAGCAAGTATAATATTACCGTATGAAAAGATATCACATAGATTCTTTTATTCTTTTGTTGCCGAAGTTGCACGTACTCCGTATGGATATATAAAAGGTCCAGAACAGCACAGCAGGGTCGGCTAATAATTAGTTAACGATAACTACCAACCTTCGGCCAAAGGATATCTGGGTAACAACAAGAAATAATGGCAGCTTTCACTTTCACTCAGCATAGCTCGGTCTATCCGGCCATTGATGCGAGCCAGCCAGAGCTCTCTCAGGCTGGTCGGACGGTTCTGATTACGGGGGCATCCTATGGCATCGGCTTCACGGCCGTGCAAGGCTTTGCAAAGGCATCTGCGGCCAGAATCATCCTTTTGGCCCGCCAGCGAGACTCTTTGGCCTCAGCATGCGAGCGGCTACGGGCGCAGAACCCATCTTTCCAGGGCGAATTAATAACATATGTATGCGACATCGGCGACGCAATCCGTGTCGCCCAAGTATGGGAGGATCTGAACCGAAAGTCCATTGCGGTTGATGTGATGATTGTGAATGCTGGTGATCCCGGTACCGAAGCCACTCTCGATGCGATCCCTTTGCAGCTGGCTTGGAGGGCCTTTGAGGTGAATGTCCGCGGCAACCTGGACATGATGCAGCGGTTTGTGCAACAGGGGAAGACCGTGGATTTCGGGGGAAGGACGGTGAGTTGACGCCCGTCTGATAAGCTACCTGAATTAGAGCGCCTATACATAAGGCGGTTAATACCCTGCCCTGCTTGGCGCACAGCTGACGCCCAGTTGTAGAGAGTCTTGATCAATATATCCTCGCGCTTAACCCATGACTATGACACAGGCGTTGGGTTCGGGTCCTATGCGAGCACGAAGGTTGCATTCGCTTTCATGGTCCAACATCTGGCGACAGAGGTCCCCGTCGAGCAGATCCAGATTCTCAATGTCCACCCGGGGGATGTGTATACAGAAGGAGTCCAAAAGATGTGTGAAAAGGACTCCTGGCCCTCGTGGGATGACTGTGAGTTCGACTTGACCCCCCTGACTGCACATCGGTTACCAGTATGGCTCATGGTTAACTACCCGAGTCCGTCACCACTAATTGATTCTTGCTTGTAACAACGTTTTAGCGAGCCTTCCTGAGAATTATATCGTCTGGGCAGCCTCGCCTGCCGCATCCTTCCTGCATGGCCGCTTCGTCTGGGCCACCTGGGACGTCACGGAGCTGAAGAGCTGCACAGCCCTGACAGACGGTAAACCGGGGAACAAGAACCTTCTCAAAATCGGCGTGAATGGGCTGGTCTTTGCCTTGCCTTCTATGACTGTCTTGCTGCCCTAGCTAACTGACCAACTGCGGTGCAGCACTCCTCCCAGGGGTTGCTATTGCGCACGTCCAAGCCCTCAATGTAGGCAGGGGAGGGCCCTTGTACGGATACCTAAGTATATATTCGATGCATTCCCCACTGAAGATAGACAATTTTTCATCCCTGAGGAGATTTGCAGCTCTAGTCGAAAGAGTCCAGGTACCAAAGCGTTCGATTGGCCGCTCACGTTTGACTCAAAATAAGCTGCATCTGTGTCCTCCGTATTCTTCGTATGTGTAATTAATTAACTGGTTATAACGCCGAGTAAGTTTGTAAGTAAAACGCGGGCCTTCAGAAGAAATAATAAATTACGTGCATATGGTACTCCGTAGATAGAGCGCCATGCGGTCAGGGGTATATAGGTGACGTAGCCGGTGCATTAGAACCATTGCTCTGTGCTCCGCATTCAAGGTCGAGATGATACGAAGCTTCCTGTGCCATGTTAAATACCCATCGCCCCCCTCCGAAGAGGCATCAGCATGAGTTGAGGGCAAAATATAGACGTACCGTGCCTATAGTTAAGTCATAACATTCACACCATGGATTCTGAGGAACAGAACACAACGCTGTATGGCTCGCCCTACAAGGCCGAATTCTACGAGCTGCACTACGCCCAAAATCTAGGTCTGCAGGACGTCGAGCTCGTCTACTGGCCGGCATTTGTCGAGATGTTCTCCAAGCACCCTCGAGACGGCCGCCAGTTCACCTTCGTCGATATCGGCACCGGCGGTGGTCGTGCGATCTTCGGGCTGCTCGACAAAGCGGTTGCCGAGTCGTTCGAGATCCCCCCCGGGTCTACCCAGTTTGTCGGCATGGACATCGAGCAGCACATGCTCGACTACGCTGCCAGAGAGGCCTCAAAACATCCCGGAATCCCCCCCGTCACTTGGTCGCTCGGTTCTGCACTGGCGCTTGACGAACTGCCCGCGCTGGCCAATCAGAAAACCACGGCCGATATGATCATCTTCACATATGGCAGTATTGTCCACCTGACAGGCGGCGGCGACCTCGAGAAGTTCTTCGGCCAGGTTTCTCGCGTGCTGACTCCAGGGAGCGGCCGTGCCTTTGTCGATTTTGCGGACCAATTCTTTATTCCGCACGGCCAGGAGATGCCAGCGGACCAGGATCTACTCGATGAGGCGTCTGCAGAATACCGGGCTGCCGAAGTGAAAAGTGTTCAATGGCCCGGGATCATATACAAGATGAAGACGCGGAGGTTGGTGTCGGTCAACAACTTCTGCAATATGGATACAACCGTGCATGCTGTGAGGGATGCAGACAAGACCATAGTCGAAAGTAACTCTGTCAAGCACCACCTGCGTCGGTACAAGGAAGACCACGTCCTGGCTGCTTCTCAGGCGGCTGGGCTGACGCTGCTGGAGAGGCAAAAATGGGGCCGAGATATAGTCCTCATATTCCAGAAACCTCTCTGATTGCCGACAACAGGGTGGACTCGTTCCAAGGTAGCTATATGTACATATGCGTCCCTGAAATACGGGGTACCGTCTATGTAGATAGGGAGGTATCAGGCCGGTTCAATCTACGAATATCAGCAACTAGTTAACACTGTTAGCATTGGATGGCAATCTGAGGAATTCTCTTTTGGATGAATATTTCAATATTTCCAACTTCTAAATATCCAATTGAAGGTCCTCATGTGGACTAAATGATCAATTCTATTATAACAAACCTGCCCTTGCTCAAACTGTGTATTTGCCAAACTGCTGCAGGATATTCATTTTAATAGGGGAGTGATCTCAACCGGAGAAAGGATAGTAAGAGACGTTAAAGAAGAAAAAGAAAAAGAAGTAGAAGGCAGCCCACAGAGTATTTCGGGAGGTTGAAGAATCCCTTTCCAGCGTTAGTAAACGGAGGTATTTATTCAAGTGTGTACACTTACAGGAATATAATGTGAGCTGTGTCAACTGGTCAAACGACTGTTCGCGATTGAACAGTTATATTGATCCAACCTGGTACCATGCCCAGAGTAACAGGTATAATTATATATGGGGACAAGCCTAGAGAAGGCATATTTCTCTATCTCTCCCTCGTGACAGGACCGTACGGTCCTTCATGGTGGTAGAGGCCAGCCGCCATGTTCAAATGGTCAATGATGTACGGTCTATAGGGCTTGCCAGTCCTGCTGCAAGGGTCATCTCAACAGGCCCAGGACTCTTTGGGGGATCGGGCCCAGGTAGCGGAGGTGACTGCTAACCTACGCCATGCTGAAACTCAGGTGTCTATAGGCCCATTATCCAGGAAAAATTGGCTATATCCGTCAAAAATCCACAGCAAAATGATACATACTGCACGGATATATTCAAATGCACAAAGTACATCAATAGGACTGAAATTGTATGTCCGAATGTTTCCACTGCTGATGGTATTGCATGATGTTTTTGAACGATTGCAGAGACAACTGAGCAAAAAGAGTAAAGCCACAGTAATGGCCAGCAGGTTGAAGTTATATTCCTCATTCTCCCTTATTTTTGTACGTAGATTCATCCAAGTTAGGGTAATTTGGTATTAAGGAATAAGCCTTATCCATAGAGTATCAATATCCAACTCGCGGTTGGGGCGGCGGCCATGATAGTACGGAATAATAATCGCAGTTAAGTAGTTATCTCAAGACGCTCGAGATCTTCTGGCTAAAAACAGGCCCAAGTTGTAGAAGGAAGACCCCCTGGATGAATATTATCAAGCAATTCCTGTAGAGTAGGTAGTAATTGCAGCTGTCTCTGAGATCTAAACTCAGCATTCAAGTCGGACGATTAATCTCCTAGCAGGTCGACCTATGTTTGCAGATGACAGTACCTGACCAAGCCATAGCAGTCATTGATTTGGATAAGGTGCGCGAGAACGTACTCCTGGTGTTATGGACTAACTTTAGGTACTGCCCTGGTATCTTGGGAACAGAGTCATCTGTATCTGTAGGTATGTTTTCCGATGTTCAAATCTTGGATATGTTTCCATCACTGCTCCGCCGAGAAACATAAAACCTTTTATCACTTATATCTGTGGCATGGATACCTCCCATCCAGTAACTTCAAAACATGCTGACCACTAGTGTAGGTTTGCTCTTTGGCTCAGTCGTTATGATAGCATATTTTAGCGATGGGGTCAACTCTCCTATTTTCTTCGAATAGTTGTCAGAAGGGCATTGATCTAACCACTCCCCTGACATCAAAACGGCTGGAGTTTTTCCTCCTGGCGTCCCGCAAACACTTCCCCAGTTTTGCATTAGAGAAAGCGCTCCGATTCATGGGACACATTGCAAAGTCGCAAGTCTGGCGAAATTTTGCATTGTCGGGGGGATTCTTCGATGTGTTTCCCTATCACTGGCATCCCTGGGCTGTACGGCCCCAGTCACTTATAGCCCACACAGGTTAAGTAGATGAAGCGGCGCTAGAAACTCCCGTGGCTGAGAATGCACTCGATATCACCGTTGGTATGGTAGATTCTCAATAGCAATGGCTGGATCTCAAAGATAGCTGTGATGCTGAAGCGGGTGTAAGCGCACCGACGGGAGTAATAGCCGCTAGGGAGGCCTTGCGACCCCTCCTGACGAGCGCGGCGAGCTTGCGCAGACGCAAGCCCAGCCACTCAAGCATGCTCTGCACGCTCAGCGAGTCGTGGGGCCATCAGCTGCCGGTGCAGCTGATGCAGTTCCCCACGGCGCGAGCGGTGTAGCTCGCCAGTTCGGGCTTCGTAAGCCCAGATCTCCTCTCCAGCCTAAGAATGCGGAGCTGACGAAGCTCGTGGGAGTCAGGGTCCTAAGGCACCGTTAGTTCAATTGAAAACCCATAAAATTTCAGAATCATGGAATCACTCACCCTTTCGCACGCACGGTGCACTAGTTAAGTGGCACTGGCGGCACCTACGGCCCGGACCAGGCTCACATTGCAGCTCCGGCGCAGAAAAGGAGGGAGGAATTATGTGAGCAGCTTCAATTGGGGTTTTGTAGCATCGGGGATTATATACCTCGAAATAGACAGTAGATAACACCTAATGAGGTCGTCGCGGGCTGATTTGTAAAATAGTCCATTTAGAAGCAGAATCAGGGGCAGGGCCTCCTGTCATATCGACATAGCAAAGTCTTCATATGGCGATCACGCACGAGACATGCCACGATATAAGTATAGAAGTGCCTTTGCAAGCTATAGAAATATATTAGTTAAAAATCTAACATAATAAGAGATAACTTACGCGGGTATGCTAGATGTTCTAAAAAGCTCTCCTACTGTAGTCAATTTGATAGGCCGTGGGGTCATGCTCTATTCTCGAGGCGCAGTGAACTATGCAATTTGACGTAGTGGGCTTCTCCTAGGTGTGAGGAGAGCATGCGAAGTAGGAGCTTTTGAGCCTTGTCACGCAGTCGTATGGGACATGTAGAATGACCAAGGCACCTCCTAGTCAGAATACATGCCAGTGCATCTCTCCGCAGGTGTAGCAAGGACGTGGCGGAGGCTTGGAAATGGCCTGTGCAACTGCATTTCCTTTCCAGTATAGTTGATAACATCCTCAGGGGGAGGCAGTTAACCTCTTTCCTCTGAACAGGTTTTAGTATATAATATACTGTAGGTATGTCATAGCAAAGTATGTTTTAGGTATGTTGTAGGGGATGGAGAGAGTAGAAGAAGAGAAAGAAAATGAAAATGGTCAGGTCAGATTGGGGCTTTTATATTGTTCCAGCAAGCCAGTTTGGGTATTCACAGATTCTTCTTCACCGGGTATCTTCACTGGGGTATTTCGCCGAACAGACGACGGGTACCTCTAGAAAGTGACTGTAAAAATAGTGAAGATTGGAACTTCATTCAAGTAAATATTTATCTGATACGTACAACATTCATATATGCATGCATGCTTAGTGGTATTCTGAATTTTTGAGCGGGGGTGAGATGAAGGAAATCCAATAGGAACCAAGACGTCAAATGCAGTGTGGCTGTGTCTATGCATCGTTCATTGGCTCCTCGGCGACGTAGTGGAGGTATGCACCGAGTAACTTGGTTCCTTCAATGTAGTTGCGGGTATCGAGCTTCTCGTTGATGGAGTGGGGCATATCGGTAGAGCTGCCCATGGGGAGGAGAAGGACGTTCTTGCCGGTAGCCTCCTCGAAGGTAAGGGTGATTGGGATACTACAGGTGACGGATTAGTATATCCCGTATGTTAAATATGGTTGGGGGGGGGGGGGGGGGGGAAGGGATTGAAAGAAAAAACTAACCTTCCACCCTCACGAGTCATGTCTGGGTCGACGCCAAAGACTTGCTTGACAGCCTTGGAGGCGGCAGCAAAGTTCCAGTGCTTTGGGCTGGCAACCCACCACTTTCCGTCGTGCATGAGCTCAACCTTGATGGTGTTCTTGGTCTGGAGCTTAGCGGCCTCGGCGTTGACGAACTCTGTGACAAGGCGGGTGACGTCCTCGCTGCCCATGTTGGGGACAGTACGGATAGAGAACTTTCCAATGACCTTGGCGGGGATGACGGTCTTGCATCCGGGGGCGGAGTAGGCGCCCTCGACACCGTGGACGGAAAGAGAGGGGAATCTCCAGCGGCGCATAAGGGTGGTCTCCTTGGTGGGCATGATGGAGGTGTTGCTACCGAGAGAGGTGTGGAAGTCGTCCATGGAGTAAGTAATGGCGTCGTAGAGGCTCTGCTCATCGTCGGTGACGGGGGCAATGAGCTCCTTGATACCTGGGATGAGGATGTTACCCTGGCAGTCGACGAGCTTGGAGAGGAGGATGACGAGGTCGGTCATAGGCTCGTGGGCAGTACCGCCAAAGACACCGCTGTGAAGGTCCTGGCCGGGGCCAGAGACAGTGATGGAGTAGTAGTTGCATCCACGGAGGCCGTAGGTGAGGCAAGGCTTCTCAGTGCCGAGCCAGTAGTTGTCAGAGATGCAGACAGCGTCAGCATCCTTGAAGTACTTGGGACCCTCTGCCTTGACGAACTCCTCGAGGCCGAGAGAGCCGAACTCCTCCATTCCTTCGAAGCAGCAGAGCAAGTTAACGGGGAACTGGACACCGGCCTGCTTGTGGGCGTCAATGATGTTGATCCAGCCGAGAACGGGGCCCTTGTCGTCGGTGCTGCCACGGCCGAACATGCGGCCTTGCTCGTCAACGGTGAGGTCGAATGGCTCGGTAGCCCAGCCGTCCTCCTTCTGGGCGGGCTGGACATCGTAATGGCCGTAAACCAGGACGGTGCGCTTCTTGGGGTCGCTGCCGTAGCGGGCGAGAACGACGGGGGGTAGATCAAGGTGTTCTCTGCCGGGTTCTTTTCCAAGCTCTCGCAGCTCGACCTCAGCACCGAGAGTCTTAAGTTGCTCGGCAATCCAGAGACCCATCTAGGACTGTCTGTCAATATTGATGTTCATCCTCGTATAGAGAAGTAATAAGGAATATACCTTGACGACCTCAGGCCTGCTCTCAGCCTGTGCGGAGACAGACTGGATAGCAACGGCCTCTCTCAAGCCTAGAGAGAGTCAGCATAAAAGCAGAGCGGGATACAGCAGATACATCAATATTGAACATCGCACTAACGCTCAATGAAGGGCTGCTTGAGCTCATCCACCCTGCAGCGCCGTCAGCATCAAACCCGTACACACGAGCAAAGACAGGACTTACTTCTTGAAAAAGGGATCCAACTGGGGAGCCATCTTGGAGTCAGTGATGTGACCGTAATACAAGCGTCTCTGAGTAAAAGAAGAAACAAATGGAGAGCCAAATGGAGATCTAAAGGCTGCAGCTTGTCGACTTCGACACACAGGTGGACGACGCAGGGCTGATATGAAAATTCGCTGCCGGACCACGGGAGCGGGGAGCATCAGGAGAGCAAACCAAACAGCAACTTATAGGCCGCCCGCAATTAATAACACAACGAACCCTCCTGACGAGGGGCAAGGCAAATGGTTAGATCCGGCTAATTATCGCACGAGTGGAGGGCCGCAACGCATAAAATTCATGCATGTCAAACAAGCTGCGAACCAGCAAAATGTTCGCTGCGAGTCGCTGTAAGGTACGCCGAGCGGCGGGCGTTGCTTTTGCTGGCCGGCCATAGGCTGCTCGCGGTATAAATATCCGACAGACCAATGGGAGGCTGCAAAATACGGAAAAAACCCTGGGAATGACGGCCTCTGATTGGCTGAATTTGCTTATTTTTCTTCTTCACCCGATTGGCTTTTAGGTTGTTTAAATAGCTTACCTAATCCGCATGTTCTGGATCACGTGGTACAAGCACCGACATTTTTCCATATTAAGGTTCAGTTTTGTCATGTGAGTATTATATAAGCAGCTGGTTTTTCTGGCTGTTGGCTCGTGCGACCCGAAGCCGCAACTCTAAACAACCGCCGCGAAATTCCCGTAGAGCTTGCAGTCACACGCAAGTACAGCGGGCTGCTAAGGAAATCGATGCCATAAGCCCCGATACTCCCTGCCAGCCCGCAGTAGTCCACGGCACAATTGACAATCCAACGACCCCATGAAGGACGTGTAAAATGAGTCTATATTTCCCGACTATTGTCCCATCAGCGGAAACACTCGCATTCTCCAGGAATATCTCAATGGATACATCTCCGAGAGCCTAGATGAAGGGTGGAGTAGTTCAGTCTCGCTCATAGGGCTGCAATGCAATACAATGCTCACTTTAGTATTGCTGCTTGTCAAACAACCCTGAATCGTAGTGATAAAAACGTTGTAACAACCACGGATTAATCTACTGGTTTTAGGTAGACTTACCTTGACAGCCCAGACCAGCTCTCTGCATGCGGAGATAGACTACATGGATATCCACCTCCTCGTTCACGCATTGTGAACGTCGATAAAAGATACAAGACTTTGAATTGTGAAAGAGGCTCTGGTCAGCTACCTTGTGGGCCTCCCGGGTTTAACGGTTAAACCCGGCTAATATCTGTTCACGCTTTGATCAACTATTATGTAAGCTGCTGCCCTAACTCATAGGCGCGCGCGCGCGCTTGTTTATAGCAACAACCAACGACGACGACAAACGTCGCCGGGCCTGACCACCCCATGGAACAATGCATGTTGTGTCCATGTGGGTGTGAGTCGTGCAAATCGGATGACATTATTCAACACAATATCAGATAAGAACTCTAGCGACTGTCCAAACCTGTCAAACCGCTGAGCCAAAAAGTCGGGTCCATCTATTTCATTGACCAACCAACATCATGGCCAACGAGGCACCAGTGGGCTCTCGGGAGGAAGCACTCCTCCAGCAGCTAGAGAGAGAGAGAGCCCTTCGACGACAGGCAGAGGACGAGAAAGAAAGAGCTGAAAGGGACAATGCGAGGCTCCAAAAGCAATTACAGCCAACTACCCTCCCCGAATTTTTGGACGCCTGCCATGTGTACCTATCCGTGGGCTTTTCCTCACGTATAAACTACAAGACCGGAACGCAAGGAAACCCCGAAAATGCATATCTGAAACTTCGTCCTGACTATATCCGAGAATGGACTACATTCTCTCAGGAGCAGTCAGAGGTGTGGCGAGATCTCTTTAGCGTTGACTTTGCCTCAGAGCCCCATTTCACCTCCTTGAACACATTGAAAGAAATGGGCAACGACTTGCAAGTAAGGTCAATGGGCTCTGAGCTAGATCTTAATTACTACGAACGTTATGCTGTCGAGGACCGTGTCTCGCTTATCATCCGGAATCTCTTCTCAGATGACAAACTCCGCAAGATATTCAACCTCGGAGGGGATGTAACGTTTGAGAACCACGGAAATACCATAACCACAGAAGAACGGGGCGCCGAGCCGACCGCAAATCCAGATATTGACTCCCCACAACAGTCTCCGGTGCAGAAGCGGCGGAAGAAGGCGGACATGCACGGGGATTCACTACCTGCTACGCCGACCGTGCGGTCAAGGTCGTCTCGCCCCCGCGCTGACCAGTTCTGTGTTTATAATACAGGGCCAGAAAGAGCTATACCCGCGTTTATCATTGAATACAAGGCACCACATAAACTCACATTGGCCATAATAGAGGCTGGTCTCATAGAGATGGACGTTGACGATGTGGTTATATATAATGAAAGTGACGATCCCGTGAAGCTTGCGCAGCGAAGGGTAGCTGCGGTCATCTCACAGGCTTTCTCATATATGATACAGGCCGAACTTGAGTTTGGATATGTCTGCACTGGCGAAGCGTTTATATTTCTCCGTGTACCCTCTGATGACCCTGCTACCGTGTATTACTATCTTTCTACGCCAAATGAAGACGTCGGAGAAACCACTGGCTGGGCTGGTGGGGACTCAGCTAACAGGCTACATCTTACAGCAATCGGTCAGGTTCTAGCCTTTACCCTTCGGGCCTTGAAGTCGCAGCCCCGCGGTCAAGTCTGGCGCAATAATGCAGAGGCCCAGCTAAAGCGGTGGGAGATCGAGCAGGATGATGTCCTCTTTGGATCGGATATTGAGGAGAGTACCGGCAAGAAACTGTCAGATTACAAGCAGGATCGGAAGAGTAGAAACGAATATATCCGGGTGTCGCCAATCAAAACAAGGTCAAAATCAAAAGGGTTGGCCTCGTGCCGTGACCCCGAAGAAAGACCAACAGGCTCAGAGCCCAGTGACGATGGTGATGACAACGATAGTAGTGGAAGTGGTGGGTTCGACCCCGGCAGCCCAAGTAGTGGGCTTCCTCGCCGTGCCTCCAACGTCACGGCAGTCACAAAACCCCCGCCCACGGGAAGCAGGGAGCATAAATACAGTATGGAACCGCCTATAGAGCCAACGCAGTTCTGCACTCAGAAATGCCTCTTGGGCCTGTTTAACCGCGGGCCCCTGGATCAAAATTGTCCACACGTCGCCAGCCACGGTGTTGAACGGCACACCATTGACGACTGCGAATTCCGCAGACTAGTCCGTGCACAAATTCTGGCGGACTCTGGTCCTTCAGGCTGCGAATCTATGCACCTCCACGGGACCAGCGGGGCTTTGTTCTGGCTTACACTGTTCCCATACGGGTATACCCTTGTAGCAAAGGCAATGCCTGTTGAAACAGTCAAATGTGCACTGTATGAAGAGCAGATATATCAACACCTCCGTCCGATTCAAGGAATTTACGTGCCTGTCTGTCTGGGCAGTGTTGATATATCCAGCCGACCGCTATGGTACGATGGCATCTTCGAAGTAGTTCACTTACTGCTTCTCGGCCATGCAGGACGGCTTGTCAAGTTCCACGCCGGTGCTAACAACCTCAGGGACTTTGCACCTTCTGCATGCGAGTCTCTACGGGCGATCCATAAACAACATGCCCTACATCGGGATGCTCATAGCGGCAACATGTTCTGGAATGCAGAGAATAAACAGGTGATGTTTGTCGATTTTGAGCGTGCGAGGGTCGTGAATAGCGGCAAGACAAAAAAGAGGAAACGGGGGACACTCCCGCTTTCTAGCCACGGTAATACCGAATTTGAACGGGAGATAAAATCGGTAGAAAGACATATGGGATTTAGATAGCCCTTGGAGTGGGCAGTTCACATACCCGACCACTAGGCCACGGGACAGAACGGCCTGATTTTCCCTGGGACTCATCAATCCTTGGTTGATGGGTCCAATCGTGCGAGCCGTACGAGTAAACCAGATAAATATATAGAGTTGAAGATCTCCTCGCGCAACAGTATGCGAGTATCCGTAAGTTATTAATATTGTACGGATTGTATCATACACGAATATAGTATATAAAAACAGACGACAAGACGGCAGATATAGGGTAGCAGTTATAGTACATAGAACAGGAGATGCATCTAGCATCCCCCTCCCCGGCTCGTCGACAGCTCTCAAAATGGTAGTCAGACAGCACACGACAGCAAAATGCAGAGAAAAAAGAGTAGTAAGATTTATTTGTCCCTCCCCCAGACCTCCTTACGCAGCTGCCTGTCCTCACGAGCCATCGTCCGCTTAAGGCCCCATCGAGACTGGACAGCTGTCAGGATCTGCCGCTGAATGGCCTTCTTCTCGCCAGCCGCCTCACATGCCATTCCGACAAACAACGTGCTGCACCCAAACTTTTCTGCCAGCTTACTCCGGCTCCAGAGCATGGGATCACTCTTCCGCAGCTCTCGCATGGCCTCTATCTCCTCCTTGGTCAGGTACTTCTTCGGCTTCTCCGCCTGCAGTAAGGATGGCAGCTCGCCAACGTTGACGTCTGTCGTCGACTCCAGCTTCCCCCGTAGTGTCCGCCGTATGTCGTCTGCGGGCAGGAATTTTGTAGGTGTGAGGTAGACGGAGGGAGCGCTGGAAGGAGGGTTGTGGATGATGTGTGCTTCGGTCGAGCTGGAGGGAGCAAAGGAGGCGTCAGGTTTTATGCGTAGCCGCTTCTTGGTGCGGCGGTAGGTCGACTGCCATCGTCGGCTGGCCTGTGACTGGAGTTCGGGGCATAGAAGCAGGTTGAGGGCCGGACGGCGCGTCAGGGCAGCCGTGCAAGCCATGTCGAAGCTGTTCAGTCGTGGTATATATGAGGTTGTCTTGATATATGGTGAAGTACTTGTTCGCTCCAGGCACAGTCAAAGCTCACGAAACGGCTCAACTGCTCAATTGGCGAGCTGGAAACGGGCAGCAAGGCAGGACGTCGAGTGCAGCAGCCCCCAACCGCAGCAAAGGTGTCGATTAGCGAGATTATCCGGCGTCTCGAGGCTGTCGATGGGCTTTTCTTCTGCTTCTTTTTCGTCTTTTCCGTCTTTTTTTTTATTTTATTTTTTTGAAGCCAAAAAAAACTTTCGAGTAAGATGATCACGTGAGAAATATACATCACGTGATAGATCCTTTATATGGTGTATTGGATTTACACTCAGTATCGAGAAGAAGTATGGATGACTAATATAGAATATGTAATTACCGTACACGACGTCATCTTCGTCGACAAAAACAAGAAAAAAAGAACAAGCAAAAAGACAGCAAAAAGAACGACATCGACAGCAGCGACGCCGACAGCAACTGGACAGCCTCATGCTCGCTCGGTCAAGACGCCTGCTGGCCGCCCACGACTCGCCCAACCCCCGTCTCGCTGCCCGCTGAACAGACGCGGCGCCCTTCGCCCCTCGCCAGCGTTCCCCAGACGGACCGGAGCCTTTTTGGCTGCATCCTCTACGCCGTCCCAGCCGCCCCAGGGGGGGTTGGACGCTTGACGCTTGACGACAGCGAGAGCAGCTGATGGCGCTGGCTATTCCTCCTGGTGCTCGCGGGGCCGACCTGCCGGAGAATAGCATGGCCTCTGGCATACTACCGGCCCAGCAGCTGCCCGTCAGCAAGGACAAGACTACTACTACAACAACCACTACTACTACCACTACTACACCAGCCGCTGCGCCGCAGAAGCCCTCCAGGCAGACATCGCGCCCAGGCAGCCAGAGCGCAGGGGAGGAGAGCCAGGGACATATAAACGGCTGCGAGGACCTCGCCCGCGAGAAGAACAACGCTCCCAGACCCAAACCGCTCTCTACCATGGCCGCCGGCAGACCAGTTTCGCCTCTGCCCCTGGGCTCGCTCAGTCCCAACCGGGCCTCAGTCTCCCCCCATCGCGCACGACATGCTGCCTACATGACTCCCACCTCGCCCAGCAGACAGCTCAGTCCGCACTCCCAGATGCACTCGCCCGCGTCTTCCCAGATCTTCGAGCGAGACGTCCAGGAGGACTTCCCCGTCCAGTCCTCGCCCTCTATTCCCTCCCACATCGTCACCGAGAACCACATCCCGCCCATCCTCGGGGCCTCCTCTGCGGCCCTGACTGACCAGAGCCTCGACCCGGACTCGGTTGAGATCGTGACCCATACGCTGCACCAGCCGGCCTCCTTTGCTGTTGCTGGATCGACGACCGCTCATCCAGCGGCAGCCTCTCACGGTGAACGCTCTATCGCCTCCTCTTTCCATGAACATGCCTACCCACAGAGTCCCTGCGACCCAGAAACTGCCTCGACTTACGGTGGCCTCGACTCGGCGGATATCAGGCGTCTCAGCTTTGTCTCCTTTGCTGACCTCGTCCATGGCGAACAAGTGGAGTCCTACGAACATGCCTCCAACCGAGACTCCCAGATCATGGGCGGGCTTGCTGCTCTTGCCAACGCGCCAGCCATGAACAACCCCAGCACACACAACAGAAACAACAGGTCGCCTTCGCCCATGCGCTCGCCCATCTCCTCCCATGGACCAGGAAGCTCGCCACCCACCAGTGTCTCGCCCGGCGAGCCCAGATGTCTTGATTCCTCACCCAGCCGTGGAGCTCGCGTACCGCGCAGCCCACCACCTTGTCCCCATAGCCCGTCCGCCGTGCTCAGCAGTGACCTGAACGTCGAGACCATGAGACAGGCCCTGCGCCGCACCGGGAGCGGAGATCTAGGCGGTTCCCTCAGAAACCCTCCCTTGAGCGCAGCTGCAAGTGATACGGCCTATGAACGACCCTTTAAGTGAATGAAACTTGCATTATTGCCATGTTTAGTTATCCCATGATAACACACCCCCTTGACTTGAACTCTTTTGTTTTTCTTTTCTCATCCCTTTCTCCCAGTGTCACTGTTTGTATGCGACGGTGCAGGCCCAGTTCTCTACTTTATCTCCCGGTTTGATACCTATTTGCTCCTCGCCCATCTACTTCCTCGCCGCCATTATCGTGCACCACTTATACTTGCTTGTCCGATTTTCTGGCGATTCTGGTCTATTTACTTGTAATCTATACGTTTTTTTTGCGCCCTGTCCCTGTTTCATCAAGTAGCACCTTGGTTCCTGGGAAAACCATATATTGCCATTCCTTATGATCTTGACCACTTACATACTTATCTCGGCCATTGACTTTCCCTGGTCTCCCTTGTAATGTAATAATCTCCACCCCCGTTCGTCCATATGCATCGATAGTTGATATCGCTAAGCGTGAGGACCCAGCGGGCATATAAAACCACACCTAATAATGTAACTTACCACCACTCTGTGGCACCTAGTTCTTTAGTCAACTAATTCAACAGCAAAGGCTCCATGCCGAACCTTCTTCAGCTGCTTTTCCCCAGTTTCGTCTCCACCGCTTCAAGTGCGTATGTGATCCTCTTCTTCATATCGTCGACGTCCTCGAGCCCAACGCTGATCCTCACCAGATCAGACGGGACGTTCAGGGATTTGGCCTAGAATAGTTACCGTCAATAATAGGAGAATAAGAATAACACAGTGTGGTTTTGCATAACTAATACGCACCCATTCCAGTTCCTGATAGTGTGCCAGAATAGTATACGGGCAGCTGTGACACGTTAGTTTCCGTAGCTTCTCATACTTTGCACAACACACAAGACAGAACAAACCTCAGGGTGAAATTTGTCCCCAGGCTAGGCCCCTTTAGAACCGCAAGATTGTTGAAAAAGGTTGCTGCTGCCTCGGGCGTATGGAAAGTAACCGAGAACAAACCTCCATAGCCTCCGCCCTGGTTACGACATCGGTCATAGAACGCCTTAGTTGGGCTGTTCTTCGGATAGTACACATCTTTGACTATACACAAAGTTAGCAAAAAAAAACACTGCCCAAATCCATGCCCAAAGCAATATTGGACTTACCCAGCGGCGAAGATTCCAGCAACGAGGTCAAGGTCTCCGCTGACCTATTGATCCGCTCAACGCGGCCGACAAAGTCCCGACTGTTGCGTTCCAGGAACACCGCATCCTCGGCCCAGTAGTCATCTTCGTACTCTTGGGCCAGCACCTCCTTGAGCAGCGCATAGAACTGTCCATGCGGGTTGAACACTGCACTGCCGCCCATAACGTTGCTGTCTCCGCTGAATATCTTCGTCAAGCTGCTGACCACCACATCAGCAAAGGGGAGCACATTCACATTGATGAAGTTGCCCAGCGACTCGTCCACGACGACGGCGAACTCATATTTCCTCGAAAGGGCATATATGCGTTCAAGATCCGGTGATCGCAGCAGTGGATTCCCTGGGAACTCGGTGAATAGAGCAAGATACCGCTCTCCTGACTCCAGGCGTTTCTCAAGATCATCTATCTCTTCCGTCGAACAGAGACCATAGAACAGCACCCCCGGGCCCCATTTCTCCAGGATCTTCAGCGTGTCAATGTATGGGAAGCCGAAGCAGATGCTCTTCATGGGTCCACGGGCCTTAAGCAGGAGTTGGTGCACGTTGAATATCGAGTTCATACCTGTAGGATAGAGCATGATATGCTCCTCGTTGAGCCCCGGGATACGGGCATTTTCAGGGTTATGCGAGTCTGCCTCTGTCGCTGACAATGTCCCTGCAATCCGCCGTTTGACAGCCAACTTCGCGTTGTTGGCCAGGCACATGTCCAAATTTCGACCGAACCGCTCTTCGATAAACTGGCTAAACTCCCCTTCACCGGTAGTCGTGGACTCAGCTTGTTTAGTCGAACCGTGCGATTCAACTTTCTGGTATCTCTTTGGTCCCTTATGTATGACACTGTCTGTCTTTGCTCCTTTGGCTTGTCCTTGTCCCTGCGCCTGAGACTCTTCAACGAGATATCCACCTTTCAACGCTTTGAGACAAAATTCACCGCGTCGACTGGAGATTCCCGATCCACTGTGCTGCCATACCTGCTTCGAGATACTGCCATACTTTTGTGGGTAAAGCACCGCACAAAGCTCCGATGTGATACCGTTGAGCTCTGCAGGGGTAATCTGCGGCGGCATAACAAGCCTTACAATGCGTACTCCAGGCTTATCCTCTTCAGGTATCTTTGACAAGATGAAGTCCCTACAGCATGTGGCGGTTTTAGGCGATGGGAATAGCATGGCAGCGTCTCCCTGCCGACCAAAACGGGCAATGACCTCGTTTGCAAGACATTGGATGCTCTTATGGACGAAGAATCTTGGGTATCCTGTAGTCATGGCATTGATAACCTTTGCATCCCCTTCTTCATATCCCACATTCGCTTCCCATGTTGGAAGCGATACGCTAATCGCCTATATAGATGTCAGCAGTGGTATCAGGCAACAACTCAGGACTCTATCAGCAGCCCGCTCCGGTAAAATCAAAAAATGGAGCCGGCTATGAACTTCCACGGCTAGAGTATATATGTATCCTATCGTAGGCTCCCTTATAGTTCCATGGATGGTTGATATTGACTCATAGGGTATCACTTACATGGGCTGTGTTCGGAGGGACTGAACCCCCAACAGGCTGGTCGATAGGCATGAAAATGGAGCTCGCCGTAGCCCTGATACGTCTTCTATTCCTTGATAGAGGGTATAGAGTAATAATACTGCTGTTATGACTAGACTGCGTTCCTAGTAGGTGGCTGTCCAGGGATCATTCCCGGTAGGAGGAGGGCTTAATAGAAGAGAACAGGGGGGTTATCTGCTGCCCTTATGTATATGCTCCCACAAACAACAACAAATGTGGACATAGAACAAACCAGCCATTCAATCATAAACTCATCAAAAGAGCGAAAGATCAAATAATAACAAACAGCTGTGAATTTATATAAAATGTTTGAAATGCGAAAAAAAACGCCGACCTCGGCCTTTTTTGGTGCCATTAGTCACATGTAACATAATTACACTTGTAATTTACCGAATTAGCCAAATATCGGTAAATATACCGCCAAGACTGGTAATACAGATACATAATATTTTCTATCAAAATGTTAAAAAAATATTTCTGATAACAGTCGAAAGATCAAAAGGAAGAAGCAAACACAACCAGCGGGCGCAATGTCGGGTCCTACTCTGAAGCGGAGGAAGCTGAGCTCTGGAGAGGAAGAAGACAGCGCCAACACGTCAAAGAAACCAAAGTCACCCGCTGTCCAGCGCAATGGACGGCCCAGCAACTCTGCCGCCGAGTATGCACTCGCGCGTGGGCAATTCAAGTCGAGCATGTTCAAGCTTCAGATGGACGAGCTGCTCGGTCAACTGCGCCCTGACTATGATAAACTCCTTTCCCGAGTCGAGAAGAGCTTGCGGAAGCTGAAAACCGTCATCGAAGAGATCCCAAATGGCAACCCGAAGACCCTCGCCGAAGCGAAGAAGGAATTCGAATCCTCAAAGGTTGCGATTCCGTTTCCGGAGCCTCCCCCAGCCAAGGACGTCCTATATACCTTTGAATATAGCAAGCCGGTGGATATAAACGTTGTGGGAAGCTTTGCGCTTAAGACTATGGCGAAGGGACAAGGGCCTACCTACATTGATTTAGCCGTTACATTACCCTCCACGCTGTTCCACAAGAAGGATTATACTAGCTATCGGTACTTCTACAAGAGAGCATACTACCTTGCTCGCATTGCAGCAGCCATCAAAACTGCAGAGGATGTGGACTTTTCCATCAGCTATACATACCAGGACGGAAATACCCTTCGGCCGGTCCTTTTACTACAGCCAGCAGACGGCGCAGAGGATAACTTTTCACGGTCAAATTGTGTCATTCGTATCATAACTGCAGTTGAAAAGGATACATTTGCCCTTTCTCACACTTTTCCGTCGCATAATAGCCTTCGACTCGACAGTGAAGCTGAGCATAAATCAATTGGCGCCAATTCTACACATATTTATAACGCATCTTTGCGTTCAGAAGCCGTAGTTAGTGCATACCTGAAACTACACCACTCCGCCGGTGTCAAATGCGCTGCATTCAAAGATTCATGCATTCTGGGCCGGGCCTGGCTTCGTCAGCGAGGGTTTGGAACTTCTTTTGCTTCAGGCGGATTCGGTCACTTTGAATGGGCCACTGTCCTTGCTCTTCTCCTAGAGGGCGGTGGTCCAAATGGAAAACCTGTACTTGCTCCAAGCTACAGCAGCTATCAGATTTTCAAGGCGACTCTCCAGTTCCTCTCCGGCAAAGATCTTACGAAACCACTTCTGATGCATGCCCCAGAAGGGTTAGGTACCGTGGCTGATACTGGCTTCCCCGGTCTTTTTGATGGGAAACGAGGCTTGAACATCCTATATAAGATGACGCCTTGGTCTTATAAACTCCTCCAGCGCGAGGCTACCTTAACCCTTAAGATGCTAAATGACTCAACTCGCGATCATTTCGACAGTATTTTTATCACAAAAGTCTGTGATGCCTTCTACAGGTTCGACCAAGTCATATCCATTACGCTACCTGGACGCCGCCCACCAACAATCCAGGCAGCCGAACGACTTCAGTCCCTGCATCGAGTTTTAACAAAAGCTCTTGGGGATAGGGCCACAGCGATAGACCTCACCTCGGGTGAAGTACCGAGCTGGGCTGTCAAATCCACCTCACCACCCAAGGAGAGCAAGAAATGGACCATAATTGCTGGATTGAACCTCGATGCATCTAATCAGGGTCGCAGTATTGACCATGGGCCTTCTGTCGAAGATAAGGAAGAATCGGCTGCTTTCCGAGACTTCTGGGGTGATAAAGCCGAACTACGCCGATTCAAAGATGGCAGCATCAAGGAGAGTTTGGTGTGGTCTGATCAGGCCTCTTCTGGTACCCCTGTTCAACAAATATTGACCTATATTCTCCATCACCACTTCAAAGTCACTCCCGAGAACATTGTGTATATGGCAGCAGATATTGGCCAAGCTATCCCTGGCATATCTAATGCCTTGTCGACCACACCAGCCTCCGAACCAGTCCTGGAAGCTTTCCAGAAGCTTGAAAGGCACTTCCAGTCCGACGAGAGCCTCCCCATCGCTTTCAGTCAGCTCCTTCTAGCCACTCCCCTTATTCGATGCTCACCTGATTCACCTGGAGCTCCTATGGACGCAGTCCTTCTATTCCAATCCTCTTCCCGTTGGCCCGATGATCTAGGCTCGATTCAAATGACCAAGGTAGCTTTGCTCCTCAAAGTAGAAGAGTCAATCCGCAAAGCAGACGGCGTTATTGAAGCCAGAGTTGGGACAGAAAATAACGAGAGCAATCTACTAAATACTTCGTTCCTTGAGATCCATTATTCTCCGTTTATAATATTCCGTTTACGCATCCACCATGAACCAGAGCAGGCTATCATACAAGCCCAATTGAAAAGTAAGGATTTACCTGCAAGAAAAAAGGAGGAACTTGCTGTTGCTCTCGCCGCCTATAAGGCAACTTTCCTCCAAGCCCCTCGCCACGCCCAGGCACTCCAGAGCCTCTCAAACCGTTACCCACTACTACCTATCGCTATCAGGATGTTGAAATCTTGGATAGGCGCCCATCTTTTGGCTCCATTCGTGCGTGAAGAGCTCCTTGAGCTCCTAACGTGCCAAATATTCCTTGCCTCTTACCCTTGGGATGCCCCTTCAAACGCATTTACAGCTTTCCTTCGAACTCTACATATGCTGTCTAAGTGGGATTGGCAGCATGAGCCCCTCATAGTGGACTTTAGCGGCGAACTCGAGAGCCAGGACTTCACAGATATCCGCACCCGCTTCGAGGCATGGCGAAAGATTGACCCGGTAATGAAAAACGTTGCTCTCTTTGCTGCCTCGAATATCGACCCGGATGGTGTTACGTGGACACAGCACAGTCGTCCATCAAGAATCATAGCGTCTCGAATGGTCATGTTAGCCAAGGCTGCATCAAAACTGGTTAGAGAAAAGGGTGTGGACTTGGAAGTTGGTGAACTTTTCCGGTCCCCCTTAGATGACTACGACTTTTTGCTCCACCTAAGTCCATCATTCTTTTCGGACCGTTCAAAGAAAGCCGCCTTCAAGAATCTCCATGACTCAGCCTTGACATCTGAGTATGCCAAACACGAAATGGTTCGTGATCTCGTTGCAGAGCTCAGCAGTCTGTATGGAGAGCACATCCTGTTTTTCCGCGGCCATGCTAGTGAGAAGGTGATAGCAGGACTCTGGAATCCACAAACTACAAAAACACAGCCATTTGGTCTGAAGATTGGATTTTCATCTTGCCCGAAGAAGACCCAGGATGGGGAGGAAGTGGCATTGAACAAGAAGGCAATTTTGAATGAAATTGCATCTATAGCAGGGGATATCATTTCTAAGGTACAGGTGCTCCATTGAATCGATTTTTGGTGTTTTGTAGAGGGTAAAAATAGAAGATGACGATGAAATTGGTGTATATTGTGATAGAAAAAAGAGCCCTCCTTTGATGATAGCAAAAAACAAACCGGTCACATTAATTATCCATTTAATTTTTCGCATTCTCCATGCAAGTTCATGATGTTATAGATAAGAGGGTGTGTTTAAAAGAAGCCTCGTCGGCTCCCTTTATCAGACTGTGTCGAAAAAGAACAGTAACGGTCCTTGATGGATATAACTTCGTATGTTCCCTCATCTGAAGCTTTGATAGTTTTCGTGTGCTCATGAGATATGTCATTCTTAGTGTCGAGAATGACACGCTTCTTGCCCTTGCCGTCATTCGAGCTGCGGGTATAACTAGAGAAGTATCCGTCAGTATATGAAGTGTTGGTATTGAAAGCTTAGGATTAACTTACGTGAATTCGAAGGGAGGAGTTCCCCAGAACTCAAACATGATCTCCGCTTCACCGCCTTCGGGTATGTCGACAACAGACACACCCCCACGGCTGATCCTGACGCTGGGCATCTGGTGTATCACTTTGGTGATATTCTTATGAACTCGACACCTTCCACTAGCTCCATCACTGACTGATGTGATCTTGAATTCACCAGGCATTTCCGCAATACGTCGGAAGGTCGTGGCCTGGCTCTTCGCCTTTCTGGCCACACCATCGAAGGTGTAGTAGATTTCAAACGGCGCATGGCCGGAAAGGGAGAAGGATATTCTCTCGCCGACACAGTAATCCTCTCGTGATTCAAGTGGAATAATGGTTGGCACGTCAGAAATGGATACTCTGACCGATGATCCATCGAATTCGGTCGCCCTTTGGCAGCCACGTGAATCTCGGACTTTGCGGATGCTTATGACATGCTGTCCAAGATCAAGGTACTGGCGAGGAACAGGCAGTGCATATCGGTTTGAATTGATGTTGGGGATAGAAAGAAGCTCAGGCTTCGCGCTTGAATGATGTTTGACAGCAAGTTCAAGCGTGAACGGGGGTATACCTTCAAGTATGATCGGGATTGTCTCATCTTCCTGTTCTTCCTCCTTGCAAAATCCGTACACTTTGCTAGGAGACTCAAACCGAGCTGATGGACGGGGATTCACCTTCTGGGTGACAATAATAGGATCCTTTGCTTTCTTTTCAGGGCTATAGAGATTATCTCCAATTTCCAGGAACTTATAGGTGTAATTTCCAGCCATAGTAGTCCGCATTGGTATAGAGGCAGAGTTAAGGGCAGCAGTGAGACTTCTCATGCGGGAAGTTGGGTTCGAATTTCCAGCCTTATAGCTCTCTTCGTACCGAACTGTGTATGGACGGTTGCCACCAAATTTCAGCTCTAGAGAGTTCACGTCACCTTCACATACTTCATCCTTTGCAATAATAGTCTGAGGCCCCAGTTTGACACCATCAACCTCAGTGATCTTGGGCCGGGCAATCCAGGAAACTTCAAAAATATGTGCTTTCTCATCAACTGATCCAGGGCAAGTCGCATCCGACAGACCAATGATCTCATACTGTCCTTGATCTGTTACTCTAAGGACGCTGTTTGCATTCCAAAAGGTTTTCTCCACAGGGCCGGCAGTGGGATCGAGCTTGTTCTGGTACTTCACTTTCCATGGAGCTTCACCTTCCAGTCTTAAAGGAAGATCTACCGCCTTGCCCTCCAAGGCCAGAATAGTTCGTTTCTGGTCTATCTGGCCAAATCCAACGCGCGGTCTTTTCGGTCTGGCTTCAATTCGAATCTCCTCCTTCAGGGCTCTCTTGCAGTTCGATCTGTCTTTAACGCTGGTGAGACCAACAGTGTAGACACCACCATTAACAAGGTCTGCCGTGGAAAGAGACGCAACATCGGTATCACTCTTCAGTTCATGCTTCTTCCTCTTTCCGTTATGTACCACCTCGTAGTTCAAAACCCATGGCGGTTCTCCAACAAACATCACGTCCATTGAAACGGGTTCGCCGAAGCAGGCTTTGCGGCTTGTGAGGGGTCCGACAAATTGCGCAGAGGCAGGAGGTTTCACATCCTGCTCTAGGGCTGGTACGCTGTCTTTCAATGAACGAGCCTCGTATATGCGATCAGATATATCCAGGAATCTATATCTGTAGTGCCCTTCCTCTGCAGGCTTCAAATCAAGTTGTCCGTGCAGGCCATTGATGGTGTGCACCCTGGTTTGTACGCCCTTAGAGTGTTCTATGGAATACCTGACCCTGAATGGTGGCGTTCCGATCAAATCGAGGTACACCAGAAGACCAACGGAGTTGTTAGCGCAGGTATCATAAATCTTTTCATGGCGGATAGCTAACTGCGGCTCAGCTGGATTGTGGAGGTAGCAGGACGACGGCTCAAAGACTTCACCCCGACAGTATGGACTGGAGATACCAGTAATACTGTACCAGCCAGAAGCCTTGATTCTAGGCTTACTGTTGGCATTTTTGAATTCATATTCATGAACAGATGTAGGCTCCCTTTTATCACCATCCTCTCCAGACTCAGAAAATGAGTAGCTGAGAGTGAAAGGGAAATCCTTATTCTGTCCATACCCGGTATCGTGGAAATGAACTGGGAGGTCAATTGACTCTCCTTTGGCGATTTGGAGGTATGTTTGCGTGTCACAGCCGGACAGGGATACCCGAGGCAGTTCATGAACGAAGAATTGTTGAGATTGCGGATGATGCTGAGACCAAAGACCCTCATCAACATCTGGGTTTTTGGTATAGTTGACAACATTCCCACAACCATCGTGGATTTCCTCAATAGCATAAGTCCATTCCCCGAATGCAGTTAGGGATTCGTTCAGAGGAACTTCCACCTTCTGTTGGCGAGCCCAGCTAAATTTGGCCAGGACTGGATTAGTTGGCTCCTCCTCCGGCTCTGGCAGCTTCTGGTGACCTTCTGGCTGAATGCTTTGGAAGGAGATCCCTTGGTCAACGTCGTTGACGGTGCGACTGTATTTTATCTTGAACGGCGGAGTTCCATGCATTGACATAGTGAGATCGGATAGCGCCCCTCTGCACTTGTGGCCCCCGCGAGTCAACATCGAGGCTTTGGGGCAGTTGACAACGAGAGTATCCATGGAACGATGATGAACAGCAAGCTTGGACTCATCCACCACTTTTTTGATCTGATAAACACCGGTCTTGCGCACGGGGTAGAGAAGATCCAGCCATTCTCGTTGTTCTGATTTTGGATAGTTTTGGCTGGCCTGGCGTCTGAGGGTCTTGGCCTGTTTCTCAGGGATAACAATCGTTTCGTTTGCACCAGTTTCGAGATCAAAGCGCAGAAGTTCTATGAGGATAGGGTTGGTTTGGTTCACTCGGATGGGGAGGTTGACAGAGGAATGCGCATGGCCGAGACACAACGGAACCTTGTCTGGGTTCAGAACGGCAGAACTAAAAGAAAGTTAAGTCAGCAACTGTATATAGAGCGAGAGTGCCGGGCACAGTCATACCCTTCCGGCAAGATATGGACGATATGTTTGCCTAGAATTAATGACGAGTTGTGTAGGATGTCATAAGGTTTAACGCGTTGTCCGGAGATCGAAAGCTCTCTGTCATAGGCCATTTTGAACAAAGAAACGACCCAGGCTTCCATCGGTAACTGTTTTGTCATTCGTAAGTATACTCCAGACCAATCGATGATATGCTTGTCTGACGTACCGGAATCTTAAACATCAAAAACACGTTAATCACCACATGAACCAGGAATATCGCTAACGTGGTTGAAAACGCCCACTCTAACCACGGGATCCGCAGCACAGGCAGCCCAAACAGATATGTAGCATCTATGAGCAGCCATTTCAAAAACAGCCATGTAGCATCCCCCTCATCCGTAGACGTCCAGTATTCGTAAAACCGCCATGCATTCAACGCAGCGTAAAACGCAACAACGTAGAGTCGCTGTGCAGGCGCATCGACAATGTGAAACGGTATCAGAGGCCTATCCTGGGGCTGGGCGGCATTGGCAGACCTCACAACAGCGCTGGCGCTGGCGAAGTTGATCTTGCTTCCCCGGCCAAAGGGGACGGGCGTAACGGCTGGGTCATGGTAGCCGGTGGACGTTCGAGGGGTCCGTGGTTCGGAGCGAGGTGTTCGAGGGAAAGCCGAACGTAGTCGGGGAGTGTCACTCATTGCATTATGGTCTCTGCAGGGCCTCCTTTGATATGGTGTTTCGTTTGCTGGTGAGGCCGGTTAGAGGTCGAGACGCGTGCCAGGTACCATCCAGGCGACCGTCAGGTGGTATCTACCGCCGACTCCGGTATAAGTTCCGCCACCGTATCTCGTCTGGTAGATCTCTTTAAGGCAGTAGATAGTGCTAATGAGCGTCGCAGGTGGGCGTGTTTCTCGTCAGACCCTCGTCTTCGCTTCGGCGTCGTCGTCTTCGTCTGGCTCGCTTGAAGCTGTGTTAATGCTTGGAAGTAATTTTTTACTTTTTATTTTTCTGCAGCCCCGATTAGGTTTAGCGCGGTCACGGGCTAAAGTTTCCTCCGCGAAAGCTTCAAAAACAACCTTGAGAGGAGAACGAAGAAAGGGAGAGAGAGCAGAGAGTGTGAGAGCTGGCAGATGCGAGATGGGAGCGCCGAAGAAGACAGCTACTCTGGACGAAGGGCGAGATAAGGGTGGGAGGGTGAGGATGGCTGGTGGTCAGAAGAAAGACGCCGCGGAGGACGGGTTGACGCCTCTGACCAGCGAGGAAAGGGACAGCTGGAACGGCTTCTGTGAGATTGAGAACGAGCCAGTACGTCTATGCGGTGGTTGATAGATAAGCTAGAGAGTGGCTAACCCGGCTGCAGGCATTATTCAATGCCATACTAAAGGACATCGGCGTCAAGGGGGTCAAGGTGCAGGAAGTGGTGTCGCTGGACGAGGAGATGCTAGCCTTCTTGCCGTGTGTTTATACCCCTGAGCTACCTAGTAGTTGAGGTACCTAGTTACTTATGTAGAACCACTGCTGACAACATGGATATAGGAAACCCATTTACGGTCTGATCTTTCTCTTCCGCTGGAGAGAAGACGATCCTCACAAGCAAGAACAGAGCTGCCCTGAGTCACTATGGTTTGCCAATCAGGTAAATAGATATACAAGGTGCCACACATTCCATGATAACGGTAGAGCTAATGAAGTAGACGGTGGAAAATGCATGTGCCACCGTGGCGTTGCTCAATATAATCTACAACATCGAAGGTATCGAGATGGGAGAGGAGCTGAAGTCGTTCCGGGAGTTTACCAAAGACCTCAGTCCCGCCATGCGAGGCTATGCGATTGGCAACTTTGAATTTGTCAAAAAGGTGCACAACTCGTTTGCCAGGTAGGTTGTCTGTAAGCAGGCATGACAGGAACACAACTGCATCTGCTGACCAGTACAGGAAAATGGACATTCTCAGCGCAGACATGCTGCTCAAGAACCAGCAGAAGTGGAAGGCCCGAGGAAACCAAGAGCTAGACGAGTCCGAGGCCGGGTTTCATTTCATCGCATTTGTCAAGGCCAAGGAGAGGGTATGGAAATTTGACGGTCTAGAACGACAACCCCAGAGTCTCGGTATGTCATCGGGCACCAGTCCTATCCAGAAACTCCATGTTTCTTGCCTTGCAACAATCGTAATCTAACTACTTGCAGGAAAATGCGTGGAGGAAGACTGGCTTGGACTGGCAACGAAAGAGATCCAGACGAAGATGGCAGAGTACGAAGAGGGAGATATCGAGTTTTCCATCCTAAGCCTGTCCAAGGACCCGATGACCGGATACCTTGCCGACCTGGCATCCAACGTCAAGGCTCTCCAGCACCTTAACAGCCGCTTAGCCGGGTTCGGAGAAAACTGCGACGAGGCAGACCCTGAAAACGCCGTGCTGTGCGGCCCAGACGCGCAGTACGGGCTGACCCCGGCTATGCTCGAGCTCGCATTGGTGCCCAGCGAGCTAGCAGAGACAGCCGAGAACGGCAACGAAGCACACGACCTCGACTCGCTTGCGCGCCAACGCCAGGCCCTCGTCGAGCAGCAACGCCTCCTCCGCACGCAGATAACGGACGAGCAGAACAGCAGACAAATCGAGCTCGACTACGCCCGCCGCCGCCGCTTCGACTACTGCGCGGCCGTCAACCGGTGGAGTCGCATTCTCGTCCGCAAGCGCAAATGCGAAGAGCTGCTTAGCTAAGAGATTACTTAATGCCGTGATTAGTAAGTCCTGACAGGGATCAGCTGACCAGTCCGTGCTTTGTCGCCCCTTTTTTTGCTTTTTCCGTTTCTGGTAATTTTTTATTATTTTTTTTTTTCCTTGTGATGTCAAAAAAAATTGCTTATTAACTTCGTCTTTCCCACCAGGATATTAAGAGACGCGAGATATAAAGACTTGAAGATAGAAACCGACCAGCCTGATGAGCAGAAAGATACCGATGAGCGTGTTGACAAGGTGCTGTCAAGATGAAGTTCGCCCACAGTTACGTGAGCACCCTCGAGAATGAGGGCTTCCCTTCGCAATGGGTGAGGTCGGCCATCTCGTACCGCCAGCTGAAGAAGTGCATCAAGCGGGTGCAGAGCGAGCTGCTGTCGCTGGGACTCAGTCCAGATGTGCTCAACCGCTTCTGGCTGACTGAGGACGGCAGCCTGGCCGATGGCGAGGGAGATGGCAGGTTGGCCCGTGTGGGATTTGCATATTCGCTCAGGGGTATGTGTATACTCCCCCCCCCCCCCCTGTTTAGAGCATGGGCGATCTCTCTCCTTCCCTTGTTTTTTTATGCTTCACACAAGCTTGTACTTATACAGAACAACAGAATGTAAATCTTCCTCCTCCCTGCGCCCCGTTCTGACGTTCGCCATGGGCCCGGACGATAAGCCCCCCCGCGAACTACTTAGTTATCCCGCCATCGCACAAACGGACAGCAGCAGTATCAGGTCCAACAGCACGAGCAGCAGCACCAGCAGCAGTGGCGGAAATAATCCCTGTACCGGTGAATCCGAGAGCTCCTGCACCACGAAAACCGACGCGGACGGGCCCTATCAGTCGATCGAGATCCCCCTCTCCTCCGACTCAGAGTTCTTCCGTCTGCTCAAAGTTGGTCTCTCCAACCTGGAGGACCTACAAGCGCACGAAAAGAAGGACCTTGACAGCCAGGTTGCCCTGCTTCGCGAAAGTATTGTCGAAGTCACAAGCCCGGCGACTCCTACCAAAAAGGCCGATCAAGTTGCCATCTATGCCTGGCGCGAAGTCTTCCGCATCTACATGGAGATGCAGGTCTTCTTCTCCACAGGCGAAGCAGACTCCGGCGAGCGGTCGTCAGAGGTTGCCCGCCAGCGCCTCGAAGCCTTCCAGAAGCAGCTGGTCAAGCAGCAGCACGCCAAGAAGCTTGGGCGCAACGGCCGGCGCGCCCTTGAGATGTTTATGCATATCAACCTCGCGGTGCTGCAGAATCTCAAGTTTCAGGAAATCAATGGCATGGCACTGAGCAAGATCCTGAAGAAGTTCGACAAGCAAACCGCGCTTCACGCGCGATCCGCCTTTACTAAAACAGGACCGTTTTCCGCCAGCAGTCTCTCAAGGTCTGTCTGCCAGGCGATCTCTGAGCAGATATTAGTAGTTGTGCCGCAGCTGGACGACTATCTTTGCCCAGTCTGTTTCACTATCTCCTTCAAGCCGGTCAGGCTGAGATGCTCCCACGTTTTCTGCATTCGGTGCCTAGTCGTCATGCAACGCCAGCAACAGAACCACTGTCCCATGTGCCGAGCCGAGGTTGTCATGGAGGCAACAAGCAGTAGGTCTTCACCTTTGCCTTTGTACATCCCTAGCATATATGTTGCCGTCTTAAAACATACAGTAATCCTAACAACGTCATGTAGAAAACCTAGACCAAAAGCTGTTGACCTTCCTGCAGTCATCCTTTCCCAAGGAAACCAAAACAAAGCAGAGGGAGAACGAGCGAGCCGCAATGGTAGATGTCTACGGCGAGCCTACCGACGTATGCAACATGATGTAACGTGGTCCAAGAAACCTCACCGTCTCCCGTTTCAATATGCCATCTACCCCTGGCGATAGCGAGACTGCTCGTTGTCCCTGCAGAAAGAAAAAGACATCCGGATTACTTATACTTAATGGCGTGCCGCGTATATGTACGGGGAGCATCCGCACTCCCACAGCACGTTATTTACGGAGTACTTATCTTAGTATATGTATGCAGCCGGTAGCATGGCGGATGTGAAGGATGGACTTCCGGGTCGGCAAGCCTTCTCGGTTGCGCTCGTCGGCCCTACATGATGTCTCATCGGTCCATTGAACTAACCCACAGATCTTATGCCTATCATGATCAGGCTTCCCCAAATTTCTTCTGACAAAACGACCCCAGGTCCCACCGGAAGCCCACAATCCTATCGAATTTGACAGGGGAGCCAAGGATGGACTATTTATGCATAAGGCGACGTAAACTAAGCACGCCAGCGCCAACATGATACCAAAACACACCCTGTTCATGAAATGTCTTATTTGCTGGATCTATACCTTGTCGAAAAAAAAATTCTGGACAGGGGGAATTCTCAACTCTCCAAACCTGACGGAATGACGAAAAAAAATTCAAAATAGCGGTGGGAAAGGGGGTCGTCTCTTGCGCCCTTCAGCAAAATATCAGCCAGATAAGAAAAAAATATGCGTCTCCGGCCGCATCCACTAGGTTTTGTTTTCGGACCTTTGGGATGAGCTGATGATTCCTGACCCCGGGAGTTAATCAGACGCCTTCGACCGAGAGGCGAAAAGCTGAAAGTGAAAGCCCCCTACTTCCACTGTCTCGTTAGGAGCATACTCCATGGGGTACTTCATAGCGAGGATGACCCCAGCAGCTTCGTACGGAAGCCTCATTTTTTTTTCTCTGGGAATGAACAGAAGACTCTGCGTCTGCTTCTCCTTCTTCCGTCTGGCTTCTCCCTCCCGTCCGTCTTCCCCGGGCCGCTGGAATGGGGACGCACAGCAAATGGTCCCTCCGCATTGCGACTGGCATCATCCTCGTCTGGCCAGGGGTATGCTGTAACTAGTCGCCAGACCCCAGCTCGCCATGGGCGCACTACCGCTGTTTAATGGCGATATGCCGGCCGGCGAGAACACTACGGAGTACTATGCCCACTTTTTATGTGTATATTTAGACGAGATAGCTGTATAGCGACTCTCAATAATTAACTAGTTAATCTAATAAATACCATGCCTGCTATTGCCTCCGAGACACGAATGGCAGCGTCCATCAGCCCGTATTTTCCGCAGGCCTTACCTTGGACACGGAGTCATGCGCCAACGCTCCGTGAAGCCACGGCCAGGGATGTAGTTAGCTAGGTACTTTTGAGTAAACCCGGTCGCAGTAGCTAGCTGGTACTGCTACCTGTGCTCGACCATGCATGCTGAAGTAAGAAGACGGCGGGGTGAGCATCTCCATCGTCTCCATCCATCTATGAAGCTGCGGGTGGTCGACGGAGCAGTATAAATATAGGGAGGCTCGCCTGGAATAACACTTTATCTCCATCACATCCCCATCCTCCATCTACAACCCTTACCACCTACCATCCACCCATCGCTATCGCCATCGACATCAACAACAAGAAGCAGTCTATTACTCTAGCTAGAAGCTGAGGATAGTGACCATGCCAGGTATCCTGCTCAGCCAGTTCCCAGACGAAATCCTGCACAGCATCCTCACCTACACGCCGCCGTCCGCCGCCATCGCACTCGAGCAGACCTCCAAGCGCTTCTCACACATCACCAACGCCCCCCTGCTATGGGCCGGCTACTGCAAAGCCTCGTTTCGCTTCTGGGATAAGCGTCATGACATCACCGACAAGTTTGCCCGGCCGGCAAAGAGCGTGCAGTGGAAAGAATTGTACAAGCTGAGGCATCAGATCGACCGCGCGACAACGGAGATACTGGACAGCATCCTCGCCAGCCAGACAGGACGCATAGAGAAGATTCACCGCATCGTCAGCTTTGGCTATGATGCGAAGGATACGCTGATCAGGCACGCTGATGCTCCTCAGGACCTTGAAGACTACTTGGCTAGGAGGTACGTGGTCTATAGGTTGACCCTCCTACCTATGGAATAATATCAAGACTAACGAACGGGGATATAGATACTACAGCAATGCTATACTCGGCTGTCTGCATCGAACGCTGGCCATTCCCACCTGGAACAGGCTCAGGAACGGCGAGGACGTGTCTCTCGAACACGCCCTGGGAGCTTTTGACATGTTCATCCTCGACTCTGGCACCGGAGACTTTGACGACGTACGTTCACCAGTATACAATAACTATCTTCTACGGGACGAGCTAACAGGAGTAGATATCACGGAGCTTGGACAACATAGTTGGACGGATGAAACGCCAGTACCCTAATATCCTCGAGTACACGCCCCGAGAACGAGCCATAATGACAGCAGAGTACCTCCGCGAAAACAATCTCACTGGGATCGAGTCTGGCAGGGAGTTTTACAACATTGAGCACAACTTCCTGGGTGCTGCTCTGACCAGCGAACGGCACAATTCACTGCCTCTGATCTCGGCGGCTATATACTGCTACGTTGCTCAGAGACTCGGCCTCGATGCCCATCCCTGTGGCTTCCCCTTCCACGTTCACGTTATCATCCGCCCAGAGCCCAATCACGACCTTGCTGGCAATCGGCTGCCAGACGGGGAAGAGGGCGACTTCATGTACATGGACCCCTTCCGCTCGACCAGCGAGACTCCCGTATCCGAGCTACAGAGCCAGCTGAACTTCCTTGGAGCCCTCACCTTGTCACAGTCAACATTCCTTCGCGAGTCATTCACCGCTGAGATCGTGCTCCGATGCGGCAAGAACATCCTCAACTCCGTCCTGCAAACACCACATTTCCGTCAGACGTCACTCGACATTGTTAATGTCAAGTATGCTGCCCTTTGGGCATCCATGCTCTTTGCCAAATACGCAAATCCCGATCGACAGAACATCCCCCAGGGCCCTGAGCGCCGACGAGCCGAACATCTGCCTCTACGCCGCCACCTGCCATCGCTTATGGAGCACTTTGCTACGGATTTCCCAGCGGACGTGTATCTCATCGAGCAGTATCTGATTCCGCTGTTCCAGAGCTTGCCTGAATATGAGCATCTACGCGAGAGCGTCAGCGTGATGAAAGCTAGTGACGAGATACCAAAGCAGGTCCGGCGAAGGAGCTCAGCCAACGGCAACGTCAAGTACAAGGTCGGCCAGCTCTTCCGTCACAAACGGTATGAGTACATCGGCCTAATTACTGGCTGGGACCCTGAATGTGGTGCTGGCGAGCAGTGGATGGAGCGCATGGGAGTGGACCGTCTCCATGCCGGACGCCATCAGTCTTTCTACCACGTCTTGTAAGCTTTTCATATCTATTTTTTCCCCTGAAAAAATGCGAAAACAATACTAACGACTTCCAGGGTGGAAGATAAAAGCGTCCGCTATGTCGCGGAAGAAAACATCGAAATATGCGAGCTCGAGGCTTCCGAAGTGCCGGATGCTTTCTTCAGCTTTGCCGGCAAATTCTTTAAGCGATGGGACATTGAAACCCGCCGCTTCGTGAGCAACATCCGTGATGAATACCCCGACGACTAGTCAGCTCAATATTATCTCGCTTGCATCGGCTTCTTTTCAATATCAAAAAAAAAAAAAAAAAAAAAAAAGAGAAAGAATAAAAGAAAAAAAAAAAAGGAATAAAACGCATCAAAACTACAAAAACATTATCGAAAAACGAAACGTTAACGAAGAAACGACAGCTTATGATCTCTCCTTATTATCATTTAGTGCTCTGGGTTTGGGCATGTTTACTTCCGGGCTACGGATTGCTTGCTTGCTTGTGGTTCTTTATTCTTTTGGGACATGAATTTGGGAACGAAAGGGGCGTTGATATTTCTACCATACCATACCACACTCTCCTCTCTGTATAATTCTTATTATTATCTTTGCTCATTCTGCTGCTTTTTCCCCCTTCCACGCTCGCTCCTTGTTTCGGGGTCTATCCTATTCTTATTTTTTTTTTTTATTTTTTTATTTTTTGTTGAGCTAACTCCCGAAATCATTGAATACCACCCGTCGCTTGAAAGCCGCGACTTCATCCTCGCCTAATGAAAATAATTTGCCTTGCTCCAGCTGGTTAAGGATTGGTGCATCCCAGGTCTGCTGCAACGTCTTTATCAAGTTCAGGACCTCTCCTTCAAACTCGAATGGGGGGTTCTCGTAGATGATCCTTTTCAACTGCTCGCCATAGTCTTCATCCGCATCACCATCATCATCATCATCATCATCATCATTGCCCTCGGCGGCATCGTCAACATTCGGACAAAGAGATAGCCGATGCCGATCCCTTGTCTCCGCCCAGCTGTGGTCATCATCTTGGTTCCCCCATGCGAATGTCTCGTCGAGGACCTCCCTCCCCACCCGGCCATATAGTAAGCCCTGCTCTATAGCAGCATGCAGCATAAACAAGACAGCAATGGTGCAGATATCATCACTGACGGATTCAGGGGCTGAGTCGCAGAGCTCCATCAGCTCAGGCAGGATATCACACAGCGTGACAGACGCTTCAATGTCAAACTGGTAGTCCTCCGTCTCCTTGACAGCCATATGGTCAAGCAACGTCCGCCGATTCTCATCTATCTGCGAGGCTGATATGGGTTGGACATGTTCAAATGCTCGATCCAGCTCCTCTGCAGGAGTAGTCTCCTGGAAGCTGTTCTCCTCGAGCCATCGTCTGGCCCTCTCGCGGCTTTTCTTGCGTTGAGCAGCCAGAGCCGCGCGAGACGGCAGGTAAGCCGTCCGCTTGAACCGTCTGAAGAAGAGGTTTGAGAAGTTGAGTGTCTTTATCTTGAATTTGATGTCGTCCGAGAGCGTTTCTCCGGGGTTGTTCGTCTTGAACAGGTGCAACGTAGCTAGTTACACCACGGTCAGCTTTGAAACCCAAGTAGATATATGACCTGTTTGAAACTAGACTCACCCTCTGCTATCTCGAGCCACCTGTCACAGCCGTGGATGCCCTCCTGCTGCTGCTCTGCGCCCTGTCTGTCCGCGATGCGCTCGTGCAGGATGGATGTGAGGGCTGCGCAGACGATGTAGTCGAGGATCATCAGGTCCACGTCCCGTCTCGTCTCTTCGTCGCAAACATCGCCCTCGTTGCAGCCCAGCAGAGGCGCGCCCGCCCGTCTCCAGGCATTCGTCTGCTGCATGATGCTGTTGTGCTGGAGAGATGTCATCGCTGCCTGGCCCAGTTGTCAATATGCTGGTATGGAACTAGGTAGTAGTGAAGTAGTGAAGTAAGGTTATGAGTTTATATCCCAAGCTTTAGTTACCCCTATATTTCATCTCTCTCACTTCCAACCTCACCTCGCCCTCCCTCCCGACCTCACCACCCCCTTTAATACCCCGATGCCTCCCTCCCGCCAGCGATAACTGATGCCTCATCTCCATCGCTCCGATGTAATCAATAGTTATATGCACGAACCAATTGTTGGCTCCACGAAAAAAGGTTGAACGGCTAACCTGCAGCAGCGGGCCTCCAGCTTTCCCCGGCGCCAATGGCAGCGTCCTGCGCCCGCACCACGGGAGCATCCTGAGCAGAGGCCGTCAGAGCGCTGCGACGAAGCTCGAGGTTCAGAGCAGGCCAGGCCAGTTGCCAACTCCGCGTCTCGTGAGGATTTTCAGTGCTTTTTCTTCCCGTCTCTCCTGGGCTCTCCCTCTGCGCTCGGCTGCTCGATCAAAAACCGCTTCTAACACGTACGATTTGGCTACTTACAGGTTGCTTTTTTCCTCCTGCCTCCTTTTTTGCTTTTACGGAGCTTGCCATCTTCAACGCTGACTGCTGCCACATGCAGTTCGAATCGCCATCCTCTCCGTTCGCTTCCTTCGTCTTCGTCGTCTTCTTCGTCGTCTTTCCCGTACGCCCTCGAGAAAGTCGCGACTCGTCACGTGATGCTCTTCCCGCTCCAAAAAATTTTATATCGAAGGAAATTCTGAGAAATCAGAAAAAAGAGAGAGACAGCAGCAAGACACACGCGCGCGGCGCTCGATATCGGTGGACGAGTAGATTCATCTCGCGCGCTAGTGGTGGCGGATGATATCACGATAACCAAACACCCCCGCCACGAAAAGAAAAAAGGGGGGGTGTTGTTTTTTTTTTTTTTTTTTTGGAATCAACCTTTTTTTGCTACTGATGGGTCAGGGCCAGTCCTCCTCCCGTCAGGGTGCCGCAGATGAAGCTCACGATGCTTTCGAGAGAGACTTTTACGCAATCTTAGGGGTGGAACGGGATGCCACAGCTGAAGAGTATGCATTTTCCTATTTCAGCTAGTCGCAGACTTGTGACTATTTATCTGGGCCTCCTTCATGTTGTGGTTTAGTTTTGGCTAACTATTATTGCTATTACTATTATTGCTTGGTCTAGGATAAAGAAAGCATATCGACGAAAAGCACTCGAGCTACACCCGGACAAGAACTATGGAAACGTCGAGGAGGCGACAGCACTCTTTGCGGAGGTGCAGTCGGCGTATGAGATCCTTTCAGATCCCCAAGAACGCGCCTGGTATGACTCGCATAAGGATGCAGGCGGCACCGGTGGTGATGCGGGCGTGCAGGGGCCAGAAAACTCGCGGTTTACGGCGGCCGCCGATGTCATGTCGCTAATCATGAAGTTCAATCCTCGCATGGAGTTTTCGGACGCGCCCACTGGCTTCTTTGGGGGCCTCAATGATACCTTCAGCCGGCTGGCCAGCGAAGAGCTTGTAGCATGCCGGCTGGACGATCTAGAACCCATCCACTACCCCTCTTTTGGCCGTAAAGATGATGCCCCTGACTCCGTGCGCAGGTTCTACGCTGCCTGGAGCAGTTTCGCCACGAGAAAGTCCTACGCGTGGAAGGACGTGTACAAGTACTCTGAGGCGCCTGACCGCCGTGTACGACGGTTGATGGAGAAGGAAAACCGTCGTCTACGCGAGGATGGTATTAGGGATTTCAACGACGCCGTCCGCTCGCTGGTTGCATTTGTACGCAAACGAGACCCCCGCTACAAGGCTACCGTCCAGAGCGAGGCGGACCGCCAACGGATCCTCCGTGAGTCCGCGGCCGCCCAAGCTGCCCGTTCCCGTCGGGCTAATGAGGCTAAACTGCGGGACTTTACACTCCCTGAGTGGGCTCAGTCGACAGAAGCTGAAGAGGAGCTATTCCCGAGCGAGACCGAGTCTGAGCAGAACCACTTTGAGTGCGTGATATGTAACAAGAATTTCAAGAGCGAGAAGCAGTTCGAGGCCCATGAACGGAGCAAGAAGCACGTCAAGGCACTCAAGCAGCTGCAGCGTGAGATGAAGCTGGAAGATAAGAACCTCAACCTGGACGCGGTGGAGCCCGGGGAGATGGAGCCAATGTCTGATTCCAATCACGGGCACGAGCATGAGAATAATAATGAACCTGAGCTGACGGGGACCCAAACCCCAGTATCAAAACAGGAACTAAGCGACGCTGACCCTGCTGACTATTCTTCGGACAGAAGTGAATCCCCTGAACCATCGTCGGAGGCTAGGGCCGATCAACCACATCCCCTGGTGGGTCAAGGTACAGACGATCTAGACGGTGAGGAGGTAGACGAGGAGGAGATCCGAAAACATGCCCTTGGTGACAGCCAGGGCATAGATCCCATTACAGAAAAACTATCCTCGCTCTCCACCGGCCAAGCTGAAGCCCAGGACGAGGACGAGGACGAGGAAGAAGACGTCGTCCTCCCGGCCAAGAAGCCAGGCAAGGCCAAGCAGAAGCGCGCCAAGAAGGCCGCTGCTGCCCAGGCATTGGGAGCAGAGCAGTTTGTCTGCGCCGTCTGCTGGGCGTCTTTTACATCCAGGAGTAAGCTGTTCACCCATCTGAGGGAAGAGGGCCATGCTCAGGCTCCAGTAAGCCAGAAGCAGCAGCAGGCAGCGAAGAAGAAGAGGAGGTGATTCTTCTCTTCTGTGATTATGATTATATACTCCCCTCCTAGCGGCTATAATCATGTTTGATGACTTGACGTATATATCTATATCTATCTTACGCAGCGATTAAATTAGACAATGACTGTTATCTCTTGGTTTAAACTATTGGCGGAGTAGACGTAGTTATCGTGTTTATGTCGCAGTGTAGTTAGGCACCTTGTGAGCATGCATCCAGGGGTATTGCACGTAGCTATCAACGCGTACGGCTACAGTTGGAAGTATCGCAACGCCGACATCCTATGTTCAACACAACCAGATAACCGTTTAAATCATCTTCTACGGTGCTAATAACCTATAGACTGCTGTAGTTTGTATATATTCCCCCGCGGATCGCGTATACTTGAGGGTTGTGGTTTTGTTTACCTGTCGCCCCTGCTCTGATTTCCAGAAAAACAGCGTCGGCATCTACCAAACCCGCGAACTACGTAGATATATATGATATAGAATGTAGAATGCATTTATATGGAAGGGATGGGACAGGTTTCCGCGTGTAATATGGCCTGGTGGTGGTGGTGTTGCGGTTTTCATCGGATTTTGGGTGATTTTGGATATTTTTATTTCAAAAGTTGATATTTTTATTTTTTGACAGAAAACATACAAATTACCATATTGAACACAACTACACTGACATCTCGGACATATGGGATATAGACGTAAGTGGATATATAGGTCATATAAGATGGGAATATTCATATTAAAGTATAAAAATAGGGATATCCAAGTAAAATAGCAGTATTCATACATGTGTTGTGGTCGTACATTGATACTGTGAAGCCGTGACTGACCGATAACTAACACGTTGACATACGAATGCACGTTTATTGCATGCCTACGACGACATAGATAGAGAATGAAAGTATGCCTATTACAAAATGAAATCAACTGTAACCGCGTTGAATTGATTATGTATGTATGTTTTTGGGTGAATATCGACAGCTACCACAACCAGCCGGCCTCTATTACATCATGGGGTTATTTTTATGTATCTCCGACGCCAAACCCGATCAACCCTATCACACAACAGCCTGCATTAAAGGGGAAAAAAGAAAAAAGAAAAACTACATAAAAGAGAGTCCCGAATACGCCAGTCACCAGAGAGAAACGATCACTAGTCGAAGTGAACGTGTAAAAATGCCTACCCTAGTCCCGCCTTGGAGGTCTTGACGATGTGGATGACAGGCTGGAGGATGCCCTTGTTATCCGCGGCACCAAGCGACATTCCCGTGTTCCATCCCATCTTCTCCAACATGGCGCGGCCACGGTTATCAGCTCCGATCTCAGGCGCAGAGGCACCCACGACGTCTCCGTCCATGTACGAGGCAGCGCGAGTCTCGCCGCGGGCTCTACCTGAGCGAGCACCACCGGATGGCCCCGCGCGACGCCTGTCAGAGTATCGAGTGATTTTTCTGCGGGAGAAGAGGGCTTCGAGCTCGTGGACCTCGTCTGGGTGGAAGGTGGGCGTGCCGCGGGTTTTGGTGAGGATGGGGAAGCGGTCGTATCCCTTGCCGCGGGAGATGGATTTGAGGGAGAGCGCGTTGGCCATTTCGTGGACGAGCTTACGGTCTTTCTTGGCCATGGGAGGAAGTTGGAGGCTGTTAGTGTAGTTAGCATCAAAATAGAGAGAGAAGTAGAGGATAATAAGGTAGAGACATACGTCTGGGTGCGGGACATCATGAAAGAGCGGATTTCATCGCGAATGTCGTCTGGCGTATTGCCTCGCGGACGAGCCTTGCCGGACTTGCCCAGCAGGCCCTGGGCACGCAGCTCTTCGCGTTCCAACTTCTTCGCCTTCTTCTTGCGCCGGTCGTTCTCCCACGAGGCGTGGATGTTGGACTCGAGCTCGCTGTCCGAGAGGTCGAAGTCGGGCATCTTGCCTCGGGCCTTCTTGCCCATGAGACTGGTGCGGTTGTAGTCCATGATATCGAAAGCGCCGTAGGGATCTTCCTCGAACATGTCAGCGAGTTTTGACGCGGAGATGGGTTCACGCAGCGAGGCGTTCTTCCGCTTGTCTTTCTTCTTGTTCTTCTTGTTTCTGCCGGATGCTGCAGCGGCGCCTGATCTGGCGAATCCGTGGGTGGTGAAGAAGTCGATCTCGTCTGCGTCCATGTCGGGGATGTCGCCTGTGTCGAGGAGGTGGGCGAGCTGTTCGTCAGACATCCACTGCATGTCCGAGTCGATGTCGATGTCTTCATCGTCTTCATCATCATCTTCATCATCTTCATCGCCGGAACTGCTGCCTTCCTCTTCTTCGTCTACGTCGTCTGGGCCAGACATGCCGGGAGTCTTGGGAGTGACGGCTTTACTCGGCTGTTCGTCGTCGGACCATCCATCAGAGCTGTCTGAGCTGTCGTCACCGATGAGGTTGGCTAGGTAGTCTGCCACGGCGTCTGAGTCTGCGGAGTCGTTGCCAAACTCGAGGACTACCCTGCGAGGAGACATTCTGCGCCTGCTGGTGCCGGACCGTCTTCGGATTCCCGTGTCTCTGCGGTCGACTGCATCATGGCTGCGTTTTGGCGGTGTCCTTTGGGCTGTAGACGATGCTGCTGGAGGATCGTTGACGACTCTTGAGCGGACCTGTCGTCTCCAGAGGGGGACTCTGCCGGTGAAGACGACCTCGTCTGCGCTGGAATCCGAGGAATCGCAGTTGATGACGGGGTTGGGCAGCGTAGGCTTCACCGTCTTGTCTCCTTCTGTATCGATGACATAGAGGTCTTCTTCTTTCTCTCTGGACCCTGGCTTTTGATTCTCTTTCTCTTCTCTCTCTTCTTTTCTTGTCTTTTGATTCTCTTTTTCTGGCTTTTTATTCTCCTGCTTGTCGGCTTCTACCTGCTCAGCCTCGACCACTGCTGCTTCGTCCACTTTGACATCTCCATCCTTAGTATCCTCTTTAGTATCTTCTTTAGTAGTATCCCGGTCGAGCACGAGGTTATCGAGATTCCTGAGGACAGCAGGGTCGTCTGGCTCCTTCTGCCCTCCGCTGACGAACTGGACTGTCTGGTAGCGGAGCTGTCGACTGCTGCGCTCGAAGGAGTGGCGTTCAGTATTGAGGGCCTCCTGGCTGAGAGTGAACTGGTAGTGCTCTTCCACTGTGCCTACCATCCTTCATTAGCTGTCTGCCTGTCTGTCTGTCTGCATCTTCCATCACTTGTGAATGTCTCTCTCACCTCTGTCAAAGGCCCTTCCGATGCCTGCAGTGAGTCAGTCAGTTCAGTCAGTCAGCCAGCCAGCCGTCTTTCTGCCAGCATCCAGACTCACCTCTGCGACCTCTTTGCCGCCGCCTGCCTGGCATCCTGTAGCAAACACTTGTCTGCTCTCTTCTCTTCTCTTCTCTGGCTGTCTTGTTTGTTTCTTTTCTGTCTATCCTGAATGTCCTTTTGATGTCCCTCAGAGAGTGAAGTCAAGAGTCAGAAAAGACAAAAGAAGCAAACATCCCCACTTGCGGCTATTTTCTTATCTTCCCTCACCAACTATGATGTCGATGCATGTTTATTGCTTTTGCTTGGTTCACGCGGCCAAAGACCAACTTCAAGACTTCAAGACTTCACTTAGGACTTCCTTAGGACTCTAAAGACTTCCTCAAGACTCCGGCTGCTTTGCTTCACTGCTGGCATTCACGTTGATGGCCGTTTGCTGCTCCCGCTGCTCCCTTACTTAAAGGCAGCCCATGTCTCGCGGCAGTTGGCTTCTCTCTTGACCGGCTGGCTGATGACCGCCGGCCTCTGAGCAGCCTATATTTATACCAACCCAGCCCTCCTACAGCTTCTATATCTCCAGAGAGAATACCTTGTACAGATACAGTGAGCTTGAGCAGCCGTCCATAAGATGCTTCCTACGGGTTATAATAATATACTGACGCAGCGGCGGCTGAAGATGAACAACGTCGACCTGGGCAACCAGTACAAGAAGATCATCCAGTTCTTCTGGGACCCAGAACCGAAGAACGATGACAGCGGGCAGCCCATCTGGTGTCTGGGGTGCGAGTACCGGCAGGCAGAGACTCAGTGTCCTGCGCAGTCGTCCGGAGAGCCGGCAGACACTACAAACAGAGACAGAGAGCCAACGTTGACATCAACATCGAAGACCACTGCATCTACAACTACAACTACAGACACCACGGAGAAGGAGAAAGAGAAACGAACATCGACGGACGGACCACCGACGCCCGGGTCAGCCATCTCCTCGTTCGTCAACCTGGCCTCGCCGATATCCTCTTCTTCTACGGCAGAGAGCAGCGTGACGCCGGCCTGGCCTCCGCAGTTCCTAGACGACTTTGAGTCGAAGCTGTGGATAACATACAGATCCCAGTTCCCGCCCATACCCAAGACTCCCAAGACCGGCAGCGGAGACTCTTCTTCTATTTCCCTGGGTGTGCGTCTGCGCAGCCAGCTCATCGACACCCAGGGCTTCACATCAGATACCGGCTGGGGCTGCATGATCCGGTCAGGCCAGGCTCTGCTGGCCAACACTCTTCTCTTCCTCCGACTCGGACGTGGTATGTTCTCTTTCTTTATATATATATAACAGGATGCAAGCTAATAAGGTAGACTGGCGACGGGGAAGCAAAGTGCAGGAAGAGAGCGAGCTGGTGTCGTTGTTTGCCGACCACCCACGGGCTCCCTTCTCGATCCACCGGTTTGTGCACCACGGAGCAACGGCATGCGGCAAGTGTCCCGGCGAGTGGTTTGGCCCCTCTGCTGCGTCGCAGTGCATCCAGGCGCTGGTGAAGAGTAACCCGCAGGTCGGGCTGAGGGTGTACATCACCAGTGACGGGTCGGACATCTACGAGAAGCAGTTCAAGGAGGTTGCCTGCGACGAGAGCGGCGGCGGCATCCAGCCTACCCTGATCCTGCTGGGAGTCAGACTGGGCATCGACCGCGTTACTCCTGTCTACTGGGACTCTCTCAAGGCCCTCCTCCGCTTTCCCCAATCTGTCGGCATCGCAGGGTGAGTTATCCTTATTCAATATATTTATCATATATATATGCTGACGAGTGTTGGTAGTGGCCGGCCGTCGTCGTCGCACTACTTTATCGCGACGCAGGGAGACAGCTTCTTCTACCTCGACCCGCACCAGACGCGACCCTGCCTGACTCCACGCGCCGAGTCGACCGGGGACGAGGAGAGCCATCCGTACAGCCCCGAAGAGCTGTCGACGTACCACACGCGGCGCCTTCGACGACTGCACGTCCGCGAGATGGATCCGAGCATGCTGATCGGCTTTTTGGTGCGTGACGAGGATGACTGGGAGGACCTGAAGCAGCGGGTGAGAGAGGGAAGTGCAAGGGGGAAGATCATCCATGTATTTGACCGCGATCCGACCATCAAGGAGACCGAACGTGAGGGCGCCGAAGAGGAGGTAGAATCATTTGACGAGATATGACTTCCATCTATTGTACCACTTTTTATCTTGATCTTCATCTACGAGTAATAGAATCTTGATCGTGATTGTGACCGTGATTATACTGGGGGGTATAGACATGGACAGGCAATGATGACATTAACATAGCACTATCAAGCATCAAGCGGCTCGCCCGACGTTAAGAAATAAGACACGACCATCCGGATCCCATGAGTAAAGTAACAGTATCAGTAAAAAACAAGGAGAAGTAACAGGTAGTAAAAAAGACAAGCCCACGAAACACCCATCCCACCTCGACCATGACATAAAAGAGAGAAGAGAAAAAGATGATACAAGAATGGCGTTTATCGGGCAGAGGAAGAGTACTTGGTGACGGCCTTGGTGCCCTCAGAGACAGCGTGCTTGGCCAGTTCACCGGGCAGGATGAGACGGACGGAGGTCTGAATCTCTCTGGTGGAGATGGTGGATTTCTTGTTGTAGGCAGCGAGCTTGGAGGCCTCGGTAGCAACGCGCTCGAAGATGTCTGCTCTTATTAGCGGTGATCATGAGAAGGAGAAGCTGGAGTATATAAGAGTCTGCCTACCATTGACGAAGGAGTTGAGGGTGGACATGGCGCGCTTGGAGATACCAGTGTCAGGGTGGACTTGCTTGAGCACTATACATATCCAATGTCAGTAATACGCGTCGACAAAGCAGAGCAGAACGAGCAATAAGAACCAAAGTCCAAGACGCACCCTTGAAGATGTAAGAGGAGTAGGTCTCCTTTCTGGCCTTGGTGCGCTTCTTCTTGTCGCCGGAGCCAGAGGCAGCAGTCTTCTTGCCGGCCTCCTTCTTCTCAGCGGGAGCTTTGCCAGCCGGGGCCTTGCCGCCGGTCGAGGGCTTCTTCTCAGCAGCTTTTGGTGCCATTATGAAGTAGAAGAGAAGTAGAGTAAGAGTAGAAGAGTAAGAAGAGAAGACGAGAGTCGTGAGTTGAAGTTGAAGTCGAGTGCAGAAGTTGGCTGTGTTGCTGGTTGTTGCAGTTGGAGAGAGAAAGAGAGCGAAGGCGAGCTTTATAAAGCGGGCGAGACGGCGTCGGCGTGATCTTTTTTGCGTGATCGAGCGAGAATTTCAGTACGCGTAACGCCTGCGTATGATCTGTATGATTAAGTTAGGCGTTGGCGGGCGAAAGGCAGGGCTGACTAAGACAACGCGGCGTAAGTGACGGTACCGGTATTATTGATCTGGAGGGGCGAAAAAAGTTGATCTCGCGCGCTGTTTTTGTTCTTATAAAGCGATTCTCCTTCTCTTTCTCCTTCGTCTCTTCTTCGTCTTCTCTTCTTCATCTTCACGACAACAACGACAGCGACATCTACTCAGCTTACAGCCTTCAGCCAGCTACAGCTCAAGTCACTCTTCTTCTTCACCTCTTCAACTTCATCTTCCAACTTCTATCAAAATGACTGGCGGCAAGTCTGGCGGAAAGGCCTCTGGCGCAAAGACCTCGCAGTCGTACGTTGCCCTCTCTTACTATATCCTGCTCTCTTCTACGGCTTCATCTCTCTGACTTGCTTCTAGTCGCTCCTCCAAGGCCGGCCTCGCATTCCCAGTCGGTCGTGTCCACCGTCTCCTCCGCAAGGGCAACTACGCTCAGCGTGTCGGTGCTGGTAAGACAACCATTCTACTCTTATACATACATATATCAAATATAGTCCTTGCTAATAAGACACGTAGTCGCCCCTGTCTACCTCGCTGCTGTCTTGGAGTACCTCGCTGCTGAAGTGCTTGAGCTTGCTGGCAACGCAGCCCGTGACAACAAGAAGACCCGTATCATCCCCCGCCACCTTGAGCTCGCCATCCGCAACGACGAGGAACTCAACAAGCTGCTCGGCCACGTTATCATCGCCCAGGGTGGTGTCATGCCATACATCCACCCCAACCTGCTGCCAAAGACCACTCCCAAGGTCGCCAGCGTCAAGGGCGGCTCTCAGGAGATGTAAATTGTCTTTGTCCTTTTCTCTTTTTTACTTTCTTACTTTATGTTACCGGCGCATGGTTCCGTTCGGGGTGGGATAGGATGGTCTACGTGGTTACTTTACCCTTTTAACCTTTACTGCTACTACTCAGTGCAATGATGATGTATAATACATTATCTTTCTCTTACTTCAATTGTCTTCAGTAATTCTACGTAAGAAAAGGAAGTAGAAGTAAGGATAAATATACATTCTATTAGTTTTCGACCTTGGCTAGATGCTGTGGTTGTGGCTCTGCGAAAGTTAGTAGGTGACACTCCTGGATGCAGAGATATATATAAATATATAAATATACGCACCGTTCAGCACGGGAACAGGCAGGTTTCTCTCCCACTTGGATCCTATAAAATAGTTAGTATGATGATAATAGAGTAACAGACGACTAGACTCACCTCCTGGGGCTGTTGGCGCCCGGTAAGGGTCGGGATGCTTCCACTTCTCCAGCAGTTTCTCTGTTTCTTGCAGCAGGACCTACACCTGTTAGTCCACCATCACCACCACCACCACCACCACCAAAAAACAACAACGAGTAAAGAGTAAAGGTATAACGCACCCGCTGGTCGTGAGGATTCCGGACATGCTTGTTGGCCTCGAAGAGCGAGCGGATGTAGACGGCCTGGCCGCGCCAGAGGTTGCGGTGGACGGCCCAGTCAAGCGACAGCTTCAGCGCGCGTTTGTACAGGACTCTGCCCTCAGTCAGTATCTCTCTTTTTTCTCTTCAATGGTATCAGCAGGACTTACAAGGCTGGGTGGCGGGCCATGGCTGCAGCAGTAATGTCAATGGCTTCTGAATTCTTCGTCTTCTCTTCGTCTTCTCTTCGTCTTCTCTTCGTCTTGCGATGCTGCAGGTCGTGAGGTTGACTTCGTCGCTGGAACATGGATATTCCGGTTTCGTCCGCATCGTCGACGGAGCCCAAAACATAAAACATCGCCGGCCCTGCAGCAAAAGCAAGACAAGAAAAAAAAACACTTCTCTTCACCTCACTCTACCTCTCTACTTCGACCTCTACATCTACGCCAGTAGGCCACCAGAGTAATACTTAATTCCGCCATGGCTTCGAGGAGAATATCCCAATTGTCCGGTGCTGTCCTGCGCCAGACGCCTGCGCTCGTCCGGCCGCAGACCTGCCGCTGCTTCTCGTCACTGCGCACGGCATCAAGACAGACACCACTCGCCTCGTCCTCGCTCTCCCGTCTGGACTCCTTCAAGTCGCAGTAAGCTAGCCTTTATTCTCTGTTTCTATAGCTCTTCTGACTTGCTGTGTTGTGGTAGATACGTCGTGCCTCGATCCATCGGCCAGATACGCACTTACGGTACATCATACTCCGTTCACATTATAACAGCAAGACGAAATAAACCGGAAGCTGACTGACAGATGACCCTTAGCCGATGCAATTGTCAAGGTTCCACAGATGGCCGAGTCCATCTCAGAGGGTACCCTCAAGCAGTTCTCCAAGGGTGGGTCTATGACTTTGCTGCATGGCTCTGTATTACTACTCTAGTTATTGCTAACCAACGTCTATAGAGATCGGTGACTACGTCGAACAGGACGAGGAGATTGCTACCATTGAAACCGACAAGGTGTGTATATCGAGCATTCCAAGGCAGTGTGATTATTGCTAACGTGATTAGATCGATGTGACCGTCAATGCCACCGAGTCCGGCACCATCAAGGAATTCCTCGCCGCAGAGGAAGACACCGTCACCGTCGGCCAGGACCTCGTCCGTCTCGAGCTCGGTGCTGCTCCAGAGGGCTCCAAGGAGAAGCCTGCCGCTGCTGCTCCTGCTGCTGAGGAGAGCAAGCCCGCTGAGCCCAAGCAGGAGACTGCCGCCCCTGCTCCCAAGGAAGAGTCCAAGGAGCAGCCCAAGGAACAGCCAAAGAAGGAGGCTGCTCCAGCCCCAGCTCCAAAGCAGGAGAAGAAGACTCCGGCTCCCGAAGAAGCTGCCAAATCCACCCCTGGCAGCAGAGAAGAGCGCAGGGTAGGCTAACTCTTTAATCTGGCATCTAAATTCAGTCCGCCTGTTCTAACTTGTGTAGGTAAAAATGAACCGTATGCGCCTACGTATCGCCGAACGCCTGAAACAGTCCCAGAACACCGCTGCCTCCCTCACCACCTTCAACGAAGTCGACATGTCCTCGCTCATGGAATTCCGCAAGCTCTACAAGGACGACGTGCTCAAGAAGACCGGCGTCAAGCTCGGCTTCATGTCCGCCTTCTCCCGTGCCTGCGTGCTCGCTATGAAGGACGTTCCCGCCGTCAATGCCTCGATTGAGGGCCCCAACGGTGGTGACACCATCGTCTACCGCGATTACGTCGATATCAGTGTTGCCGTGGCCACGGAGAAGGGCCTTGTCACTCCTGTTGTGCGCAACGTCGAGACCATGGGTCTCGTTGAGATCGAGCAGTCCATTGCTGATCTCGGCAAGAAGGTAGACCTCCCTTAATTTATTTTTAGTTTATGCAGAAACTAACCTGTATAGGCCCGCGACAACAAGCTCACCATCGAGGATATGGCCGGCGGCACCTTCACCATCAGCAACGTAAGTCTCCTCTAAACACTAGCCTATGTTCTCTACTAACTTCTCCAGGGCGGCGTCTTTGGCTCGCTCATGGGCACCCCCATCATCAACCTTCCCCAGACCGGTGTTCTCGGCCTACACGCCATCAAGGACAAGCCCGTCGTAGTCAACGGCAAGATCGAAATCAGACCAGTAAGCTAGCCACTTACCCCCCTATACCAACATATCACCTTACTAACAGCCATAGATGATGTATCTCGCCCTCACCTATGACCACAGACTGCTCGACGGCCGGGAAGCAGTCACCTTCCTCGTCAAGGTCAAGGAGTACATCGAGGACCCCCGCCGCATGCTCCTCTGCTAGACAACCACCGACCAACAACAACCCACCCTAACCCCTTTACCATCATCATCACTCCCGACCATACTGTAAATTTTCATCTTGGCCGAACCCATCATATTTCATTTTCATATGTTTGTTTCCATACTCATTTACACCATATCATCATGTCGTTTCCTTATGTACAACAATAAACCCAACCCACGGTCATCTGCTTACTCTACTGTTGCCATCTGTGAATCGATACATGCCTCAAAATACCAATAGAATTAACGCCTTATGTCTTATATCTCTGAATTTTGACTGTCTCTATCTATCAACCCTGACTTTTTGATAATCATTAAGTTTGTAAAAGAAATATCTCGCTTCCGATTGGCTGGTGACGATTTCGCGGTTGATGACTAAGCGTATGCGTGAACCGCGACTTTCCCGTTTTCCTATTTACGCGGGAGAATCAACAGATAGAAAGACGACATGACTTGGATGGTTGCAGACAGCGTTTGGAAATAAGACGAGCATGGATGCAGGTGCGGATGCAGATGCAGCTACTTCTCTCCGGGCCGAGCTGAAGCAATGGGAGAAGACCTTCACACTGCAGAACTCCCGCAAGCCAGGACGCGAGGACATAAAGAACAACCGAGCAATCGGTAGGTCACCACTGGCTATCTACCAAGCAGAGAAGCATGATGCTAATTAACTACTAGCTGAAAAGTACAAGGAATACGCACGTCTACGATCAGACGGCTCGCAGAAGACAGATAAGGAGAAAGAGAAAGAGAAAGCAAAGGCCAAGTCAGCTGTAGTAGACCAGCAGACACCCAAGCGCGCGAAACGACACTGTCCGTTCGAAGATGATTCACCCACCGCAAAGCCAAAGATATGCACACCCAGCAGATCCGTGACAACAGGAGTAGGAGAGGCACACCCTTCGCGACTGGACCCGTATGACTCGCCCTCGACTATCCGTTGTTTGAACGGTGCACGAGATCCACTGCCTCTCTACGAAGCTATTGGGCCTACACCGCAGAGAGATGGGAAGGCGTTGGGTCTGTTCGACCTGCTTGGTTCACCTGCCCAGAAGACGCCCAGGGCATCAAGGCAGTCTGTCGTGAATGATAATGCTCATGGCAACTGTGTCGGAGTGGCCCAGACCCCATCGAGGAAAGGGAAAGTACCCGGCACACCATCAAGTAGAGGGACACCAGCAACAGCACGAAGACTGAGATACGCGTCGACACCGCTATCATCGGCCCGCAAGTTTTATTTGGCGAGCTTCTTCGCTACGCCCACCGCGAACCGATGCACGACTATACCCGAGGAAGAAGAGGATAATAACGCTGCTGGCGGCGCGGGTCTTACTTCAGAAACGCCTTCGTTCTTAAGGCGGAAGAACATATTCTCTCCCAGAGCGAAGAATAATGTACCGACCCTGCATAGCCCGGGCCCTGTAGCGGCGCGTATGCCGCAGAAGTTATTCGGGAAGGGAATCAGTTCGTTTGCGAAACGGTTGCAGGAGCAGAACACGGAGAAGAAAGAGGGGGTCGAGGAGCGGTCCGAAGACCGTGTTGAGGAGACGCAGATCTTCTCGGATCAGGAGCAGGAGGTCAATAACGAGGATAATGGAGATGGTGATGTTCACAAGTCCCCGTCAAAGACGCACAAGACGTATAAGAAGAAGGGCCAGAAACGAACGACCAAGCTGTCTCGTCTCAAGCCATCTCGTACAAAACCAGCTGCTCAACCGTTATGGGAATCTCTGGTTGAAGAAAGTGAGGACGAACTCGCTGCTGCGGAAACGGGTGCTCCTCCAGTAGAGGATGATGATGGTTCAAGTGATGATCCAGATGGGGATGAAGCATATATCCCCAAGAACCACGAAAAGAATCCAAAGAACCTGGTCAAGTCTGTATCCAAGACCACTGCGGAGAAGAAACCGAGAAAGATCAAGGCGGAAGCCCACGCCAATTACCGCTCGTTGAAGATTCGGAGCCGAGGCGGCCAGAAAGGAGGCAGCCGGTTCGGAAGGCGGTGAAATGGCGTAAATAATGACCCTGAACGACGCAATGACTGGCATAAGCATCATCCCGTATATAAATAGCATAACTCTAGCGTTCCATACATAGTACATAGTACATATTGTATCATGATATCCCACTTTCGTCGTATTGAACCGCTGCATCCCACTCCCTGAGTGTCTCAAACGGACTTCTCAGCCAGGACTGCAACTCGTGTAGGAATAAACAAGCGTATTCCCTGCCCAGAAAATCCCGTAGCATCATCTCGGCCTGTCCCGCACTGCCCTTTATATCAACCGTGCGTATGACGGCAACAATATATTCAAGCAGATACTCTGGGTTCCCGATTCGAACAGCCCCGTCAACCTGCCTTTCGCTCTCCGGCAGATTCAAGAAAGTAAATACCTGCAGCTCACGCCGGATCCACCTGCGAGCCCGAGAGAGCAGTTTTTCATCTCGATCAATCATGCGAGGGGTGACTTCTCGGTAACCCGTGCGTCTGCTTGAGCCCACCCGTAGACTATACAGCTGGTGCCGGTATATATGCCGACGGCGCAACAGGGCAGAGTCCAAGTCTTCATTACTAGAACGAGGAATTTGCTGTCTGCTTCTCCGTCTGTTTCTGCTTCGAAGACCATGGATATTTTCTTTGCTTGCCGTGGGCGGAGAAGTTGGTATCCAGATTATCTTCTCCCCATCTGGGGCATGTATATCATATTTCACTCCGGTCACTGCCGTCTGGCCTGTAGACTATGATTAAAAATGTGTCAAGGTTAAGTAGAATATCGTACTTACATAGGGGACAAGCAGGGCGTTGGCCCAGCCATATCAAAAGACACTGTAGGTCGAAGTTGGAGTGTTTACATGGAATTGCAATGCATATTTCTTCAATTTTATCCAAACAAATTACACACGGCTTGCATTCATCTTTCTCGTCCTGGTCGCCCCGATGGACATCTGCTATCATCTTGCACAGCACATCCCGGCTCCCCTCGACATCCTGGGCCATCTGGAACGCATCTCAAGCGTGAATCATGCAGTAAATAATAGAAAATATGAAGTCGAGGTCAGGAATTTCCTCTTTCGGCAAGAGTCACGTGAATATCACATACTGCTTATATAATCCGTTTTGCAAAAAGTCACGAGAAAAAAAAGCAAAAATGAATTTTTCAACTTGGAAAAACTTTCGAAGTTTCTTGGATTCTCGCAAGCGAAGGAGAAGAAGAAGAAGAAAGTCAGCGAACGAGCTGCGGCGGCATGAGATCTCAGGCATCTCGACGGCTCAACTCGACTCGTTCGTGATACACACTGCACGACACGACTGACAAGGGTCTCTTATGCTCAAAGCACTCCGGTCACCGAGATTTGCAGCTGCTTACGCCCAGATGGCGCCAGCTATAGCCAACAGCCCGGCGCGGTTCAACTCCCAGAAGTCGACGACCTACTCGACAACCGCGCTGAAACGATGGTCGTGCCTTAATGAAGGCGTCCTTCCCTGTGGGTGCTACAAACTGAACGCAGGCCATGATTGAGACGTGCCTTATCGTGGGACGTTGAAGAGTGCAGTAGCTAACGCGGTCAACCGTTTCCATACTCGCAGCCATCCCGGATATCAAAACCATTCACGTCTATGATTTTGACAACACCCGTACGGAGACACCCTGGATACGCTGTCTGACGTGAAGACGCGCTGGCTGACTGCTCTATCAAAGTATTTCTAAGCCCTCTACCCAACCCCCAGCTGTGGAATGGACCTACAATAGGCTTCCTGCAATCGTACGAGTGCTTTTCAAAGGGCGGCTGGTGGCATGATGTGAACATCCTTGGATCAACAGGTGATGGAGTCGAGATCGAAGAAGCCCGTGCCTGGGCAGGATGGTGGAATGAACAGATAGTATGATACCCGTTGATCTGTGGCTGATATTTTATACCTACCCAAATGGTGAACCACCGAGCTGACTCCATACCCCAAAGGCACAATTGGTTCAACTGAGTATGAAACAAAAAGACGCTCTTACAGTTCTTCTGACAGGCAGGTCTGAAGCCGGATTCGCCGAACTTATCGGACGCATGATCAAGAGTAAACAGTTGGCCTTCGATCTGGTCTGCTTGAAGCCAGAAGTTGGCCCGAACAACCAACGCTTTGCATCCACTATGAAGTTCAAGCAGAACTTCCTAGACGACCTAATGCGTACGTATAGGGAGGCTGACGAAATCCGGGTTTACGAGGACCGTGTAAAACAGTAAGTTATTCGTGCCGGATGAAGCCCTCTTGAGCCGAAATAAAAAAGTTAGTCCTCTTCTTTAACCAAACTCACACCAAACAGTGTCAAAGGTTTCCGTGAATATTTTGAGCAGTTCAATAGAGATGCTGCGACAGGCGGTCCGTCTGCTACACGAAAACCCATCACCGCTGAGGTGATCCAAGTAATGGAGATGGCCAAGTACTTGTCTCCAGTGACCGAGGCAGCCGAGATCCAGCGTATGATCAACGCACACAATGGATCACTGGGAAATCCAAGTGCAAACATCACCAAGTCGCCCTATGGCAGACTTGAATTGTCCAAGACCACATTCTACACAGGGTACCTCCTGTCAAATGCCGACGCTGTTCGGATAATAGATAACATCTTCCTTCCACTAATCTCATCCAGCGTTGCTGACACAAGTGAAATCAAGTTCATGTCGAACAGTATCCTGATCACGCCACGGTCTGCTCCCGAACCCATCCGTGACAAGGTTGGCGGACTGGGGAAGGTCGTCCGTTGGCGTCTCACAGACACAGGCCATTTTGAACACAAGCTATGGGCTGCAAGAGTAAGCCCGCTCGATAGTTCAGTGGTCATCCACACTGATAATCCAGAACCCATCATCGTTCTTGGTATGCGCAAAGGCGTACGGCCAGCAGATGCCAACAAGATCCGTAACTGGACGCCAGTTACCAAGGATGATTCACTAGTATTCGACACGGTAGTCGGTGAGAAGACTATTCTGCGCGTGCAGGAAGAGGATGTAGCACGGAACGGCGCTGCAAGCCGCGGAGGCAAGAGAAGATTCCAGTCAGACACTCGTGATGAGGCAGACACATCTACGCGGGGTTACCGCGATATGCAGCAGCATCGGCCACCCGCCCCTGAATATTCAGGTGGCAGGCCCCCCCAGAACCACAATAATCGCCATTATAACGGACCACCACCCCCGTTCCGTGGGAACCGCGGTAGAGGTGGGCGAGGTGGAAGAGGTGGCCATGGTCGTGGTCGTGGCCGCGGTCCAGGAGGTAGAGACAACTATGCATCCAGGTATAGGTCCCTGGATGACCATGCTGTCGCGGCCGGCAGTCACGATAACATGATGGACGGGAGAGGGCCTGGTAGAGGACCTGGTGGTGGCCCAGTGATGAACTATTAGCGGCGTTTTTCTTCTTCTCTTTTCCCAAGTCCCAGATACCATTTTCGTGGCTTTAGTTTGTATCGGTACTTTATGTTTCTTGCTCTTTGTATTGGAGTTTGCTGCATCCGTGAAATTCGATACTGTCGACGGTGTTTGTTCTTTCATATCTACACCATGCAGGTTGGCTGATGACTTGACTTTAGGTAAACAGCGTTATCATTCAATGCATTTGCATTCAATATTTCGGCTTCACTGCAGTATTCCTGGAATTCTTTATCCTTCACCGCTGGTATTCTTTCTTGGCTGCTGATCTGGGACAGTGAATATACCCCATTAACTGCAACAAAGGGACTGGATAGCCTGTCTCAGCCATAAAAGGAGGCAAATCCTCCCCCCTTTCTCAAATTTTTCTTCTTCCCTAAATATTCTCTCAGGACATTCTCAAGGGCCCTGATGCCTATATACCTATATACCAAGGCCAAGTCGTCTTCAGGCTATATATATGCTACTACCTCAGCTATCACTCTTCCTTGTTTATATCTGGTCTGAATACGACGCTCCTCCCTTCCCATAGTCGCCTCAACAAAATGGCCATACGGCTTTAAACACTGCGGGCAGCGCTTGATAGCTCGGGGTAAAGACAACTCTACCGTCTCCATCATTCTAAGGTGATCTCAGTGTCAAGAACAACCTAAACGGACCGGTAAACATCAACGAGGAAAGACTTGGATGCCTTGGTCTTTGATATGCCTCCGAGTGAATAATGTTGTCATAACACTGGAATAGGGATGGCACCATCGTCATACCAGGACTCGCACGGACAATCTCCAGTGCGTTCAGGTCCCTTACGAGGTTATCCCTCTCCTGCTCCCTCATCGCTTCCTGTGCTTTGCGCGTAGACAACCATCATCTACATTAACTTGCATCTACAGAATACAGAAGAGCTAGATCAGTTTATCAATCGACCCGTCATTGGAATGGCATTCCGCGCTGCCGGTGTTTACCCAACTGGATATAATGGAATCTATAGATGCCTGTTACGACACCCTATGGCGGCTGTCATGTCCCCGGTGCAGCAATGATTGGATGACTCTCGGACTCAAGTTGTTGATAGAACTTGAAATGTATCGGCATCAACGGCTGGTGAATAACGACCTAACTACGGCTGGCTCCGAAACGCCTACATTCGCTTGATTATCGGTCTTGCTATGTTGACGTGAAATCATGTCTTATCAGCTACTCACGGCGACACTATTTTTGCCTTCTTGTTCCGACTGGCATCTGGACTGTCTATGCTCAGTGTGAAACCCTCGTCATATAGGGTACATGGCGGTGCTCGGCATAGGAACAACGCCACGCCATCTCTCGCTCCTAAGCCGCCGTTATGCATAATCGAGCAAATGTACTCGACTTGGGCTACTTATAACTAATATAGTGCGGGCAATAGATAGGGCTAGGGCGGCTCGAACAGATATCCTCGAATCATTCGCGCAATAGAAATACTCGGCATCTGATATAAAGTGTCGTTTCGTCACTGTAGCCATCCGAATGATCTAATGCCCACTCCAATATTTCGGTTATTTCCAGCTGCTGCTGGAGAATTATGAGATGGTATGTACCCATTTCGCACTGTCGACGTACTACAGCGAATTTGGAAAAATTTTCATATTCGAGATAGTTCGACAAGGTTTCTTTGGCACACGGCCTGAGCAGGACAAAGCCATCATCTGTGAATGGGGCCTACCGCTGATGTTAATATCTGACCGCGACTCCAAATTCGTGGGACGTCTCAGGCATGTTCAGACTCCCGGGCGTTCGAAGGGGAATCAAGCGCAGCCGGTTCTAGATATCTTGGTGGATGGTGACCCAAGAGCGCAAGGAGCTAGCTCTCTGCGGCCCGGCGTGCTCGTCAGGAGGCGAGTGAGCGCCGTCGGGTGGAGGAGAAGCTGGAAAACCAGCTACTCGGGGACTCGCGAATGAACTTCATCACAATACCCACGACCTTGATCAGTGTATTCGTCGCCTGAACCACGGAATCATGCGTCTAGCCCGCGTAGCCCGATCTGAGCACGCTCATCCCAGTATACAAGCATGGTGCTGCATCGTTTTATACCATGGGTACCGCCAATAACCAGACGATGATCTGCCTTTTACTTCTATGTGTCATCAACTATTGTCTTGCAAACGCACGATACAAAGTTGACATACACCGCCTGGCGGTGGGTGCGAGATATACTTAGGCAACATGTCGTTGCAGCTGGATTACGCATACACGGTGCATGTTTAACTATCCAAGCGACTGCAGCCTACGTCTTGGGGCCAATATCACTATGCACCAGTGCCAGTACCGGCAAGCACTTGGCTATACTGATAACTTAATGAGATTAGACCAAGGCATGCACACAGCGTTCTATCAAGAGGAAGCATGCTTATTGCATGGAACTAGAGTCCTTTCTTCTGGGTCCTCTTCTGGATACTGTTCTGAGTATGAACTCCGAGAATCGAAGAACGAATGCAGCTTCCAGCAGTTTATACTATTCCGGACAAGCAATGCTAGCTTCGACTCTTTCATGGCCGCCATCTGTTCCTCTGTTAACTCCGCTGGTATGAATCTCCAACAGGAGTGCTGAAAAGTACGATACAACACTGATACCCTGGATGAGGGTGCACTGTGGCCCTCAACATACAACCGTTGATTTCACAACAGCTACTAACATTGTCCCCCAAGTCTAAACCCCCACCCTTCGCCCAGATCACGGAGGGGGTTTATTATCTTCTATATTGATACCTTTCCACCTAGAGTGGCCTCCGGCATTTGTGGATGTATCGTGGGCTTGGGCAATAGCATTGGCAGCGAGAGTAGAGAGGGCGGCAGCAATCAATAATACCATTTTGGCCCTGAACTCTGCCAACTTGATCTTCCTACTCCTTCTAAAAACATCACATATAGGTTCCGCAGCCTTCATCTACCTAAGTCTTGATGGAGCGTTGACAACATATGGCTGTGGCAGAAACGGTGTTAATCTTCACGCTTGCTCCATTCGCGGCAACTTATACAACGCAGCCATCACAGCTCGCGGCCAAGAATGGCTGGTTACCTACATTTGGACGATACTAAGCAACTAGACGAGTATCTTGAACTATCTCTACGGCCATCAGAAGCATTGGCTATCTCTACACGAGACGGCAGGTGTCTGAACGACATCGGCTTCGAAAGGATCAAGGTTCAGCGACACGATTAACTGCTATTCTATTCCTCGACCATTCCAGATACAACAGATGGAGCGGTGCAGGGATCAGATTGAACATCCATTGGAAAGTTGCTCCCAGAACTATAACATGAGATCAGGAAACTGCAAATACAGCCGGAAACCATCCAAATGTTCTGGAGTCCTTGGAATGTAACCGGACGGAGGATACCCCCTGTGATCGTTGCCGTTATCCCAAGAACCGGACTTGCGCGGTGGTATGTGTGGGTGTTATTTCTTCCTTGGTAGTTGCTAATTCCGAGAGAAGCCTAAGACATATGCAATACAATTAGGAAAACATCCTACAGAGGGATGGGAACTCCTTTCTTTGTCTAGAGTCAAGCTCCAGAACAGGATGAGACTATGAATCGAGAATATTGCTTCAAGACGAAGCCAGGTTCCTCGACTACGCGGCAAACTCAATGCTGATGCTTGTGCTAGGATATTGCTGTCGCTTGCGTCAACACTTAGAATATATAACTACCCAATGCAGCGCAATGAAACGATAGATGAACTGGCGACAGAAAGCCAACAAGTCGAATTACTGCCCCTACCGGGAATGAAGTGGCGGCCTCCCGCAAAGCTGCAGTTGAGATTTTTGAGACGTCAAAGTGTCTGCTCTGCAAGTCCTATGGCCACTGGAAGTCAGAGGAGAACAACCGGGTATTCTTCATCTAGTTTTCTGCTCCTCACCGGCGCTTGTTCAGGGAACTCGGCGGGTATGAACCTACAGTCAAGATGCTGCAATATTCACCTGTTTGATACAGCAATGGCTACCACCGCATGCTACCTTGGGTCTAGAGAAAGGGATGGCTTCCTCAACGGCTTATGTTACGGGGTCAAGGGTTGCTAGCAGTTATTCGCTACGATCATAGGCTGCTGGGCTATGGTACATACCTGTCAATGATATAACGACTCTCTCTGCCGCCGACTGGAGGCTTCCGGGAACCTTTTTGGCCCAGCGCTTTGATATAAGTCATTACACACGGCGAAGCAAGAGATGTTCCGCAGACCGGATAAGGTTGCAGCCAACAGCTCACAGGCGTGCAATGATATAATTTCCTGCGCTTTCAGAAGGGTTCTCCAGCCCATACAGCTGCTGGGGCGCTTGCCATGCAAATGGTGGGTGTTATTGAAAATTTGAACGGGGTAGGTAAGGGGATGTGCGGCATAAGTATCCTGGGGTTTAAAGAGACACCCAAGAAATGGTGAAGGCTCGAAACCATCTCACCGTTGTGGTCACGGAATCAAGGGGTTCGATTGGAACCCTTCCTATGAAACGCCTGTCTTAGGTACAGTGAGGAAAACCACGCAGCAAGTATATTTCCAAGAGCATTCCCTATTGACCCGGAGGATCCCTTCGTTCAGCAATGGCCACCAATTCAAGCTGCTATTATAGAAATGCTTGGTGATAGACACTGGACTGTGCTTCAATCTCCTCTACTCGGACAGCACATCGATAGTATCATCATATAGTTGATAATTCTCCAATACATTCGCTGTATCCCAGGACAAGTTACCGATGGTGCTAGAAACTGGGCATTACTCTTCTACAGGGAGATTATCTGTTACTGGGGATTTTCGTGATCAGAAATTATCTTCATCCTTCCTTTCTAGCTTTCACCCTGCTTTGCTAACGTCTTCGTCTTTCGTCTTTCGTAGGTGGCTCCCGAGCTCGTTCCCTTTGCAACCGCAGCCGTCAAAGCCCACCAAGATTATCTCCTTGCCTGTAGTTAGCGAAGAAGATGCACAGGATACCATTGATGCTGCGTACCAGACGCTGAGGACTGCACAGCAAGTTTTTAAGAACAAACGCAGCGGATGGGCTCGCAGGAACATGGCAAACCAGGGTGCTCGTACTGCTCCAGCGCCCCCGCCAGCAATGCCTCGCAGCATGCACTGTCAACCATCCTTCCAGCCACGAGAACCAGAGGTGGCCGTGCCGCCCGTCCTGCAGTCCCAGCTGCTGTGGTCCCTTCCAGTGCTTCTGCTCCTGCTGACACCCCTGCCTCCGCTGCCGTGACCACCATTTTTCTGATCACGAGAGACATTTCTTGTCAATATTCTGGAAATCGCTGTTCTCAAAAGTGAAGCTCGCCACTACATTTGCAGTTGGTGCCGGAACAATATATAACGAAGGAGCAATAACAACAGCAAAAGCGACGGGCCTGGGAGCTCCTTGGTCATACTACATACCTGGAGATTATGCTTGTTAGCTGGCTGGTACTCTATATTTCACAACAGATAGAAGAGCATGTTATATACGGATAACGATTGAGATGCTTTAAATTGTTTATTATTTTTTTGTCTTTTATCAGCAGTTCGCATTAAGTATCACGGACACGGTATATAAAAGTAGATAAATAACTGGCCGTGACAAGAAGTAAGTTGATTAAAAGACGAATCCCTCCCATGAGAAAAAAGGGAAAAAAAAAAAAAAAACGCAATAAAGCAACTCCCAACACCACCGCGGACGAAGAAGGAAAAAATGGTTCATGTACAGCGCGTCAAAACATCAATCAATCAGAGTAAGTGAAAGGGGACATGCCAACAGTTAGGGGGGAGATGGGGCGTAAAGGGGTAAACAAGGGGGGGAGTCGAAGGACATAGAGGCTTTTTTCGTTGTCGGGGGGGAGGAGGTTTCGTTGTATATCTAAAATGCACGTAATGCGTAATGTTCCCATAACCCAGATCCCAAACCCATTATAATAGTAGATCATCAAGGAATCACCATAGGAGAAAGGGAAAATCCAATCCAAACAGAAAGAGAGAGGGCATATACTTGGGAATGTAAATATCAAAACAAGTGAAAGAACAGCAGAGACAGATTTTTTTTAGTCGTCTGTTAGCTGTGAGAAATAGTTGATGCTCAGGATCATGCAGAGCAGACCGATGGAGACGATGATGAAGAACGCAAAGCCGAACCAGCCGAGTAACATGGCTGAAGTCCCGACTCCGCTCTTGACGCTACCGTTCCCCAGGTCTTGCGCTATTGTGCTGGCTGCTACCGAGGCCGTGTGTTGCCAGAGGACGGATACCAGGATGAACACAGAGGCAACAAAGATCAGAGCGAGGGCGACTTGCGATACCGGGCGGGATGGGAATGGCTTGACTTCAATGTCTGAGCCTTGGTTGTTGAGTTCCTCGTGCCAACCAGGGAAGGTTGCGAGTAGGAGGAACGACAGGAACGCGAATATCAGCGCCACGATACTAGTCAAACTCAATTAGTTTTATGCCGTTCCTCTTTATATATGTATATTCAAAGACACTTACATGAGATATGGAAATACGACTGCATCCTTGAACGTTGATGCAACCCAGATCAGGTTCAGCGGGTCACTCTCCACACCAAGAGACTCCGCAAGGATAGTCGCATTCTGATTGCACAGGAAACCACCGCCGTTTCGTTGTATGCAGATTCCGAAATAGCCAACTCGGACTTCCAAGTGAGCACCTCCCACTATGTTCGAGATCGTAGATGATAACCCGGGATCAGCCTGAGCGGTACTCATTACAGGCGGGTATTTGTCGTAGAACATAGATATCAGGAAGATGCTAGGTATTTGCGGAGATGACGAGGAGCAACCAGCAAGTAGCAAAGCTAGGATAGCATCTTTATGTTAGCAATTGTTCTAGGTCATACCATCAAACGTTTAACTTACATAGTAGTAGAATAGAGATGGCCACGAATAACATGAGAACATGGTGGTATCCCACCATGGGGATAAATCCTAAACAATAAACAAGTTAGTTTTGTCTCTTGCAGATGTGCCGTGTGCCATGTCAATAAAAGGCCACTTACGCCCAATTCCCGCCATAAACCGCATCTCTGGCATCTTAGACTAATCCAGCCTTATACCCCAACCTTTCCCTTTCCCAAATCTCTTGATAGGCCCTCCCAGGGAGTCCGACTCCTGCCCCTCAGGGTCTCGGAGGCCTGTCCAGCTACTAGTCCAACCAGATGAGGAGCCGAATACTCCTACTCAACACTGCGCACACAGGTCGAACAAAAGATGTTGATTTTTTCCGCGAGAGGTAAAGTAACCTCTTTACTCGGGGCAGCAATGACTTTTCAAGCGCTCGTAACGAAGGCGGTCGCAAGGGTCGTGTGTGGTCTTGGTACTAGGAGATGGTTAGGAGCCTCGAGCAGGAGTGTCTTTTCTGGCTGACGGGCGGAGGAGAGGTAAAGGTGAGGTGAGTGAGTGTTGGATGGTGCAAGAGAAGGAATAAGAGGAGAAAGATCGCAAAGCTCGTAGCTATGAGAGAAAGAAAGCAATCCAACAACCCGTTCCAAGATCCGTAGACCTGTGGCGAGCGAAGGAAGTAGATGTCGCCGGTAAAACGGTCGAGATGGATATTTCTTCACAAAGGGTTTCTTGTGAAGACGGAGAATAGAGGAAGAGAAAAAAAGGAAGAAGAAGAAGAAGGAGAAGAAGTCACTTGAAAGAAAGCGACTCTCTGCTGCGATGCGGTGGCTGGAAGGGTATCGCCGTCGCCCAGGTCTTTGAAGCATCAAAAAGTCCGTGGCTGGGCCAACGAGGCGTCTTTGTTTACCCGCCCTGGTTGTCAGGGCAACGCCGCCTCACCGCCCTTGGCAGAACTTCCCGTCCGACAGGTACCACGTGGGGCGCGCTAGCCGTATCAGGACTAGACACGTGTCAAGGTTACGCCAAGCAATTAACGTGCATGCATAAGCATAAAATGCTCCAATCAGAAGAGTACATAAACAGTGCATAAAACTCCATACAAAAACCCTTGTTGTTCGCTCTCAAATCCTCTCCAGACGCCAATTGCGCTGTGCCTTTTGCCCAGTCAGCCAAGTTCAAGATGGATTTTTCCAGCATGACAATAAAACAAAAATAACTCCGGTCGTCCTCCTGTGATCCGTTTAACTCCTGCTAGTTTGTGTTATTTTATATTCCCGAACACAACAAGACGCGGGCTTCAAAAGGTCCAAATGCCAAAGAAGATGAAAAAGAGTCAAAAGAAACTGTCGCTTTACGCCTTTTTGAATGCATATTGGGAGAAGTCGAAGGAGTAGGCGGCGCCCTGGCTGTCGTCATCTTCCTCGACCGAATTGTCGCTGTTTGGTATGATCATATCCTCGCTTCCACCCTGGGAGATAGAGTTCTTCAATGCGGGAAGCGTGGCTGCTGCCTGTGTAGCAGTGATTTTGGGCGATTCAGCTGCATCGTCAGGTTTATCATCAGTGGGCTTTGGTGGCTGAAGACAGGTCATGGACTTTGACCGTGAAAGGGCATTTTGCTTCAGCCGTTGCAATGGCGTTGCTCGGAGCTGAGAGGAGAGAGTTCGCTTCAGGGATTTCCCGGATGGACTGTTGGAAGGTTCGCTCTGACCCGAAGGCTTGAATGCATATTTCTCTCGTAGATTCAGGTTATGGCGCTCTATGTTGTAGTTCAGTACACTCTCGAATAGTGCTGGGTCGGAATCAGCGTCTACAGTCTGACTATTGGCTGAAGCAGATGCCACGAGCGAGTCTCTCTTAGATGATTTGGTTGAACTGTCTTGCAAATTGGTGATGGGGGTAGACTCGGCGTGGAAAGTCGGAGGAAGAGGCCGGCTCGATGATGAAGCCTGTGTGGAACTGGGGGCGGCGACAATCTCTTTGGCTACGCCTTGACTGGGAGACAGGGCAGCTTCCTGATCGGAAAAAACATGGAGCTTGCTGCTCTTCCGCTTTTTGCTTGTGGTGTCCTTGCGAGACAAAGGTGATTGTCCGGAGCCGGCAAAGAAGGGGCTCACTTCAATCATAGCTCCCGTGATATTCTCTTCACTAGCATCCGAACAGAGACGCTGTCTCTTCTGAACTTGAGGGGGCGGCAGTTCGGAGGCAGATCTAAGGAACGCTTCTGCGCGCCGGGCACGATCAGTTGGCGTGTTTGGTATCGAGGCTGCACTTCTGGTGATACTGGGAGGAGTCGATACCCGGTTTGCAGCTAGGGAGTATCGGCCACCATTACGACCCATCAATGGCCGATTTGGTCCAGATGAAGGGGTCATTGAATTTGGATCCAGCTCAGAAAGCGGAATGCGCTTTGGTGTGAAGAACTCCTGTATCTCTCGGACGGGTTTCTTCTCATCCGATGAGGTGATAGATTGTCGTCCAGTTCGGACCAGCCTCTCTCGCTCTGGGTACAACCGTTTGAGCTCAATGGGTTCCTTGGTAATTGGATCAAGGTCACCACATGCAATCCCAATGGCTACATGGGGCTCTAGAAGAGTACCGATGTAGGGCATATCCTCTCCATTCCCGCCGTCCGGCAGTGGGTTAAGCATAACCAAGGTCTTTGCAATGGGGCAGAACACTCGTTGGTGCAGAAAAGTGAGTTCTGCTCGTTTGAAGTTATCGAGATATCCTGGAGGCACACGATTTGATCCCTCGAATTGAACCATCCTGACAACTCGATCCACTGTCTTGTGCTTCCTGATACTCCGGTATGCAGTCTTCAGTCCCATTTTAGGGATGTTAGTGAGATAGTCACAGCCGCTAAGAATGCACATATGGCGAAAGTTCTCATCAGTCCAGCCTATCATACTTATATCTCGGCAAGCAGTAAAGTCTCCCCTGTTGATCTCTATACAGTCGCCATTCTTGTCGAGTTTAGACAGAAGCCGCTTGGCACCGAAGACAAGCATATCAGAGTCCTCTGAGATGATTCCATTGATGATTCCCTGTTTCTCCAGGTATACCAATTGGGGATCTGCTTCATACGGCGCCACGAGATATTTGATCTTGTGCTTCTTCAGTTCTTCAATCAAGACGCGGGCCATGTAGGGTGTCACGTCAACAGCCTTTTGGAATTCTTGATATGCCTCAGTAGTCCTGCCTCTTCGCATGTGTTCTTCACCTAATTTCTTGCTCTCTTCTCGCCTGGCTGCCCTAGACGCTTCCGTAGCCTCTTTGCTAGGCAGCATCCCCCCATCAAACACGATATATGGGGTAACTCCATAGTGCTGAAGCATCCGTATGCGACCTATGGCAAAATCAACATATCTACGCCTACAGGTCAGCACCTAGCCTTGTTTGGGAGTCGTATATTTGTGAAAAATTTGAGCGTACTTTGTGGTAGGCTTGCCGAGTACCAGTTCGTATGCACACGCAATTGTCCCTCTATGTAACCATCCATATGCATCGACCCCGAGAGTCTGACCCGCGAACTTCTTTATATTGCAAGGCTTCTGGATCGACTTCAACAGCCCGTGGAGCCCTGCAAGTATGGTTAGTAGCTGTATCTCCAAGGAGGTGTTACCTCTTAACATACCCGAAATGCCCATGATGACCGTCACAACTTACAACCCCCCCAGATCCCAACTCTGGTCCAGCTCAGTCAGGAACTGGTAAAGCTTGTACGGCAATGATCCATGGATAGCATTCAAGCCGAGGGGGTAAACAGAGCACCTCGCAGCGTCCAAGGGAAACAATGAAGGTCAAGTCTTTCTCGTTCTCTGCTTGCAAAGCAACTTCGACGCGCTGGAAGACGCGGTTTCCAAGGTGGTCACGTGGAAGGCGCTCGACCTCTTTTTATCGCCATCAACAAAAGAAATTGAGACTGGAACTATTGAAACCGAGTATTGACTTGTTTCAAGGAAGAGAGGACGCGGAAACGGTTGTTATTATGTATACAGCGCTGTAGTTTCCCTTGTTTGTTTATAAAATTGCGCGGGCGGGAGTTTTACGAATGTACTCTATCAGAGATGTTTTAATATGGGACGTACGGAGTATACAACAGTAAATATCCAAACATCTAGCACATACGTCCATGTCAAAGGACAGTATGTCAATCCTCTCGATACTTCATACTAGTAAATACATTTAATATGCAGTATCGCGGTCTTAGTTTTATCTTACATTATTGGTCTTTTCGTCTGATCTTTGAAAGTTCAAAAGTTCGAAGGTTGGAGCTAATTTATAGTTTACACGTGACTATGACTCAGCAAGGGACACCGCCTTGTTTTCTGCCGTTATCTTGATAAAAAAGTAAAAAAAAAATAAAAAATAAAAATAAAAAAAAAGGACATAAAATTTGAGAAGCCGAAGACTGGAAAAAAACACAGCTTGGAGCAGGCAGAAAAAATGACAAAGAATCTGAATAAAATCACCAAGAAGCTCTCCAAGAAGAAGGGGAAGCTAGACTCTCTACACGAGAAAAGCAGAGATGCAGTTCGCTTGCGGCGAGCTGGTGGGAGGGAGGAGAAGCTAGCTCGAGCGGCGGCGACGACAATGAAGGGACGACAGATATACGGTGAGTTTGTACGTGCGATGCACATTATTATACTGAGTGCTCACATGCTGACTTACCTGTAGTTGATAGAGTAGCTTTCTTTAGAGATCACACAAAAGACCTAGAGGCGCCCCTAACGTCAGAAGGTGCCGTCAGCTTACTCCGGCAGTACGTTACTTCTCTCACTGGCAGAATTGAACCCTGGGGCTATATAGAGTGTGGTTATACTAACCAACTGTGTGTAGATACCTAGACCGACTCAAGCCAGAGCTACAGGAAGAGCAGGAAGCTCGACGGAAAGGCAGACCTCCAAGCAAGCGCCAGGAAGTCCTGACAGAGAAAATTGAAGCTGAAGAAAAGGAATATCAGACCGGATTTTGGATGCCAGACCTAGAATGCGAGGACAGTTTGCGTCGACTGCGCAATTGGAATGAGGATTGGTCTGCAATGAGCAACCTCAAATTCGTCAGACTCAATAAGGCCGGAGATAAACGGCCGTCACTGTTCCCACCCAAGGGGCTGTCATGATCTTATCTACGGCATTTCCACAATGATACCATACTCTGTATATCCTTGATCTTTGGACATGAAATAATGACGTTATGACGTCGCTCCAGGTGGCACGCCACATATACAAACGCCTATCAGAGCGGTTAAAAACAACTACTTATACTTTTTCTATGGATGACACGGAATACCCATCACGACTGGAGTCCTTTATTGCATAAAATATAAACATAGACTGTCAATTGCAAGTTTTTGGCATATCAAGTCTCTATCGCTTCATGCTCCGTACAAAAATATCAAATGCACCGCTTAGTCAGCTTGTCTTCTATGTATGGAGCTGGCCCGGCAAGGACCCTGAGAGAAAAGACAAAGCTCCCTTTTTCACGGGGCAAGGCGAACTGTCCTATCATGCGTTTTCCATTACTATGTCCCTTAGGAGACATCCCGCGGCATGGAACAGGGATTAGGTACAGGGAAGGGCGTCCCTCGCGTGCTCGAGGGGAGTTATGAGTACCCCGAGGGCGATATAAAGACTAGAAGGCCACTGCCAGTATGCTCCCCTTGAGGGAAAAAAAATTTCTTCATTGTGACACCTGCTTTCTCTTCAGCTTTGGGCATTCGTTATACATTTGGCCAGGTGAAACGGTTAGAGATCAAAAATGGGCATCAATTCAGAGGCGAACGGCCCTTCCTGTAGTCTACCTGCAGTCATTGGGAAGCAAGAGACTCGACGCCTACCAGTTACGCTGCTTTCTGGGTTTTTGGTGAGTATTGATCCCGCATAAGAAGTCTGTGAATCTGGTCTAACTACTGTGATACAGGGCAGTGGAAAGACTACGCTCCTCGAGCACATTCTCAAGTCGCCGGACCATGGCCTTAGGATTGCAGTCATTGTCAATGACATGAGCAAGTGAGTTCTCCAAGCTTTCCGGCATGGATTCTACGTTACCGCAATGCTAATGCTTTGATCTCTCCCTAGGCTCAATATTGATGCTGCTCTCATAACACATCACAAAGTATCCCAGACGAAGGAGAAACTGATCCAGCTGCAGAATGGCTGTATCTGCTGCACTCTCCGTGGAGACTTACTCTCGGAACTGGCAAACTTGACCAAACAGAACGAGGTTGAATATGTCGTTATCGAGAGCACAGGCATTAGTGAACCTATGCAGGTTGCGGAGACTTTCACTGCAGAATTCAGCGCTGCGATGCTTGAAGCCGAGGATCAAATCGCGGATGCCGATGAAGATAGCAAAAAGATTCTTGCCGAGATGTACGTGTGTCTTACTCCTTACCTGGTCTTTTCTATAGCTAGACTATTCGTTGACTTGTTATGCCCTACGAATGCAGCGCAGAGTTGGGAGGCCTTCACACCTTAGCAAGCCTTGATACTACCGTGACGGTGATCGATGCGTTCAATCTGTTGTCGAATTTTGATACCACCGAGTTCCTTTCTGATCGCTATGGTGCAAAGGAGATTGTGCCAGAAGATGAACGTACCATCTCTGACCTCATGGTAGATCAGATCGAGTTTGCCGATGTGGTGATCATCAACAAGATAGAGACGGTTAATGAAGATACCCGCCGTCGGATTAAGCAGCTCGTGAACTTGTTGAATCCTGAGGCTAAAGTCTTGGAGGCTAGCTACTCAAAAGTTGATGTGCGAGAAATAATTGACACTAAAAGGTTCAATTTTCTCAAGGCAGCCTCAGGATCAGGGTGGCTACGAAGCCTGCACGAAATGACAATTATGAATACTGGTAACGGGCAGAGAATGGCTCCGAAACCGGAGACCCTGGAGTATGTTTACCCTCACTCTATATTTCACCCCTTGTGTCTTTAAGTGACTTGTATACTGCGTTATGGGTGCTGACATACCGTTACATAGGTACGGTATCAACAATTTTGTATATACTGCAAGGAGGCCCTTTCACCCTCGTCACCTTTTTGCTCTTCTTCATGATAAATTCATCCTTCTCCAACATAGCGAAGGAGGAGACGAGGATGAAGACAATGAAGGTAACGAGAATGACAAAATGGATTTGGACGAGGAGGAGGACGATGAGGGGGATGAAGACACAGAGAAACAGGGTGTGAGTGGGTTTGAACAACCTGATCCTGCGGTAATACTTGCAAACAAGCGTTCACATGTCTTTGGGCCTGTTCTACGCTCCAAGGGATTCTTCTGGCTCGCAACTCGTCCCCTCCAGTTTGGAGAATGGAGCCAGGCAGGGGGTATGTTAACGGTAAGCTGTGGTGGTCCGTGGTTTGCTGAAGTGCCCGGTGATGCATGGCCAGAGGATGAAGACGTCCGCAAATCAATTGAAAATGACTTCAAAGGCGATTGGGGTGACAGAAGACAGGAGCTGGTGTTCATCGGCGAAGGAATCGATACAGAGAAGATCACTGCTCTCCTAGACAATTGTCTGCTCGATGACAAGGAGATGGCTAGGTGGGAGCGTGTCATGGGGAACAGAGAGTTGTCTAGAGATGAGAAAGCAGAATTACTGGGAACTATGTGGGAAGATGGCTGGGAAGACTGGCCTCCCTTTGAAATCGAGGGAGAAGACGAGGATGAGGAGGATATGGAGGAGACGAAGCCAAAGCATTACATTAGTGATTATTTGGGCCCTGCTAAGAAGGACGGCCATAAGCACCATCATCACCACCATCACCATAAAAATGGTGAGCGCAAAAAGAGTGCAAAGGCCGCCTGAACATCGACAGCAATCGCACTCACTAGATCGGCTGAAATACGTTTGTATTCATTAAAAGTATTCATATTATTTCTCTCACTATTTAGTAATATCAGTTTGTGTAGTTATCAGGGGGTACTCTACCTATGTTCGAATATCCTTTGATATCTCGCCATCGATATATCCCATGAGAATATGCCGCGATTGTAGCTTCGTCCGTGTAAGCAGCATCAAGTTCTGGAATTGAATTGAATTGGTATCGCAATACTTCGGAGTTCGTACCTAAGTATACCTATTTCTCCTTAACCTTGGCTTCGGGATGATGGGGGACCCGTCACTTTTGCAACATGTGCTTTGACCAATCATTCGTCTTTAAGTTTCAAGCAAAAAACTTCACGTCTTTTTTGCTGGAGAATCTAAACATCGCCAAAACATCAACTGCCATCCAACAGAACAATCAATCGCTGTCCTGTGCCAGTCACTCCATACACCACTATCACAATGTTCTCGATACGCTCATTGACCCGATCGGTTCCTCGAACCCTCTCCAGATCCATCGCCACGTCTGCTGCCAGACCTTTGCAGCGATCTGCTTTCTTCCAGCCAACATGGAAGCTCATGTCTCGCCCTTCATACGCTGCCTTCTCTACCTCAAGACCTAGATTTGAGGCTGCTGGCCAAGGTGAGATGAGCCTGGTCTTCTTTATAAACCTTTAGGATCGAGTGTTGGCCTGCTAACTGGTGCAATAGTCGATGTCGAGCTTGCAGCCAAGTTCCAGGAAGAGCTTGCCCTCGAGACCGAGAGCGGAGAAACCGAGGAACTCCCTGAGTCCGTCAAGTATTTCCTTGACAATGGCCCATTTGAGGTGAATATTCATATTTTATTTGCTATATAACTGGCACTGACAGGAGATTAGATCATTGACAAGGCCGGAGAAGAAGAGGTCGTCTTGACCCGGAAGTTTGGTGATGAAAAGTATGCCGAGCACCGAACACTCTAACTAGGCCTATATACACCGCAAATACTAACTATGTCTATAGCATCCGCGTCTCTTTCACAATTGCCGACCTCCAGAACATCAACCCTGAAGAAGATTTCGCCGACAGCGCCCTCCAAGACGAGCTCGAGATGGACCAATCCCGCTCCAACAAGGACGCTTCACCCGAGGAGAACATTGATGAGCAGCCCTTGGAACCCGGCTATCTTGCCCGCGTCGATGTTACCATTGAGAAGCCAGGCAAGGGAGCCATGCACGTTGATGCTGTTGCCCGTGACGGCTTGATCCAGATTGAAAACGTTTCCTACTTCTCCAAGGCTGAGCTTGCTACCGCCGAGACTCCCGATAAGGAATGGGAGCGCCAGAGCTTGTATGCCGGCCCACCATTCGGCAACTTGGACGAGGAACTCCAGACCCTCATCGAGCGCTACCTTGATGAGCGAGGTATCGATACCGCTCTTGCTTCCTTCGTTCCTGACTACATTGACTTCAAGGAGCAGAGGGAATACGTTCGCTGGCTTGGAAGTACGTTTCTTTTACCTCTTACTATTATCCCTCTTTAAAGGTATCTTATGCTAACATTTCGTCATAGACCTCAAGGGCTTCGTTGGAAACAACTAAGTCTTTATTTCCTCGCCTTAAATGTAATATTCTCCACATTCTTTGATCTTCAGGTTGGTAGGCATGGGGCTGCTGGAGTTGAGGAGGCTGGAGCAGAGATATTGAAAAACAAAATTCACCTGTAACATATAACTAAATAATGCAATGTCAACTCCTGTATTATGATTCTCAAAGCAATTCTATTCCCGGTAATTCTAGGAAACATAATTACATTATTGATACGTGCGGATTTTATTCATCAATATTTAAGGGTAGTAATTCAATCATATTCGAGATCATTAGGGCAAAAAAAATTAAAACTCCATGGCATTTGGGTCATCGTCTGTTCGTTCTCTCTTAGCCGGCCGTTCGTCACTGTTTAGCTTTGCAACAAACGAGCGGAAATAATCAATATATGGCTTCAGGCTGGTTTTCTCATAATCCTGAATTTTCCTCGGCTTGGCAGCAGTGTCAGTTTCATCCTGACCACTGCCACTATCAGATCCAGGCATTTGATCCCGCTGGCTGGCCTGTGATGGGTTCCAAGAATTGATTTCATCCAGCAGTTGGAATAGAGTGGGTGTATCTAGAGGATTGAAATCGTCCACTTTTCTGATATCAATTGGCACACATACCCTTCCGGTTCCTGGGTGGACAACAAACGGACTCTTAAGCAAATGGATCAGTTTCTTACTGACTTCAGCGTCAAGTCGAGGGTATGTATATTCCAAAACAATGTCTTGCTTTGCTTCTAGTAACGCTTTTGTATCGAGACCGCGGGAATTTGCTTTTGCAACAGTGTCAATATCAGCCCATTTGTTGCTGCTCGACCGCCCGGGAGCGGAATCCCATTTCTTTTGTAATGCTGCCCTTAGCGTTTTGTCAGGAAGCAATTCGATCAGTCGAGCGGCTTGGTCCGGCCTGCTGAATGGGTCCTGGTCTACGAGGACGGTAGAGGCGAAATATTCTCGTAGGGTGTCGAGGCTTCGAGTAATATGCGGATGTAGCGGCCGTCTCAGGTTGACACGTTTTCCGCTCTGACTGCCTCCGCGGACAACTTCCAGGTATCCGGCGATGGCTCTTCGTCTGTCATCTGGAAGATTTCGTGCCCTTTTATCACAGACCCATGCGTGGGCTCCTCTTCGACCAGAGTACACCCATAGAATGTGTTGGAATCCAAAATCTTCTCGTAGGGCTGCGTCGATCACTTTGATGGACATTGTAACAAACGCCCAGCATTTGAGACATATGTTGGCTTTACTACAACATGTTCTTATATCATCGTAATCAGTCAAATCAATATCAAAGACAAGCTCTTTCGAAATAGGCTTGAAGGCGCCCGGTTTCCGTAGGGTTTTACGGTCTCGTGGGTTTGTGCTATAAACAGGACCGATTTCAAAACGGGAAGGATTTAATCGCATAACGTCTTTGTGAAGACTATGAAGGGAAGTCAGCTTAAAACCACTTTGCGGCAAAAAGGTGTAAACGTACGCATCTGCAGTCTGAAATGATTGGTACCGTAGATAAGCATCATTTGGAAGTGTAAAGGCAAACTCTCGATTGCCAAAGTCCGTCGAAGGTTTCACCCCGTGATTAAGCCATTGAAAGAGGTATTTGAATGGGAACAGGCGTTGATAAAAGGCGGACATAAACTCCGGGTCGGTTTGAGCTAGTGAAGGTGCGGGCTTGCTGTTATCATAAGAGTAAGTCGTTTAATATCAGCCATTGGTATTTCAAAGCTCTCTCTCTCTCTTACTCTGGTATTTGAACGGCATCTGAGTCTGGGAACTCCTCGTCATCGTCATCGTCATCATCATCGTCAAACATGTTCTCTAGTTTCAAACTCTTCTTCACCAATGTATCTTCCTCTTCCTTCGGGCTATCGACTTCGGCGTCGTTCTCCTCCTTGTTATCCTTGGTGACTCCATTTTGATCTTCGGTCTTTGGGATATTGTCTGACGGGGGAGCATCCGGCAGCACTTCGTCGTCTTTCCCCTCCATGTCTGCGTCTTTTCAAGGTATCTGACCAGCTGTCAACGGCGTTTATCCTCTGTTCTCCAGCATGGACGTTCGCTGATATTCGTCGAAGCCCAGCTAATTAAGCCGTCACGCGCGCGACGCGTCTACCGCGCGTAACTATCTAGCTAGGGCTTAGGGCTTCTCGATTACATCATACTTTCCACGTGACCTTCTAGAAACCCTAAAATTCTAAAAAAAGAAAAGAAAAAAACTTCTTTCAACTTCCTTCCATCGTTTTCTTTTTTTCTCCTTTAACGCCGCGCATTATATCAACCGGCATCAAGGGCCAGATAGTATAAAGAACGGGGGTCAGTGTTTGCCCCTGGCCTCATAGTTATATGAGTTTGTGATGAGTCGTCCGGAGCTGGGACCCGAAATAAAGCCCTTTGCCATGCTTGATACCTGAATCGCCCCTATAATTTGCTAAGAGAATCCAACAGTGGAGTCGCCATCAACGCCTTTTGGCAGCCGGGGATCGGGAAAAACAGAGCCGTGCCAACTCTAGGCCCGGCATTTTTGTTCCTAGCGTCGGGCCTTTGCTCCCTCGCATTTCCTTATACTGTCTGGAGCTCCCGCCAATAAGTAGCCTTTTGTTTTACTTATTGACGGCCTCCACATATTTTGGGCGAACAGCACAAGATACATACCAATTTCCAAGGACTTTTCTCTAGGATTTAGTATTTCTCTTTTCGTCTTTATTATACAAAATCTTCTGCGTATAATTATTTCTTATCAGGGGAACCAGTCCCACCGGCCACTGGTCCGTCCGGTCAGTATGTCTGTGACGTCTATAGAATTGGCATCTCCAGCCCGGGTCCACGCTACCCCCAAGTCTTCACAGCTGGTGTTAGAGGCCATAGGGAGCAGTGCGGAGAACGTTACCAGTCATGGTGTACATAGAGACCCAGATGATAGCAGTGACGAGGAGGTTGCCAGTACCTTTTCTGTCCCGCCTGTGTCGAGGACAAAAGCCGCGGTTATTATTGCTTCAGCGTCGAGCATGGTACTGATGAACTCCGTACTGACTGGTATCCTTACTGTGGGACTGCCAGTCATTGCAGCTGATATTGGACTTGGAGACAGCTTACTTCTATGGTACGTTACCTCCTTGCCTGTAGAGGATATCTGGATGCTTATTGACATTCTTTCAGGCCAGCGTCGGTTTATGGATTGACCTGTGGTTGCACGCTTCTCCTCTCCGGATCCCTTGCGGATGTGATTGGCAGCCGACCGATCTACCTTGCGGGATGTGGTATCCTCTCTGCCTTTACCCTTGGATGCGGCCTTGTCAAGACCGGTATTCAACTCATTATGTTCCGCGCTATGTCCGGAATCGCCATGTCTCTGTGCCTCCCTAGTGCCGTGAGCATTATCACTGCTGCCTTCGCGCCAGGCGGACGAAGGAATATCGCCTTTGCATGCTTGGGTGCGGCGCAGCCCGTCGGATTCTCGCTTGGTATAGTCCTTGGAGGTGTTCTAATCGCAAGCATTGGATGGAGATACGGATATTACATCGTTGCAGGTGTCAACGTCCTAGTCCTTATTGTCGCCTTCTGGCAAATTCCTGCAGACCCCCGGAAAGTAGTCCCGGTAACCTGGAAGAGATTAACAACTGAGATTGACTGGGTTGGAACTCTCCTCATCAGTGCATCCCTTGGGTTGTTCTCTTATGCTTTGTCGTACGTTGAGTCATGATTCCGCGATCCTCTTAGGTTTTGCATGGGCCTGCCACTAACGAAAACTTCTAGAACCATCAGCGTGTCGATCCGTGAGTTGGCCAAGCCAGGCAACGCTGTGGCCCTGGCTCTCTCGGCAGTTTGCCTTGCAGGGTTTGTCTTCTGGATTCATCGTCAAGAACGACTTGGTCGTGTCGCCATGGTACCACCGAACTTGTTTAAGTCCACTACTAACGCTCCTCGCCGAGCCCGAAACTTCACCTGCGTGTGCATCTCAGTCTTCTTTACCTGGGCGCTTTTCAATTCTTTCCAGTTCTTCACCACCCTCTACTTCCAGGAGCTCCAGGGGAACTCGGCCCTTATGGCCTCCGTTAAGTATATCCCCATGGTTATATCGGGCCTCGTCATTAATATTGTCACCGGCTTCCTCGTAAAGCGAGTTTCTGCGGATATTCTCTGTACTTGTGCAGCCGTCGCGTCTTCAATCGCTCCGTTACTCATGGCAATCGCCCGTCCGGAATGGAGCTACTGGACCGCTACGTTCTTCGCAACTATTTTAATACCCGTCTCTGCTGATACACTTTTCACAGTGTCAAACCTCGTGATTACCTCTGCGTTCCCTCCAAAGACCCATGGACTAGCTGGTGGAGTGTTCAACACTATATCTCAAATTGGTATGTCAGTTGGCATCGCCATTACTGCAGTGGCCTCTAACTCTGTGATTGAACATGAGCTCCCCCACACAGACCGAAAAACAGCCTTGCTCAAGGGATACAGAGCTACGTATTGGATCTCCTTTGGAGCTGCTGTAATGATGGTCGCATTGAGTCTATGGGGATTACGGAGTATCGGAAAGATTGGACTAAAGAAGGAGTAAGTGGGTTTCCTTTTATCGGTATTTAGACGATTTAAAAAGAATCATACATGGAGCCTAGGTGTTATCTAAATTAAATTATAAAATCCAATATCGAATCGAAAAAAAAAAAAAAAAAAAAAAAAAAAAAGTTTGAATAAATTGATCACGCTTGAACTTTGAGCCCCTGCGGCGCTTCTGTTATTTGGTTGTTCCTTGCCTGTTCATCCCGGATCTGCTGTAGAAGAGCAGGGTACTACAAGGGCATGGTTAGTAGTGGTAGATCATTGAAGAGATATCGCGGAGACTTACAAAGCGTTCACCAACATCTGGATGGCTTTTTATGCGGTTCATCAGAGTGGCTTCACCAAGATGGCCCCAGCGGCCCTTGGAAAAGGTGAATTCAATATCGTCTTGACGGATCCCATTCCTCTCAATCACTTCTTGTCGAAGCTTCTTGACTTGGTCTGGCACATCCATACTCTCAAATGTGGCGTCATAGCTTACGCCTTGGAAGAAGGGGACGCTGAATCGTGCACCAGTTCCACGGGCTGGACTTAGCACTCGATGGGTAGTACTTGATGTCCATCAGCATGGCCTGGTTAAAGGGGAAGATATCTTGACAGCTGAAACGGAAGCATTACGATACTTACCTTTGACAAACTCCCTGGGTAATAGCTTCTAGCCCCTGGCCCATTGCTACAACCAAAGTGCCATCTATTGGGGGGCAATCGATCCATTCGCCGCGGTGGTTCTGAACCTGCAGCCCACGATGCTTCGTTGCTTGAAGGAGATAGCTCGTGAGCATGCTATCTTTATGCGGACCAACGCCCTGAGCTTCGCCATCGACCCCTAGCTCTTCTAAATCAGGGTACTTGACTATCTTCAACTTATGTTGCTGATCTTTGTCAAAGAATCGATCAAATGCGTTAGCTGGTAGGCCGATTGCTTCTGCAACCAGGGAGATGAATTCCATGCTGATAGCGCCCATCTTCTCCATGTACTCCTCATACACAGGACGGAAACGAGGGATAGACGACTCGTCTGGCCATTGATTCGGTGCTAGCAGGTTGTGATAGAGCGGATCAGAGGGGCCAGGAACTGGGTGGTTCGTAGAGAGATCGATCTGTTCTCTCCAGTCGGTCTTAAAACGGGTGATCTCACCACCCAATCTGCTGTATCCTATAGCCCTCGGTCAGCTAGGTACATCCCCGAATGTCTTAAATAAACGGTGCTTGATCATGATGGATACTCTATTGACTCTATGAGAAGCAAAGGGCATACCAAGAAAACTGGGGGCATTCTTCATCTCAATTTCCAGCTTCTTCTCCATCGGAAGGTCGAAAAATTTCTTCCCTTCAATGATGACATCTTCTATCAACTTGTCATCGATCCCGGTGTTCTTGATATAGAGGAAGCCGACTTCTAGTAGTGCATGGCGTAGCTCGTCAAGGAAGCCGGGTTTCGTCGCACCATCTCGGGCTGCTGAAAGATCAAGGATCGGAATCGAATCGAAAGACATGCCGTATATATTATGGAAATAACACTTATATCTACTTATGAATACTTCATCAGCGCCAGGAGTGTTATATATATAGATGACCAGCTTCTTCGGTCTTTAGTATCCGGGCTTGGTGATGATGTTATGTGGGGTAAGATGTGCGAAATGCCGAAGAGATGCCGAGCAGAGCTATAAATACGACTTCAGGGGCAGCGATTCATTGATATTGAAGATATTGAATCAAATGTTTTTTAGTAGCTGGTCTTTTGGTCTATCCGCATAACAACTATGCTAACTCGATATCATGACAAAAGAAAAAACAAAACATTTTCCAGTTTAACTGGGAAGAGCATGGTGGCTCGATTCTATACCAGAAAAACTGTCAAGGGAATCATCACAGAAAGGCTGACTTTTTGATATCTGGCTCAAAAATACATCATCAATACCTCCGTCCTCCACCAGGGATAGACCAAGAGATGAAGTTCCCAATCATCAATCATCACACCGTTCCTATTTACTGTTCAGAATCACTCTCCTTCTCGTTGACTGGAGATGCGGTCTCAGAGGGCTTTCCATGGCCGTACTCAGCATCCATTCGGCTGATCTCCTCCTCGGTAAGGTAGGGAAGTTCCCTGGCGGCCTGGACATAGCTCTTGTTCTCGCAGTATCCCTTCGCGAAGATGATATCAATCTCCTCAAGACTTCGTTTGGCGGTTTCGGGATAGAAGAAGTAGATTATTGGAAGGAAGCAGACGTTAATGATGGCAAAGAAGAGATAGGTTCCCCAGCCAATACCTGCGAGCATGACGGGAGTGATCATGACAATGAAGAAGTTGAACAACCAGTTGGAGCAGGTCGAGAGGGCGTTGGCCTTTGCACGAGTTTTGATAGGAGAGATCTCTGCAGCGTACAGCCATGGCAGTGGGAGCCAGGTGGCGCCGAAACTGGCGATGTATGTGAACAGACCAACGGCAGCACCCTTAGCGGTAGCAGGAGTATTCGGGATCAAACATGCGAAAGTGATCGTCATGGAGATGGCTTGGCCAGCTGCTCCGTACAGGAAGAGCTTGCGACGTCCAGCTCGCTCGATCAAGAACCAAGATGTAGTGGCGAAGATGGAATACACAATCATGTTGACACCTCCAAGCAAGGTTGCCATGTTATGATCCACACCAATGGACTTCTCGAAGAGAACCGGGAAGAAATAGATAATAGCGTTGCATCCAGATAGCTGCTGGGCAAACTGGCCGAAGACACCCAGGAACATACGGCGACGGTGCTGAGTCTTTCCACCAGTGAAAACAACGGATAACGGAGTAGGCTTTCCAACTTCACCGGAAGCTCGGATAGATTCCATAACCGCGTTCTTTTCAGCCTGGACCAAAGGGTCGGTAATTGGGACACCGTGGAGAGCAGCTATGACCCTTTCACCCTCGTCCGAGCGGTCTCTCATACAGAGCCATCGTGGGGACTCAGGGAGCCAAATCATACCCGTGACCATGACGATTGAAAATGCAATCTGGAAAGCAATAGGGAACCTCCAGGAGAAGCTATCGGGGCCATAGGAAGCGCCATAATCAATCCAGTAGGCGATCAAAGTACCAAATGCGATCGTTGCTCCTTCAATACAGATGAGAAGGCCTCGGTTTGAGGCATGAGAACATTCTGCCTGATATGTTGGGATGGTGGAAGTGTTGATTCCATTTCCAACTCCGGTAATGATTCGACCGATAATGAACTGAGCGTATGGTTGATGACCGACGAAGCTGGTGACCTGGATGATGGCACCGATGGCCATGATGATAGCTCCCGTGACGATGGATTTGCGGCGTCCGAGCATATCGCCACCCCATATTATACTGACAGCACCCAGGAGACAGCCTGTTAAGAGCCGAAGTTAGCGAAATGTCACTTCAAGGGATGAAGACCAACTTGATGGTAGACATACCTATCTCATAGATAGCAGTGACAAACCCCTGGTTTGTTGGGTTGTCTTTGGTTTCCGGGAAGACTGTGTTGAATGGCATAGCGCTGATGATACCAGCCATCACGCCCTCTGTTTGCATACCTTGTTAGTTTGATGCTGCTAACAGTATGCCGAAGTTGGACATTCACTTACGATCATACCCGAATAGCAAGAAGCCACATGTCGCGATGGTAGAAACACATCGCGACAGCTTCTTGCCTGACATTCCTCCATAAGTTGGTATCTCTGCCATGTTGGGCAGATTTAAACGCAGCAATGACTTCTATCAATCATAAGATGAAAGGTCATAGACCGGGAATCGTTCACTCGGGGAACCAGAGCGGAAGGATGTATGAAGGTCAGGAATGTCAATCCGGAGATCACAGGGGCAGGAATCTGTCTGTTATATAAGTATGGACCTTGAAGTCAACTTTGCATCTTTGTCAGCGGGGGCACCACAACTATGGGATACATTCCCCTTTCTTCTCCACAAGAAGCATAGGTACATTGATGGAACCATGGATTCCACGGCTACATCCCACCTGCGTGCGGTTCACCGGGTCCCCCATGTAACCATATCGCCAAGAACTGCCAGATGGGGTGGCGAGTAGTTAGTTACTCTGTAACTAAAAGCGATGAGCCGGTGGTTTATGGAAGGGCTCTCAACTCGTCCATGATATAAACCGGTTACCTGATTGCTGTGCGGTTAACTAGATTGTCAATATGACTGCCGAGTTATATGCCATCCGCTAAAGAACGTGCGAGCGAAGCCAAGCAAATAAGCAGGCGGCACGGCGGCGCCTCTAACAATCGATCAGCACCGCCAGTGCCGAGTTTGATTTGTACCGAATCCACCGCAGCCAGCTGGGAGAGTCCTCCGGCTGATCGGTGGCCGTAACCTCGATCATCAGCCCCGGCCGTTCTCCGACTTCATGGCAGCACAGAAACCTCGGTCAAAGAATCAAACTCTCTCAGCATCCCATCCATATAATATCGTTTTGTTGCATCCATAATCCATAATGTGGTCCTGGATGTTCGGTTGTGGGGAAGCATGACGTTGCAGTCCGCCTGTCATATGCTGGAGAGGCCCGGTAGTACCAACTCCAGTGACAAGCATAAATTTTTCCTTCGGCCCCGTCAATTTAAGAATCTGCCCAGTGAGATTAAGTGGAAGTAAGGATGAGACTTACCAGCGAAAAATCAGAGATTTTCTAGACGAACCAAAAGGCGAAACAGAACCCATGATGACATCATAACATCAAGCTTTTTATGGTCTTTGCTCCTTTTTTTTCAGCCCCAAGCCGAAAGTCAAAAATTTGTTTAGTTATCTGATCCTCCTCTGAAGATTCGATGAAAGGGGATGAAGTTGATATTGATCTCAACTCTAGCGGATAATTGGGCAATGAAAATGATGATAATAATTAATCTAAGACGCCACCCTGGAAGATGCGAACAGTAGAAACAATTCGACTTGAGGCTGCATACGAAGTAGACGCCAACTACTCCGTACCAAGACAGTGGACCTGAAGCAGTGGATGCAAGCTGAATCAGCCGGGCTGATTTTTCTTTTGCATATGCAAATAAAACATATATAAAGGATTCCACAATGGAGCTCAGGTGGACTGCTGTATGCACGCAGGAGTGCACGGTGGAGTGTAGAAAGGAAGCGGAGGGAAGCGGAAAACAGTGGGATAGGGGAAATTTGATGCGGAGCTCGTTAGAGTACATATTTGATTCCTATCTCCAGTTATCGAGTTGAATTGTGGGTTGAAACGGTAGCAGAGATTGAAGCTGCAGAAAATCAGTAGATGAGAGAACGGCATGAACCAATAGAATATATATATACTCGGGTATTAAAGCAAGTAACCAAAAAAATGTAGGTGGGCGGAATATATAGCAAGCCAAAAAGAAAAAGCCAAAGGATAACGCTCCAACTTAACAAGACAGACCAAGAACCCAGCATGAACAGATGAATGGATATTAAGACAGGGAGCACGGCAGGGAAAAAAAGCAACGTGAATTAGGAAGTGAGAGGATCATGATTGAATGACCATCCCGGTTGCATTGACTGCGTCGTCGGTATAAAAGCCAAAGACGAGACGGTAGAGATCCAGCAACCATTCATACTGACTGTTATATTGGACCATGGCCTGCACCGCTCGAGCAACGTCAATTGCACTTGCCCGGGTTGGCGGCGGGACGGACCTGAAGGCCGGGTCGGCCGTGATGAGCTTCTTATAATTGACCAGCAATGACATTTGCCAAGGCAGGGAACCAAAAGCATCTGAGGACAGCGTCTTAGCGAAAGTGGGTAGGCTTTCAGAACCGCCGCGTTGGAATCCGCTGTTCATCGCTGCTCGGACAAGGAGGAGTTTCAGGGCTGTCAGGTTTTGATCTTCGCCGGGAGATTTGACTGTGTGCGTGGACGAGGCTGTCTGGCTGGAAGTGCGTGAGTAGCCGGATAGAGTCGAGGAATTGCTTGACCAGCGAGGGTGGTGTGGTGGGTTATCGAAGCCTAGGACCATGATATTGGGGATAGGAGCTTGGTCTGGCGAGACGGTGGTGGCTGTGTCATCGAAGATGGTCGTTGGGGTCTCTGGATTTTGCAGGCCGAGGAGACTGTCTGTGTCTGTATCTGTGTCTTCGGATGGGTACTCCGCTCGCTTGGCCTGGTAGAAGGCCTGTGTGAAGGTAGTCTGGCTGGGACGAGGGGTGCCACGGTCGGGACGGACCTGAGTCCAACCTTCACGGAAGAGATCACAGAGCTCCCAACAGGCCTGGACGGCAGAACCCAGCAATTCTTCGTCGGGAGCTTTCCCTTCGCGTTTCCCCTGCCGCAGGCTAAAAAGCATTTCTGCGAGGGACCAGCATGCTCGAAGCAGAGAGTCAGTTTCCTCAGTGAGCCGTGTTCGCTGTTTCATCAGACGGTGGCAGAGGGTGATGTAGAAGTCTAAGGTACGCTCACGGAAGGCCTCGGGGAGGTTGCGGTCGTGGGTGTTGTACAGATGGTTATTCAGCTCGAAGCTGACTCTGAGGACGGAGTCGGCAATCTCGTTCTCCTTGAGCCGTACCTCGAACAAGGCCTGACAGAAATCCCGACACATGTCGAGCGTAGGCCGGACCTGGGCTGAATGGTCGTCATCACGGGTTTCATACAAATTCTGGCACAGCTTCCAGCATGTCTTCCAAGCCTGTTCCTGCATGTCGTCTTTCCCGCCGAAGTTGAATAGCCGTTCCCGGTGATTGTAACTTAGGTTTGCGAGTGTATTGCAGAGTGTCCAGCATTCTGACAAGGCAGTCCGAAGTGCTCTGATTTCTACGTCGTTGTCAGGGACATTGGACCTGGTCTTGGTCCAGACAGATCGCTGTTCACCGTCATCGTAGTGGGAATCCTGACTCTGCTCTGTATCCGAGCTTTCCGGTATATCTACGGTAATGTTAGTCGACTTACGGCTTTGGGTAAAAGATAAGAGCAAAGCCTGACCATCTAGGTTTGCCTGGTGAGGCGTTCTTTTGAAATTTTCTATCTCCTGTAGTGTTTGTGCTCTGGGAGTGTTTAGTTCATAGTGGCCTGTCGGAGCCACGGATGTGGTTATTGGAGGAGGCGAGATGGGACTTGCCCCGGATTTCTATACACAACTTATTAGTCTATGTCAACCACGACCAAAGTAAACAAGACGTACCCTTGACTCTGCTCGGGGGACGGTGATGGTGACGTCTGATCTCTGAGTCGATGATGTTGTCGACGGAGCGGGAGATTCCACAGTCTAGTTATCTGGTTAGCATGATTGGCTTTCAGACGAGTTTGATGGATATACGTACAAATCCATCGAAGCCAACTGGAGCATGGATAACCGACTGTGGTTCAGGTTCGTCGTCTTCCAAGTCATCCCTCCGCAAGTCCTCCTCCCTTGTTTGAAGCTATGTCGGCCAGTCAGTATGTATACCCGGAGGAACAAAAAAAATAATAAAAAAAAATAGCAATGCGTACGCTCAAGTCTCTGGTCTCCTCTGGGCGGGGAGAGGCCTTCTTCAGGCTGGCCGGGCTGCCACTGAGACTCCGTCTGCCGTTCCCGTTGGTGAGATTGAGGCTGCTGGGCGTGTTTGATCGTGACTTTGGCTTGGTCTTGGGCTGCTCTTCGACGGACTGGGGGACGTCTTCCGCCTGAGACGGGTCGTGGGAAGGGGGATTGGAGACAGGCCTAGCACCCAGGACAGCACAACGACAGTCAGTAAGCAAGTTTCAACAGGCAATGCGCAGTAGAGTCTCTTCTTTTCCCATCCGGACAGACGCACATGAGGGGGGATCGCTGGTTAGATCTCAGGGGAGATGGGGCATCGGCGGACGGGTAGATGGCGGTGGATCGAGGCGACACAGAGGCCTGGCTTTGGACTGCAATCATAGCAAGTCGACTCGGCACTCAATTCGTATTTATATCAGGTTCGAGAGAGCTTGGATGCGAGGATGTACCGGCGGTATTCGAGGCTGTCGACTGTGTAGAAGATCGTTAGACAGGCAGACAGAGGGAGAGACAGGAGGAGAACTCACAGCAAGACAGCGGTCAACCGCTCGGCCAGGCAGCAGACGGTCGACTAGATTAATAGAACCGATGGCCAGCGAGCCAGCCTATCCGATGCTCTTGCTATGAGCCGCGACGACCTGACGGCGTTTTCTTCTTATTATTATTGAGGGTCGACTTTTTATGGGGTTTCTTTGCCGTGGGGGCCGACAGTCAACTAGTTAACTATCAGCGATGCGACGGCCAGATAGATGTCTCTCTCGGGCCAGCTGTGGTTATCGCCTTGTCTCTCGCCGTCTATACCAGCGTCTCTGGCCTCTGCTTCTCCGGCTGCTCTGATATCGCTGTGTGTGTGTGTCTTCTCTATCAGCATCAGCATCTCCTCTTCGTCGACTCAAAATCAGCACCGTCGACTTCGCAACTCCGTCGGGTTGGGCTAGGCGCTGGGCAGGAGAGCAGGCCCGCGGCCGCTGCATCAATAGGGCCGCCCGCTGACTGGCTGCGCGCGCTGCTCCAGGTCGCTATTCTTTGCTTTTTCGCTCTTTGCTTCTTCCGCGCGTTAGTACGAATGTGTATATCAATCGGGGACTTCCTGCGGCCCTGGTTGGGCTTCTGCGAGGACGAGGATGCTAAGTAATAAGCAGCTACAGGGATGCGGTGGAAGGCTGGCCGGCATATAGAAAAGCATACTTCAAGTGGTTTGCTGCTGCTCATGCTGATTGCTGATTGCTGATTGCTGATGATTGCTGTGCTATGTATATCTCTGGTGACGGCGAAGGTGATGGTAAGCGCCTGTCCCATCTGCAATATTATGCTGGCTGGCCAGTTCATGGGCCGGCACCTTGATCTCTCTCGAACCTGACTCCCTGACCCCCTTGTCTTTTGACCTTGATCAACAACTCCTGCTTTGACACGCCGTTATGGGTTGCCCAACTGTTGGTGTCTCCGGACCCGCGCATGTCCTCACACGTACATAGCCGCCCTTCTCTTCTCACTCCGATCTCTTCCTCTCCTCCCCAGTTGTCTCCTCGCGCGGGTCTTCTCGTTCAATTCGTTTTAGTCGTTCATTTTTTTATTATTTTCTTATTTTTTAACGTCTTCCTTCTGTGTCTACAGGTTGATCTTAGCTCGGTCACGCTCAGCTGGGTTGTATCTATCCCTCTGTTAGCATCCAGTCGTCCACACAGGTTCAACAGTGTCTCGATCTTCCATACCGCAGAAGCTTCTCGATCAGGTCGACGTGCGTCATTAGCATTCTCCTGCAGCAGTATCGCTTGCAGCCCAGCTGGTCCATCGCATCACTAGTACTGTCAGCGCCCCGGTGTTCTATTCGATATAGTATAGTGAACGCATAGCATACCCATCGGGGACACCCTCGTCCAGCAGCCGCAGATATCGCTCCCACAGATCTCCAACCACCTAGCATAACAAGCTCGCTGTCAATTGAAGCTCCTCCGCGTTGATATCATGGATGTCTTTGCGCGCCTCCTACCTTTCCGCATGAGAAACACCGCACGGGAATAATCATGGTGACTTGTTTAGCAAAAGAACCCTTTCGTAGGCTGTAAATCTGCGTCTCTTGCTGGCGTCTGATCAGCCGCTTCTCCCTCTTCTTCGCCTTCTTATCGTCGTCGTCGTCGTCGTCGTCTTTCTTTTATTCTTTTTTATTCTTTTTTATTTTTTTTGTCGAAAAATCAAGGTCACGAGACCACACGTTTCCCTTTTGGGACTGGAGCTCTTGCTTAATAAGCGGATAAATATTTATACGTTGATTATGTAACAAAGATAAAGTTTAACCTTTTTTTTAAATTTATTTTATTTTTTTTTATAGAGAAAAAAAGAAGAAAAGACGACGAGAAGGAGACGATATTAAACGGGCGGGATATTATACCCAATTGCTGGACTGAAGATGACGGAGAAGAGGGCTAGACGGCCGGATGAGGCGCAGAGTGAGAAACCAGCCCGAGAGCGACACCGTGTGAAACGCCGCCGAGTCGACGAGGCCGCAGATGAGCGGGAGGAAGCTATACAGGACACTCCAGAGAAGAGTCCCAAGGAGAAGAGCAAAGAGAAGTCCCCAGGAAAAGCCGAAGAGAAGCCGATAGAGGACACACCAGAGACAAGTACGCCGTCAAAATCTCACAAGAAGAAAAAGAAGGACAAGGAGAAGAATGCAGTCGCAAAGACACCGAAGTCGAACGATGAGAAAGCAATCGCGCGGCAAAGGGAACCAAATGGCTGGCGAATGTCTCCTACTACTGGTGGCCGTCTCCTAAATCTAGATCCTGTCTTTACCAAGGACGAAGAGTAAGTCTGATGTGTACACTCTTTGGGCTTTTCTTTACCGTCTACTAACTTGAGCAGTCATATAATTCTAAGTCTTGAGTCCGCCATCCAGGTCTACTCGACGTCGACCTCGCATGCCGTCCGTGGCCTTCGATCTTGTGATAACACACGTATCTCTGGCTGTGTACTCTCTCCGATCGACGATGAGATAGCATACGTCTCTACCTCAGGCGGTGCAATTGCCGAATGGAACTGGACAACCGGAGAGACCCAGCGAACTATGCAACTTGAAGGATCATATTTGCTATCTATCAAGGTGGAACAGGGCCCTCAAAAGGATGGCAATGAAGAAGAGGATGTGAAGGATGTTGCTGTCTTTGCACTGGTCATGCGAGATGGGAAGCGTGAAATATCAATCAACTCCTTCGATAAGTCGGGAGATCAGCCTCAGAATGATGGCCCAAAACATCATTCTGTTATCCTGGAGACTTCTACCCAGATAAACGACTTTAGACTCGCTGCGGGCGGATCAGTGATTATTGCTATAGCTGGAAGTTCTCTTATCATTGGACATCAGGCTAAAGGTTCAGAGCGCGAACCGGAATACACATGGCGCGAAGTACAGTTACCCTTCACTACGACTAGCTTCGACATACGTGAGCCCGATAGGGAGTCTAGCACGAAAAAGGGCAACAAGAAACCCGTCGTTGATCTTGTAGTGGGACAAAATGAGGGAGCTATTATCATGTACAGTGATGTATTGAATACTCTCAAGGGGCTTGAGAACCGTCGGATGGCGGAGCCAGGTGCCTCGTCACTGAAGTTCCATTGGCATCGCGGACCTGTCAAGACTGTTCGATGGTCAAAAGATGGTATTTCCCCCCCTTGTCATGTCACTTTGAAGTGCTTGTGTATCATAGTACTAACAACTGCACAGGAAATTATCTCATCTCTGGTGGCCTCGAAACCGTCATGGTCCTCTGGCAGCTTGATACTGGGCGGAAGCAATTCTTGCCCCACCTCACTTCTGCGATATGCAATATCGTTGTCTCTCCTAAGGGCAGTAGTTATGCCATTAAGCTTCAGGATAACTCTGCCATGGTCTTGACTACCTCTGAGCTTAAGCCGACTGCAAGCATTAGTGGGCTACAGGTGCTCGAGGACTCCAGAGAACGCCATCACAAACTGCCCTGCAGGCTTCCGGCGCTCGTACATCCTATACACAGTAACCATCTCCTTATCGCCGGTTCGACGGCAATGGGAAGAGACGCAACCAACTCGTCTTATATTCAAACCTTCGACATGCGCTCCAACCAACAAGTCTACCGTCAAGCTCTGACCCGTACCAATGCCTCTGTCCTCAATGTTGGTCCACAGGGAACTCAGTTAACTACCCCGGACATCACGTTTGTTCAGGTATCCCATGATGGCTCCTGGCTTGCCTCCATCGATGAATGGCAGCAATACCCGGATGATGTTAAGGCCTTATACCCCGGTATTGAGCATCAAAGCCGCGAGCCGAAGCGGGAGGTGTGTCTTAAATTCTGGCGCTGGAACGAACCCACTACGGAATGGGAACTCGTGTCTCGCGTCAACTCACCGCATACTTCGACTACCGGCGAAGCTCTGGCAGTCCTTGACCTTGCTGTGCATCCGCAGGGCTATATGTTTGCCACCGTAGCTTCGGATGGAATGCTCAGAATCTGGACACCGGACAGCAAAAGCACGAGGAAAATGAACAGTCGTGGCGGAGGTACTAATCAAGTGAAGTCCTGGCGATGCTCGCATGTTATTCCTCTTGAAGAACCGAACGATCAACCCTCTGCTTCACTATGCTTTTCTGAAGACGGCTCTGCGTTGGCTGTGTGCTGGTCCACTGTCTCTCGTTGTGGGCTGGTTTACCTCCTCGACCCCGAAACAGGCCGCCTTCACCTCTCACGTCAAGGCCTCTACACGGACCCTGCTCAGGGTTGTGGATTTATCGACCGATACTTGATAATTGTCTCTGACTCTGCCTTTGTCTGGGATACTGTATCTGACCGAGTTATCTCCCGGATTCCCTTGCGAATCAAGAAAGCAAAGGACAACTTCCAATCATATCTAGCAATCAACCCTCGCAGCCGGACCTTTGCAACCTGCTTCTCTCGTCCTCCAGTAGACCATTCGAATCCAGTGTCGAAAAAGGGGAAATCAGCGAGAAACCAACTCTGTGTCTTTAACGTTGAATCATCTTCTCCGATCTTCCAGTCTTCAATAGACAACACCCCGCTTGCCTTGTTACCTGACACAAAGACAGGTGAATACATAATCATCGATTCATCTGCGTCTATCACTAGAATGACATCAGGCGTTGCATCAGTTCTACCGGATTCTGCATTCGCTGAGTCCACATTACCCCTCAAGAGCGGGCTGGAGGATATCTTTGGTTCATACCGGAGGCTCCCCAAGGCTTCAACTGAGAAGCCATCTGAAGAGCAGGAAACGGCTGGTGCAATTGAGAAGAAGAAGAGCCTGGCTGATGTATTTGACATTGCCCCATCGTTTGCTCTGCCTAGTGTCGATTCTCTGTTTAAAAGCGTTGTTAATGTTTTTGCAAAGGGATAAATAATCCCAGGCATGGCTATAGAAAAGCGACATAGATACGAGCAATTGAGTTTACTTAACAACCGCTTCTATTTTGTACTTGTTTTCATTCGCCTGTCCATAGTATCCACCTGCATGGCTATAAAAATAAAACCGAAGTGAGTCACCGTTGCATATATAAAATAGTGAAGACGAGCGAAGTCCAGTTGATATCAAGCATCCGACCAGCTCTGTACCTTGAATATCAACCGTCAACAAGGAGGAAACATGGACTCTCAACAGGTATCAGGAACAGTCTCGAAGCCGTCTCCGACCAGCCAAAAGACCTTCTACAAGACACCGTCTCATTTCGAGCAAGTAATCGGCTACTATCGAGGCGTCCGCCATGGCCAACACATCTTCATCTCAGGCACCACGGCCGTCAATCCCAACAAGGCCTCATCTGCTGCCGAGCCGCCACAAGTCCTTTTCCCCGGAGATGCAAAGAAACAGACCATCGCTGCCTTTGAAGAGTGTCTACGTGCTGTCACCAGCCTGGGAGGTAACGGGGTGCAGAGCGTAGTGAGAGTACGCATGTTTGTTGGAAGACACGAAGACTGTGGTGCAGTTGGCGAAGCGTTCACAGAGATATTCGGAGACCAGAAGAGCAATGCGAACAATACCAACGCTGAGATTGGGACTGCGGCGACGATGTTGGTGGTTCAGAACGGCTTCATCAATCGTGATATGATGGTTGAAGTAGAGGTCGATGCCATGGCGGTTGAATAAGTTGTTGTTCATTGCTGAATGTTCTATAAAATCATTATATATATAGGATTCACCAGCTGGTCAACCCCTTCTTTCTGTCAAATCCACCTCTAAGTTGAGTCTCTGGATGAATCACTTTGCCATTGATTATTGTGTGTTTGACGACACCCTCGCAATGCTCTGGCCGTATCCTCGCCAGCCATATCATCTGCTCATCTTCCTTTCTATATATCAGCATGTTGGCTGCAAATTTATGACCACCCACATGCGAGACAAAGAAGATACCAACGCCGCCGGGCCGCTCATCATCGTCGTCTCGCAGTAGGCCGAGAGGACGGAGGTGTCGTTCGAGTTCTTTCTTGATCAACGGCGCTGATATACCACACCGGGCATCGCGGGTCTTGTGGGAGCATAGCAAGACAACATAATCTCGTGGACAAGGGCGAGACTGCAAACTACTCTTGACGCTGGGTACTTGACCTTGGTCTGAGCCGTCCTTGCTGATGAAACGAGCGTTAAGCTCCGGTATATCTGCCGTTGATATGTGGTCCACGTAGGTGAATGCTGGCAGGAGGAGAACCGTTGAAGATGCATCATCGTTCATCGGATCAACTGGTATATTGGATGCCAGAACCACGGTTCTCTGAAGGGTCCTGTCAATATATATACCGTACAATATGAACATGGAACGCTTACCTCTCCCTTGGGCTGAGGTGAATCGCTGAGGGCTTCCATCAGAGACCCCTTTTCATTCTCTACCTTTGATACCCAGTCCGACTTGCCCGTAGCAACAAGGACATGGTTCGTGACTGGCTTGACCGTCCCGTAGAGCTTCCTGTCTTCGTCTACCTTGAATCTTGACGGGTATCGAATGGTGCAGCTGGCGCAGTCGTGGTCACATCCGTCTCCGTCCACTTTGGGGTCAACCGTAGGGAATAAGTATCTGTCCGTAGAGCCGCCATCCCTTCTCTCAGGCACTACAAGGGCCTCCCTTGCACGAGAGAAGATCGAACCCAACATCGTGTATATATTTGACTATCATCAACCATCTTCAACGGGGGGCTATCCAGCTCCTTTAAATGCTGCGAAATAGTGCTGCCTGCCAGTTTATCTCCGATATCCTGCATAAATCCATGACGATCAAGGTCCCCCGGATAGAGCGTCGTTCGTATTAACGCCGTCGTCGCCGTCGCATATCAAATATCAAACTTGCGAATCGAATGACATCAAAAGTCAAGAAGAATAGAAAAAAAGGGGGTGCTTCACTTCGGCCTTTTCGGCTCAGCCGCAGGGGGTTGCACAGCTTATCGCCGAAAAACTCCGGCGTGCTTCTTTTCTTAGTTTATCAAAAAGCTCGACGATGCAGGAAAAAGATAAACAAGAAGCTGGAGAGACGAAGACGAAAGACGGCGAGATCGCGAGGCGGCGAGACGAAGGCGAAGACGAGGACGAAGAGAAAGTGATAACTACTGCAGCATGGCCGAAGGCGCGCAGGCTCCGGGAGCTGCGGAGGACGCTGAGAAAGCGCAGCAGCAGGAAGACGAAGAACCGCGTCCACAACCACAACCACAACCACAACCACAGCCACAGTCACAGTCACAGTCACAGCAGCAACAGCAGCAGCAGCAGCGTGAGCATGAAGAGGAGCCTGAAGCAGAGCAGCAGCATGAAAAGGAGCCAAAGAAGAAGCGGAAGAGGAGAACGATTGCATGTCTCCAGTGCCGGACTCGAAAAGTGAGATGCGACCTGGAATTCCCGTCCTGTGGACGCTGCGCAAAGGGACCGTGGCCGGATGCCTGTGTCTACGAGAACGCTGGACCGACTACATGGAGCTCGACGGGCACGCTGCCGGCTACACGGTCTCTATCAAACGAGCAGTCGAGGTCTCGTGCAGACGCGGACGGCCGTGGTGTCCGGGGCGATGCTTCGAGCTCGCGGCTGAGCGAAGAGCAGCGGATTCGGGAGCTCGAGCGAGTGGTGCTCAGCTTTGCTCAGTCGCAGGCCTACGCAAAGCAAGGGATGGCAATGGGCAGGCTGCCTTCGAGAGCTGCTGCGGACAGCGAGATACAGCATACCCCCTCGCCGCGTTCTACGCAGTATTCTCGAGACGAGGCTGGATCTATAACTACTACCACCACCACCACCAGGCCGGATGCACACAGCAGGCCACTGTTGGGAGTCAAGGGGAATAGAACTCGCTTCTACGGACTGAGCAATGTCGCAAGCCTGGTCACCGAGGTCGGTTGATTTTATTTCTGTGCTTCAATTTTCTTTCTTTCTTTCTTTTTTACCCTTCCTTTCTTCGAAATCTTTCACCTGCTTATACGCATGTGTAGTTTGGGGATCTCCGTGCCTATACCAAAGACTTGAAGAGCAGGTTTCCTGCCTTGGCCAATATCCGCAATCTAAAGGCGCTCAAGAAGGATCTGGACCAGATAAGGGGGCCGCTCTCGGGGGAATCGGCCCTTGATGCAGTCTTCCTCGCCGGATTGCTACCTGCGCGGTCTGTGACATACAATCTGGTCCAGTACTACTTTGCCTTTTCAAGCAGCACATACCATGTTCTGCATAAGCAAACATTCTACGAACGTCTGCAAGACCTCTATCAGCATCCCAAGCAGGCTGCTGCGTCATTTGTAATACAGCTGCTACTCGTCTTGTCAATAGTATGGAGTGTGGATGCGCCGGAGCCCGTGGCTCCCTCAAGCGACAAGAGCGTCACCGTAACCCGCAACATGGCAATGGAATGGATACACTGGGGTGACACCTGGGTTTTCCATTCGGGAATAAAACGGCCGAACATGTTCCTTTTACAGACTCGCTGCCTGCTTGTCCTTGCAAAGGATGCTAACTATACCCAAAAGAACCAGGCCTGGGCTGCTACAGGAACTATTGTGAAACTAGCAATGTCGGCAGGCTACCATAGAGAACTCGGACCAGACGCAAAAGTATCCCATTTTGACAGAGAGATGCGACGGCGGATATGGTCTACCATTGTGGAATTGGACCTCAATGCTTCCTTTGACAGAGGGATGCCGCCTACTATTCAAGCGGTGGACTATGATGCCCTGCCGCCCATAAACATCAATGATGAAGATATTACCGAGTCTTCTACTCAATGCCCAGAACCGAAACATTGGCAGATACCCACCGACTCCTCCTTTCAAGTCACTCTGGCTAGGTCGGTTGACTTACGATTACGCATATGTGCCCTTGTTAATGCGCCCCGAATTGCTATTTCTGCGGCTCAACTATCGGAACTAGACGATGAGTTGACACGACATCTCTCAGAAGTCCCTCGGACCTGGGAGAGTTTTGAGTCCACGGACCTGCGACAGCGGCAGCGAGTAATGCTCTGGAGGGCTTTGATAGACACCCAGCTAAGGCGCAGCCAATTATGCTTGCATTCATGCTGTGCCTTGAGTGATCTTCCACCTTCCGTCTCCAACTACTCCTGGAGAGCTAGACTTGAGGTCGCGATGGAATTGCTCTGCCAGCAGCATCAAGTAGTAGAACAGCTGGGCCGGCTGGCATGGCCTCTACTTACAAATACCACCTTTCAAGCTGCACTCACCTTATGTCATTACATGTACAGGTCTGATCGTGGCTTCGGTGAGTTCTCACTTTTACGTCCACTCTAACCACACCAAATGTCAAATGCTAACCCATATCTCCGCCTCTAGCTTCATATCTCATCCAAGCAACTTTGCCAGCAATGACAGAATCTCTTATTGCCTTGGTCGAGAAAACATTACCTCACCTAGAAAGCAAGTTTTTGATTTTGGAGAAGGGAATAAGAGAGTATTGTTATTTTTGTTTTATTATCTCAATGGTGAAATCGAAGCGGTGGCCTGAATCGGCCTTATCACACCAAAGGCTCGCTATTGATCGCATTAGCAGCATGTGCTACAGCATCTTATCCCGAGGCAACAGTAGCAGAAGCCAGGACGGCGATACCGCCAAGGCAAGTGTTTCCAGTGTTTCTTCCATAGAGCGTGAATTGTAATAACAGAGGGATGTACAGGTGGCTACTGGCACAGATGCTTCTGCGAGTATGGCAGCAATGCCTATACCAGCTCCTTCTCTACATAGTGGCCAATTATCTTCAAAAGCCAGTGAGATAGCGGATTTCGGGGTGAGTACCTGGCATTCTTCAGTTTTCAGACTGCAAAGCTACCTGCTGACACTTATGTTATTTGATTTAGATCTTTGGGGAGTGGGATTTCCTTTTTGGTGACTTCACCGCGGACTTCCCTGGCTTTGGAGAGATATAGATTGGGATAACCATCCAAAGAAGAGACTTTGCGTATGGTTAGGCCTCTATTGTACCGCTTGGGAACATATGATGTCCCTATATAATTTACATGCACTGACTATACCGCCCAGCTGACACGGCCGGCACTTTGCCTGCTGTGAAGAGCATATATACAGACGACTACGCTGTCCACTTCCGGGTCTCATATATATTCAAACAATAAGGAGCTTTTCAACTGCTGACCATTCGATGGCCCGAACTTGAAACTCCTTGTTCCATGGCGCTTTCTGTGACTGAAAAAAGAAACTGTGATATATTCATTCATGAATCGTGAGGCCAGACAGATCAACATTAGACGTCGCTCGTTTATATATCATCACCAAGCCTCCCCTGGTATGCCAACCCATATAACAAGAACACGCACCGCATGCCCATAACCAAAAGATGCCCCCATGCTCAAGGAACCATACACGAAGAAAAGGACGAAGAGAAAACAGGACGCGAATACCATGAATCAATTTCTTCCTTCGATGTAATCTCTGTTCTCAATCGTGACACTTTTCGTCATATGGTTCACTTTATAGACACCCACAAGGCGAGACGCAAGTTCGAACTGAATAATGATACGAATTAGCATTTGTTAACCCTGACACAACACCAAAGCAGGCACATACCATGTTATTTCGCAGAGAGATGACGATGAATTGAGCGTTCTTTGTTCTCTCCTTGATATGGGATGCGACGATAGAGACCTGCTCACCGATGGTTAATAATCACAATAATCGTTTCCAAAGGAAGGTATCCTCAACTTACGTTTCTGAAATCCAACGCTGCATCAATCTCGTCCATGACGTACAGCGGCGTTGGGCGGTAATGGTGCAAGGCAAAGACGAGAGCCAAACTTGACAGCGTCTTTTCTCCTCCAGACAAGTTGCTAATGTTCTTCCAGCTCTTCTTTGGAGGCATGACCGAGAACAGGATACCTTCAGAGAAGGGATCCAGGGAGTCAACAAGTTCTAGCTCTGCGTTACCGCCCATTGTAATCATTTGATACATTTCCTTCAACCGAAGAGATATGGTGCTGAACCCTTCCATGAAGCCAGTGAGACGGAGAGAACGTAGTGTATCAAGACGTGATTTGGCAGCATCACGACTGGCGAGCGCCGTTGCCAGGTCTGCGGAGCGAGATTCATGTTCGGCAACACGGCGACGGTACTCCCCTAGAACTGACAGATCGACAGACGTATTCTGCGTTTTCTCCTCGAGCGCAGCGATCATTGCTTTTAGGGATTCCTTGTCCATCTCTGCAAGTTCATCCTTCGTGTAGATTTGCAATGACTCAGGTGCTTCCTCTTCTTCACCAAGGTCACTGATACTTTGGAGGGAAAGCTTCGAAAACTTTTCATGCCAGTATTTTGCTCGTTTTTGGTTCTCAACCAATGCCTTCTGGCTCTCTTCAAGTTTATTTCGCATTTCAATCTCAACTGCTCGGGTTTCATTGAGCTCCGCGGTCTTTCCATCCAGCTCTGTCTTTAATGCTGTCAACTCCTCCTGTTTGGTTTGCAAGGCCTAAATTAATGTTAGTATGAGTGCATGGCTATTTATTGAGTTAATGCTCATTACTTACCTCTTCCGCCTCCTCTGTTTTCTGCTTAATTCCGGAAACTGCCTTGGCCTGGTTTTTGGCCTCTTCATTCAACCTCTCGATATCCTCCTGGACACTTTCAAGCTCAGCCTCTGCGTCTGCACGGGATTTCTCATGTTTAACCCGCAGTTTCTCATTCTTAGACTTGGACACCTCGGCATTGGACACCTCATCTGTCAGAAGTGAAATCTGTTCCTTGAGACCATCCACTTTGGCCTTTTGGCCCCTGAGCCTTACTCCACCGACTTCCATGATTTTGTCTTGGAGGGCCTGGATCTCCTCTTCAACTCCAGTCATTTCGGACCGTAGCTTCTCGATCTCCTTCTCCAAAGCCTTAATAGTCTTTTCAAGACTGGCCTCTCGCTTTTCATCAGCCGCGGATGGTTTGTGTTCTTCGGAAAGTTCTTTCACTCTGCGCTGGGTATCTGCGAGATTCCGCTTGGCGCTATCAATCTCTAGCTGGAGTTTTTGAATAGCCGTTTCAACTTTGGGGATTGCATCTTTGGTTGTTTTTAACTCAGTTTCCAGCTCCCTTTGCCTTTCTTGGAATGCCTGGAATTTTTTCTCCATTGCATCTCTATCGGCATCAAGCTTGGCAACTTGCTCTCTAGAGACCTCTGCCACCTGTTTAGAGGACATTCCACCTCTAGCAACCCGGGTCCCTCCACCGCTCATAGTACCGGAAACATCAATGAGTTGTCCATCTAGCGTCACTACTCTCCATCTTCGTGCACCGTATGCGATTTTGTTGGCTTGCTGCAAATCCTTTGCTACAAGGGTATTTTGGAGCACACTATAAAAGGCGGCTTTGAATTTGTCGTCCACAGGTTTAACGAGATCAAATAGGCGGGGAACGCTGTCGGGCGTGAAAACAGAGGACATGTCCCTCCGAGGTAGTCTGTCTAACAGAATGAAGTTCGCCCGGCCCAAATTATTCTTACGGAGATAGTCAATACATTGTTGACCAACTTCAACAGTATCAACCACCAAATTGTCAAGTGCTGGACAAGCTGTGGATATGGCCACGTCGTATTTCTCGTCAATTGTTCCAAGGTTTCCGAGGCGACCATGGAATCCTTCAATACGTCCGGATTCCTTTAGTCTCATTAACCCCGAGAGGACGTTACCCTGGGTTTGTGTGCTTGATAAACTGGCACGCGCCTCGTCGGCCTTCTGGCGCAAATGAGAGAGCCTGGAACGGTATTCTGGTTCTTTGTCGGCAAATTTTTGCACGTTCGCGGAGCAGGTAGCGACTTCGTGCTCGAGATTGGCCTTCTCTGCCCGGCACTGTTCAAGCTCAGCTGTCTTTGCACTCATGTCTTCCTTGATAGAAACAATTTTAGCTTGTGCTTCTTCCAAAGCGACTGCGCCGGCATTGCCCTTTTCACGAAGAATATCTAGTTCACTTTGGGCAACAGCGGCAGCGGATTGTTTCTCGTTGATTTTCTCTTTCCACGGTTCGAGAGATGTCTGTTTAGCAGCAATTTGTTCTGAAAGGCCTTGCGTCTTTCCTTTGAGACTTTCACGAATTTCTGCAAGCTCCTTTTCTTCTATCTTCATTTCCTTTTCAAGAGCTGCAATCTCGGCGGACTTCTTCTCAAAGTCATCGCTGTGTTTTTCAACAAGCCCGGCACATTCAGAGGCGGCAAGACGGCTCGTGTTCATGGACTTCTCGAGCTTCTTTTGCTTATTGTTCAAGAATTTCCGTTTCTCTTCAAGCTTGACTGATTCTTTATCGTACTTCGCCATTTCTTTCATGATGCCTTGGGTTTCCTTCTCCATGGCCTCATACTCCTTCGCAGCCTTTTTATATGTACGTTGAAGCTGCTTGATCTCATCTTCATTGCCCTGATGCTTTTCGAGTTCCAGGTTGAGTAACTCTTGATTCTGTAAGATAGCCTCTTGAGTGACGTTTGTGTTATCGTTGCATTCATCAATGTATATTTGATAGAGTGCGGATTGCTTCTCGACCAACTCATTCTCGTCCTTGATGTAGGCAAGAGCTTTATTTTTCTTATCTTCGAGGCTGGCTTTCTCCTTCTCAACATGCTGAACTCGATTGTTCTTTTCGTTGCAGGTTTCGTTCAAAACCTCAACTTCGGCAGCCGCCTCGTCGATGGGAGTTTTGTATTTTGATGTTCCAATGATATCTTCCAGGTACTCAAGTAAACCGTCGTCATGTTCATTGGCAGCCTTTGCTTTCATCTGAGCGATGGATTCGACTTCACCTTGCAAGATGAGGAAACGCTTATGATCCAAGTCGATCCCACGGCCTTTCAAAAATTCGGTGACAGTTGTAAAATTCGTTTCCCTTTTATTCATATAGTATTTGCTGCTATTATTTCTGAAGGCTCGCCGGGAAACGACTAGCTGCGAATCTGGGACAACTTCGTGGCCCCCATCCGGTAAATCTATAACCTCTTGAAAATGAACCTCAACCTCGCAAAACGGTAAATTGGGGAAGTTGGCAGAGTTGTGGATAAGGGCTGATATTTTTCCCTGGCGCATCTTACTAGCCCTGAAGCCAAAAACAAATAGAAGAGAGTCAATGACATTGGATTTGCCCGAACCGTTAGGCCCGACGACGGAGGAGAAGGAAGCGTGGAAAGGGCCAACAAACTGCTGCCCAGCGTAACTCTTAAAGTTTGTAAGGACGAGGTGAGTTATGACCATTCTCTGCTTAGGTCCCGATGGTTCTTCCTCTGCAATTTGGGGTGCTGATCGTGACTTCAGCATTATGTCCATCGGCCGCTCAAGCACGCTAGAGCTTGGGTCAACTCTTTCAATGACGGATTTTTCAACATCGGGAGCGTTCGGGGGAGTCTGGTTAACGGCATTTTCTGTAATATCTGCAAGCGGTGTTCCGCTAAGTCTTCTTGACTGCGCTCGATCAGCTTCTGGAGATTGTGACGGTGCGGGGGTTGGAAGTGAGGAGACCTCTATAGATGAGTGTCGGCTGCTTTGGCTCCTAGGTATGCTCTGTCTCGCTTTTGAGGTGCGCCTTGACCGAAGTTCAGGTTCTTCTTCCGCCGAGACGATACTCTCGTCTGTTGTTGATACTGTAGACTCTCTCGCACTCATCCTAGAGCGGCGTCGGTTTGAGCGACCCATTGCGGGAGTCGGCGTAGTTGGCTCTTCCACCGGTGCCTTCGAGACCCTGCGGGATACCCTCCGCTTTGGGACAGGTGTATACTCCTCCTCTTCGTCCTCCTCATCCTCGTCTTCGTCATTGCTTGGGATACTGGGGGTAACGCGCCCCGAGGCAGGCTCATCGTCGGAGCTTTCTTCGAGAACAAAACTCTTCCGGGAAACCGACCGCCGCGGTCGCGATGATGCCGATGCCATTTTGCCAGACGCTGCTAGTCCTCGTGGCAACAGAGAGTGTAGGATATCAAACCGCAGCGAGCCGTCTTTTCTCTGTTCGTCTGTTGCTTCGTGATGTTGATGTGTTTATGTTTTGCCTAAAGAAGACGAACATTGAAGATTACATAATACAGATATCGGGAGTCTTGGCGACGTCGCGACGTTTTTCTTTTGCTTGCAGGTTGATAAACCGAGAACAAACAACGATGGGAGCCATAGACAGCTAGACGACACAGAAACAACACCTGAACGGCGGCCTGGGGATAGACTGCAATATGGCGCCTTGGGAAGAGTTCGATATTGCGTTTGCCTTCAAGCGGGATTTTTCCTATGATCACAAGCTCGTGGACCAAATAATCTCTAATCGACGGGTCCTTGATCATGTTCTCTTCGTTGACCGGCTGTTGAAAATACTCGGAATTGAAGCTGGTAAGACATTTTTGGGGCTCAAACTGGAATCTATGAGCAAGGCTAATGTGTATGGTGTAGCATCAAAGATATACCCCCCGAGATCTAACCAAAGCTTGCGGTCCCTCTTCCAGCAAATCGTCTCGTCGTCTTCGCCCAATCACCACAAACAATCCTTGATCTACTACATCTTGAAAGACTGCCGAGGAGCTACTGAGAAGTCAGGCGCTTTGCAGTTTGCCAGGACATGTTATCTACCGGATAAGTACAGGCTATTTATTGACGGGCTATGGTACCTCGATAAGCTAGAGTTTCGAGTGAGTATCCAGCTAGTCCTAAAAATGGACGCAGAAGCTAACCCAGGTCTATAGCGCGCCCTGGAGTATATTACAGAGCCATCTTTAATACCCACCTTCTCCGATGAAATTCTCTATGTCCTGTCAGCCTCGTCGAAGCAAGATGACGGTCTTGCTATAGCCTACTATGTAACCGTTCAGCCCCCGCTAGCTTCTCAGAAAGCTCTCAATGCATATTTTGGATCGCTGTGTCGAACTGGAGTTCCAGAAGCGTTTTATTTCCTAAGACAACAGCCCGAAGAAAGTAGTTCGTCGCTATTAGAACAGCTCATAACCTTTGTTCTTTCCACAAAGGCCGGAGAGTTAAGGGCTAAACGTGCCATGGACCTCATAAACTTACCTTTTAGCGAGACTGAAGAAGAGTGCTTCAATGACTTACTCTTACGCGGTAATGCAAAAAACTTGCACGGTGCTCGGGATACAGTCATGATGAGACGGGTTGCTACTGGGCGAGTGGAAAATTTGGACAGCGAACTGGAGTCACTTGGAGGGCGCAGGCTAGAGGGCCTTAACTGGGATGATCTGAAGAGAAATCTCAAGTCTACCAATTCTGTGGAAGCTTGATACAATAGCTATGATCTATGATACCAGGACACAACACTTCGGTATTTGGCGTTTAGGTTGCAATTCAGGCGTTTAACCGGCTCCATAGCTTCAGAGGGTCATATGTATAACTAGCTCCGGTGCTCACATCCACCACTTCTAGAACACAATAATCACCATACTTTATACGTCAACCGTCGTCCTGTCCTCAGCCCTACCAGAATCCTGTCGTAGCTCATTGATTACGTAATCAAAAATCCAGCCTCAACCGCGACCTCAAATTGAAAACATCCAAAAGCTTGACGATTTGAACGAACGGAACCATTTTGTGAATCTCACATCTTTCGACAGGAGCTGAACCAACACTCATAAATATTATCAACAGCGCAAATACTGCCTATATCATTTTATACCCTATTAGAGCTTAGCCTGACACCCTGTCACCCTAAACGAAATAGCTACCGGTAGCTCCAACTAAGGTGAAGACGCGATACCCTACCGTGTCAACACTTGCTCACACCACCGGTGGTGGGAGGGTTAGCACCGGGGCTCTTTGAATATGGCTATTTGCACGTATTATCAGCAGGGAAGATGCAAATTTGGGGGTTCGTTGGTGTCATGCGTTTTCATGCAATAGTCCTCAGCTTATTCGGCTAACTTACCATGTAGATCGATGCGCTTATGAGCACCCAAAGAACCAAGGCCAATTTGGATTCACTTCTGGGAACAGATTCGGAGTACTACAGTCCGGTGGGAACAAACCCAGTGGCGGCTTCGGAAGTAGGTAGCCTCCTATTCAGTGCTATTGTTGAAGTTCCTATCGTTGTATTAAGGGTGGAGGAAACCCTGGCTTCTAGCAGACAGATGATAAAACTTTACTCACTTTTGAATTGATTTACTGACGACGGCATTTACTCTACGATTGTTGGAATAGGCGATAAGCAAGATCCAAGGGAAAAGTATGTATACACGTATTCCGCTCTCTGGAACATCAAACGCTAATCATTAAGTAGGTATTCTTTAACTGCCACGGATATAAAAAATGACCTGACGGACGGTCAAGGCCGGCCCCAATGGATCTTCTCGGCTTATGGGCCTGGAAGGAATGCACCAGTACAGCTCTTCGGCGGGCCTGAAAGAGAGCAGAGCTTTGAAGAAATGCGAGCGTTGCATTACGCTGCTGTTGCCGAAGGGAAGCCGCAGGAGGCCATACAAAATGCAAATAACTTGTTTGCCGCCACAGAAGCTCAGATGAAGAATATCATCAACAATTTGGATGCTGCGATCCAGTATGTGATCGATGGAGAAAATCAGCACCCAAACCGGCATGACATAGTAAACGGGAAGATTACAGCGATTTCATCATCTAATACCCAGCCGAACCCATTTTCCCAGCAGTCTCAGCCTCAAAACCCTGTTCAGCCTTCTCCATTTGGTGGTTCGAATTTATCTCAACAATCAGGAGGATTCGGGAGTACTTTTGGGAAGCCAACAATGCTAGGCCAGCAGCAACCACAACAACCCGCTTTTGGTACGCCATCCTTCGGTACACCATCCCTTGGTGCCCCAGCATTTGGCACTCCCTCCTTTGGACAGCCGTCTGCCATGGGGAGCTCTCCTTTTAGCCAAGTTGCTGCTTCTGCAAATCAACAACAGTCAAACCCCTTTGGAAAGCCCACCGCGTCTCCATTCTCCCAAGCTGCTCAGACCACCAATCCGTTTGGTCAGCCACAAGCACAAGCTGCCCAAGCGCAACAAAGCTCTCCATTCGCACAGCTTCAAAGCTCGGCTCAGTCACAACCAGGCTTTGGGACAAATCCATTTGGCTCAGGCACTTCTCTAAACCAACAACAATCAACGCCAGCGCCATTTGGACAGCCTTCCCCCTTCAAAGGTCCAGCGACTTCTGTTCAACCCCAGGCCAGCACAATCAACGTACCGCCGCCCAGTGGTCCCATTCTTCCTGTGAAAAATGCCAACCCCAACCTGAATCCTCTACCTAAAACGTCTGGACAGACAGTGCAGGACCCTATGACCAAAAAGCTCACAGTGTGGAAAGGTCTTCGGGTCCAGTATATTGATGACGAGCCATGCTACCAGCATCCAGATGATCCGCAATTTTATGCTCATATATTTTTTCCCGATGGCCCGCCAAAGACCGATACATTCAAGTACTCAGTGGCGTCTCCAGGGGAGTATACTTCAGCTGTGGAAGAAGCTTATAAGTTCGCCCATGAAAACGGAGCATTCAAAGATGGAGTAATGCCTTCGGTACCGCCTAAACCCGAATGGTCAAGATACGACATCTGAACTTTCACATGGACGAGACGGCGACGACATGGTTGGCGTTTGGCGAAGCGGCATTGGTTTACCTCATCTATTTTGAGATGACCATCTATACCACATTTTCTCATTACTTGGCGGTATATATTGCATGCAAATACTTTTAGTCACTTTAACTTGCATTCGGTTCAGTGAATACGGCTACGTCGGAACAAAGATATGGATGTACCATAGGAAGTTTTTTCTGATATTCTATAACCAGGCCGACAAAGCAATGCTAGACGAGAACATATAGAATCCTCACTCCCTGCATCACGGTAACAGTCGGCCAAACCTAGACTACTCAAAGTACGGACCTTCTCAACTAATTTATTGAGCAATGGTGACTTCGACCTCAACACCAGCCTCGATGTTAATGATGATCTGCTTGACGGTCTCAGTTGGAGCATGGAGACTAAATTAAAGGTTAACGTTGAAACAATATAGGCAAAAGACACAAGGATAGCGCATACTCAATCAAACGCTTGTGGATTCTCATCTCATACTGATCCCATGTCTTGGAACCCTCACCGTTAGGAGTCTTACGGGTAGAGATGCGAAGAGTCTTGGTTGGCAGGCGGACGGGTCCCTTGACGTAGAGAGACTTGGAGCGAGCACGGTCAATGAGCTCCTGGCAGACCTTCTCCAAAGAGGCGACCTTGCGCGAGGTCAAGGTGATACGGATCTTGTGGATTTTCTATAATGCACATGTTTATTAGCCGATTGCGCCCTCCCATGACAGGCAATTTACGTGGCCTGCTGCCGCTGCGCAACCACCGAGGATATGAAGAACGTACTGGGCCTTCGCCAAACTCCTTCTCGGGCTTCTGGTAAGACATCTTTGCTGGGTGTGAGGAGCTAAGAGTAGCTAATCTGGTTGGTTCTGCATTGCGACAATAACTCGTACGTTAGATAACAGGTGTCAAGCCAGGGAGAGACATGTAATCAGCACTTACAAGAATATGCTGAGGGCGAGTGCCAATCAAGACCTGAACTGTTCGAGTTCGGTAATGTGATGAAAGGCGTGTGTGTTGGTTGTGGTGGTGGGAGTTATCTTCCTTTGCTTCCTCGACTATCGCGATCTTTTTTCTTTCTTTTTGATGTTAAAAATAATGTGTGGGTGAAGTCTTGGCATGTCGGTTATTTGGCCTAACTACTTTAGGTCTAGCGGTAGTGACTCATCATGGCTAATATGAAGATGAGTCAGCATTTCGATATCCCGCAGTTTTTCTAATATCAAAAAGCTGAAATCAAAGCAACAACAACACAGCAACAGCAAACTGCTGGTTTGATATTTTTTGCCCTTGAAAGTAGCTGCTATCTCCTTATTAGCAGTTCTGTGGATTTTGAGGCTCAACTTGCATGATATCTCTGGAATGGTGGAAACAACTTTACTTCCCCTGGCGCCTGTACCACCGCCGTCAGTGCACAAATATATACCAGATGACGAATGGAAAGCATGTTTAGATGCCTGGATCAGATCAGTTGAAGCTCGCTTAAGGCTGAACGACCGGGAATTTGAACTATCTGCTTCAAAGGATGATGCTGCATACCTGTTCCTTACTTCATACTTCTCAGGGGGGTTGCCACGTACACATGCACCAACATCAAAGGCAGCCAGTTTATTACAACGTCTTTGTTTCCTCTTAAGTCGGAGGATACTACTGGCCGGATCTCATGGTCCTTCACAACTTGTGAATGTTGACTTTCTGGGGAGCTTGTGCTTTTTCTATACCTCTACTTTACCCCTCAGGAATTTGATGCTGGAGGTGTGGGAGAGGGATTCAGAAGTCCTGGTCTCCAGCACGCACAAGGCGAAGGCAGATATAATAAAAGAGATGACCTCGAAAGATGGGTCATATACGAAAATCGAGAGAAGATTACGACCCTTGACGCTCCTTTCATCAAATCTATATGAGGTGGGAAGAGTTCTTATGGCTGGTGATGATTACATAGATGCAATCTTTGAGGCATTCCACAGGTCGAAGGATGAACATCTACAAAAAGCTCTAGTAGCCCATATATATGTTGGGCTTATATCATTGATGAAGGTCAATCCCCCTGCGACTTCAGCACTCTTAGATCAACTCTATGGTCTAAAGAGCTCTGCAAATGTCGAGTCAAAGGGCCCCAGAACTCAGCCAACACTACTCTCAGCCCTCCTTTGCAGTACCAACTTCATCAAACGCCTCGAGCATGTGCTAGTTGGGGACCAGCAGCAAAAGCGAGGCGATTCCCTAGTTTCTTCCCTCAAAATATACCGCTCTGAGTGCCAGGCATTACACAAGTCGTACCAGCGTCCAAGGAAAGTGGATAAGGGCAAAGGGCGAGATATCTCCGCTGGAATCCAGGAAGACGTTCACGTCCATCGAATATCCCTTGTCACCCAGGTACAGGATCTATTCCCTGATCTCGGCTCAGGATACATTGTGCAACTCCTTGATTTTTACAACGATGACCTCGAAGCGACGATCTCGAATCTCATAGAGGGGACCCTTCCTGAACATCTTAAATCTCTTGACCAAGGAGCCCAACTCTCAGAACAGCAAGATGTGGTTGATCTCGCACCACGGCCTACTCCGCCCCGTTCTGAGTCACCTGTTCCTCACATCGAGCGTAAAAATGTATTCGATAACGATGAATTTGACCGGCTGGAGATATCACCTTCGAAGCTGCATATAGGTCGTGCCAATGCCGAT